AAAAGTCAGGATTTTTTTCATTTTAAATTATGTTCTTTTCTGTTTTTTGTGTGTGTTTTGTTTTTCTTTTCTGTTTAAAACAGGCTGGTTGTAAACCCTCTGATATTGGTATCATTGCACCATACAGGCAGCAGTTAAAGGTCATCAATGACTTATTGGCATATTCTTCTGTTGGGATGGTTGAAGTTAATACAGTTGACAGGTACCAAGGAAGAGACAAAAGTATCATTCTAGTATCTTTTGTTAGAAGCAATGAAGATGGAACTGTGAGTTAATTGTATTTTCTGCTTTGCTTTCTGATTTTTATTTTCTTTTGTTTGGGACATTATTTACCTCTCTTCTTTAAAATTATGTTAAAAAACCACATAACATAAAATTTGCCATCGTAACTATCTTTAAGTGTACAGTTCACAGGTATGAAGTATATTCACGGTGTGTGCAGCTGACCTCCAGAACTTTTTCATTTTGCAAAACAAATTCTATATCCATGAATAACCACTCCCTTATTCCCTCTCTCTTTATTTTCTGTCAGCCACTTCTCTATCTCTGTGAATTTGACAGACTTTTATGGATTCGTGAATTTTCCACATAAGTGGAATCATACAGTATTTGTCCTTTTGTAGGTGGCTTATTTCACTTTTCATAATGTCTCAAGGTTCATCCATGTTGTCGCATGTAACAGAATTTTCTTTTAAAGGCTGATTATTATTCCATTGCATGTATATACCATATCTTTTATCTATTCATACATTAGTGGACATTTGGGTTGCTCCCATCTTTTGGTTATTATGTTTGGAGCATTTTAAACATATAAACTTTCCTAGCTTCCTTTCAAATTTGTAGATAATTCCAGGCTGTTTTTTGCATTTTTACCTCTCCTTGACTTATTTTTCTTGACTATGTGATACCTGTATATAGTTTTTTAAATACACAGAGTAAAAAGTCTCCCTTCTTCCCTGTTACTCTTCTACTCAATTCTTACCCTCACATGTTTGGTTTTTTTGGATTGTTTGTTTTTGCTAACCTTCTAGAATTTATTTAAGCATATGTAAGTGCATGAATCAGTATTCATGTTTCCCTCCTTTGTGCACAAAAGGTAATATATAGACTATTCTGAACTTTGCTTTTTCCACTTAACAATATAGCTTGGAGAGCTTTACATGTCATTACACAGAAAGAGATTTCATTCTTCTCTTAAAGGTGCAAAGTTTTCCATTGTATATATGGATCATGGTATATTTAACCACTCCTTTGAGTCTTCTATGAGTTTTTATTACATTTAAAAACAATATTACAATAAGGGGAGACAACTTCAGTTCTTTATGATATGTATTTAATGTTTGAAATTTTTATTTTATTTTTTTGCTGCACTGTAGGGCATGTGGGATCTTAGTTCCCTGACCAGGGATTGAACCTGTGCCCCCTGCATTGGAAGTCCAGAGTCTTAACCACTGGATTGCCAAGGAAGTCCCTAAAATTTTTTTTTTATATATTTAAAAATTTTAAATATATTTTCATTATACATATTTAATCATTTAAAATTATGGCAAAGATATCGTTGTTGTTGTTTAGTCGCTAAGTTGTGTCTAACTCTTTTGCGACCCTCTGGACTGTAGCCTGCCTAGCTCCTCTGTCCATGGGATTTCCCAGGCAAGAATACTGGAGTGGGTTGCCATTTCCTTCTCCAGGGGATCTTCCCGACCCAGGGATCGAACCCACGTCTCCTGCACTGGCAGGCAGAGTCCTTACCACTGAGCCACTGGGGAAGCCCCATGGATATCACACCCACGATAAAATACTTGAGGTTGGCGTCATGGGCAAGTTTTCTTTTCTTTTTTTGTTTTTTTAAATATTTTTTCATTTATTTGGCTGCACCAGCTCTTAGTTGCAGCATGTGGGATCTAGTTCCCTGACCAGGGATTGAACCTGGGCCCCCTGCATTGGGAGCTCAGAATCTTAACCACTGGGCCAGCAGAGAAGTCCCTTTGGGCAAGTTTTCTTTCCCAACTGTCTGCACTTTGAATGTGTTGATGAATCTTTTTTGCAATGTTTTTGAAAGTAGGAAGATGGCTCAATAAAAACTGTTCTTTTTTAGAAAAAACTCAAATAAGAAAACTCAAAGAATGAAAATTATATTTCTTTCAGCTTGGTGAACTGTTGAAAGATTGGCGACGTCTTAATGTTGCTATAACCAGAGCCAAACATAAGCTGATTCTCCTTGGATGTGTGCCCTCACTAAGCCGTTATCCTCCTTTGGGGAAGCTACTTAATCATCTAAACTCAGAAAAATTAATATCCTTTTTGTTTTGTATATGGTCACATTTGATTGTGCTATGTGAGTACTTTATATATTTGTATCAGTTAAAACTCAGTGTCTTGTGTTTTCCATGGGCATATTTCAAAAGACCTGATTCCACAAAGGAAAGAGAAAACAATTCACAGTAATTTTAAGCAAAAAGTGAAATAATGAAGGTGATGGAGAAGAGTAGTTTGTGAAATGAGAAAGGGGAAACAAAAGGACTTGATTTCTCGCCTCAGAAACAGGGTGCATGTTGCCTAGAACACATCTAGGAAAACTGGTATCTCTTCAGGTTCCTCTCACCTCGATAACCTTAAAAAAATATGCATCTAGGACAAAGTATTATATTTAAAAATGGAGATTATTTCTTATCATGTCGTAGATAATTTTAAAAATAGATCATCTCTAAAAAATTATATGAAGGTCTCACACTAAGACAGGTAAATCATATTGCTTAAGGACATTATTATCCATAGAATGTCATAAAAATACAAGTTTTCTAGTAGCCTTGTTAAAACAGAATTAGAGAATGTTAAATAATAATGTCATGTATTTTTATGTAATTCCACATTGTGTTAAATATATCTTCCTTAATTTATTTTATATCATTGATCTTCCATCAGGAGAACATGAAAGCCTTTGTCATCTATTAGGTGATTTTCAAAGAAAATAAAGCACTGTTTTCCTTGCTTTTTTCATACCATGGTGATCTCCTCTAACTACTGCCTATTATTTATAATTTGGACATGCTATAAAATCAGTGACTGGTTACACTGTGATGATAACTTTTATCCCAAGGGTAAGAAATGATGTAAATATATATACTCATTCAGAGTTCGAGTTTTTGGTTTTATTTATTTTTTTGGTATAACCTTGTTAAACATAACCATACAACATTTAACATAGGATTTATTTTTTCAGTACAGGTGTACCCAAAACTTTATAGACATTATAAACGTGTCTCTGTAAGACGTAGAGTTTGATACATTTCCACCAGCTTTTAAAGATAGATTAACTTTTCAATCTGAAGTTTAAACTTTTAAGTTTAAATTTTCAGGATTAATTTGATCTTGTAGATTTTTATCCTGTTTTGTTTATTTGAAAGACTAGGTAAGAAAAGCGATTTGTTTTTGTCATTTAAGCACAATCTTGTGATAATGAAAAGTATGATTCTCTTCTGTATTTTGAGATCCCTGATCCAAAGGCCATTTTGCTGTTTTTTTCCTGACTTTTGCTTTCTGGTTATCAGAGATGTTTTAAAAAATTTTATACTTAAAGTGTTTTAAATTATTACTTATAAATTTATTATTTCCAATTAATTTCCCTTACTCTCCTAGTTAGTTCCCCTTCCTCTCCCACTTTTTATTTTCAGTTTTTAGTGTTTTAGAGTAGATTTTGATATTTAAGAAAATAATTATTATTATTCTTTTGGGAAAAAATTTTGCTGAATTGATGACAAATAAAAAAAATGTATCCCTATTTTCACCTATTCATGTTCATATGTCCCTTTCTTTTGGGGCATTAGTCAATTTTCCTTTTTTGTATGAAGATGTTTTATAAAACAATTATCTCAAGGTGCTTGGTTACTTATGTGATGACCAATTTTAACATTAGCATATCCAGCTTTGGGGGAGGATCTCTCATTTCTCTCAGTTTTCTTTTTTTTTTTTAAATGAAAAGTACATTAAAAATTGTTGCCTCTACCCTACGTGTTTTTTTTAAAAATTATAACTTATTTAATAAATTTTTATTAAATAAATTTTTTTTTTACTATAAGATCTCACTGTGTCAATGATTAATACTAAATAATAATTAAGTCCAGGGTTGTCCATCATTTTTTCCAGTATTGAGAAGTGAAATATTGGCAATGTTCTAAAGCTAAAACCAAGGAGTACTGACATGTATAGGATAGAGCTGATCATGGACAGACTATGGATTCGACAGGAAAAACAAGGAAGTTGCAGAGATAAGGCTTAAATATTGGTTGGTTCTCATTAATTTATATCACAGGAAGGAATCTAAGATAATTTTAGTTCCTGGATTAAGAAAATTCTTTGGCTTCACTAATGGTTGCTTTACAGATTTGTATGGCCTGCACAGTAAAGCCCAGTGGAACAAGAACCTAGGGAGGAGTTCCATATTTCTTGTCAGTTGGGAATCTGTATTGATTACAAGAGTCTAGGCACTTATTTCAAAGAAGTAGACTCATCTTTTATACATAAGATGCTGTGAGTTGGAGGCATTGAGGGAGCTGGACGTTAAACCCAGACTGGGCCCTCAAATTGTTGATATGCAGTTTATGACATCCATGCCAAGGACTAAGACAGCAATGGCTACCAGTCACTAATATTAGTTACTGGACACGCACTTTGTGCAGGTCCAGATCGAGAGCACCATTAGCCTAGACAAGGTCTTCCTTATGGTGGAAAGCCAGGTTGTGAGGAAAGGGTAGCCATTCCAGTGTCCCCATTCCTCAGCGCAGAGCTCCTGTCTCCTGAGTTCTCTTGCTGCCGCCTCTGGTTCTTTTGTTCCTCATCTCACTTTCTAAAGACTGGTCTTTCCCAGAGCTCTGTGTTTGTCTGGTCTTGTGCTCCCTCACCTTTGTGGCTGTTGACCAAATCTGTATACTCAGAACAGACTAATATTCTAGTTTAAAATTGTTCAGTGAGTTCTTTTTGCCAGCGGCTCTCAGGAGCCCATCATGGCGCCGCCCCCTAAACGGCGGGCGGTGGACGCAACCGCGGAGAAAGTGCTGCGCTACGAGGCTTTCATCTCTGATGTGCTGCAGCGGGACTTGCAAAAGGTCCTGGACCATCGCGACAAGGTATATGAGCAGCTGGCCAAATACCTTCAACTGGGAAATGTCATTGGGCAACTCCAGGAGGCTAATCACTCGGAGTTATATATGCAGGTGGATTATGGGCTGTAACTTCGTTGACAGTGGTCCCAAACACTTCACGAATCTATGTAGCCCTTGAATACGGTTTTTTCCTGGAGTTGACACTGGCAGAAGCTCTCAAGTTCATTGATTGTAAGAGGAGTTTCACAGGGCTCAGCGACAACCTCACGAAGGACTCCGTGAATATCAAGGCCCATGTCCACATGTTGCTAGAGGGGCTTAGAGAGCTACAAGGTCTGCAGAATTTCCCAGAGATTCGGCACTGACTTCTTCCAACCTCCCCTGACATTAAAGAGCCTGAATGTCAAAAAAATAAATAAATAAAATTGTTCGGTGTAATAAGGTTTAAACATACACCCTAATTCCAAATTCTGTTCAATACGAGGTGACTATTGAGTATCTGGCAAATGTGTATTTTGGAGCTTAACATCTCCCTCGAAGAAATATTTCTTAGCTTTAAATAAAGTGAGTCTTACTGAACAAGATTTGTTTACTACTTCTTACACTGGGGGGTAAGCAATCTAGGAAATAAAACTTCTCCTTTGTTCTCATGGTTTTATAAAATAAATATGTAATCTTAATTTTACTTGCTTTTCTAAATGCACTTAGAATACAAATCCCTCCTTTTCTACTCATCATTTGGAGAGGAGAAAAATGAACAATTCAGTCATTTCAGTGTTTAACAGCACGATAATGGAAGGGGTTAGACTTGTGAGTTTTAGACTCCTTGAAACACTGTAAAAATGGCAGACAGAGACTTCTTTGGTCCAGCGGTTAAGACTGTACTTCCAATGCAGGGTGGGAGGGTTAAATCCCTGGTTGGGGCACTAAGATCCCACATGCCTTGGGATATGGCCCAAAAGTTAAAAAACAAAAAAAATACCCACAGATGTATTTTGAGATTATAAAAATAGAGGCTACTTTTGTATTAGTTCAGCTTCTGGTTGTGTCAATAGTACTGTGACTTTGGGCAAGTTATTTAATCTTTCTGAGGTTAGTTTTATCTGTAAAACAGAAGTAATTCTCATGGGGTGGTTCTGAAAATCAAATGAGGCTTTGGCCTAGGAACTGACAGCCAAAGAAATGAAACTTGACATTATCTCTAATCACTAAAATTCTGGGTGCAAAACAGGCCTAAATATGAAAGGCAAAACTATAATTCTTTTTTAAAATATTTATTTGGTTGCACAGGTTCTTAGTGGCAGCACCCTGGGATCTTTAGTAGTGGCATGCAGGATCTAGTTCCCTGACCAGGGATTGAACCCAGACCCTCTTCATTTGGGAGACTGGAGTCTTAGTTGCTGGCCCACCAGGGAAGTTCTTGTAATTCTTAAAAAATCTTCATAACTTTGGAATAAGGAGGGCTCCTTAAGATACTATGGCATAAACTATAAATTCACTACAGGAAAATTAAGAATTTATATTTAGTCAAAGGTTGCCATAAGGAGAGAAAAATTAGCCCAAAGATATTGGCAACGCACAACTGACATCAAATTAGTATGCAGAACATTAAGTAACTTGCACAAGTCAATAAAAAGGTAAGTCAATAGTAAAACAGGCACCATTTCTTTGTAAAAATGAAATTCCAAATAGTAAACGTAGATAGAGTTCTCAATGTCATCAGTAATGAGAGAAATAAAAAATAAACCTGCCATGCAATCTACCCACAAGACTGGCAAAAAAATGAAATCCTCACAATTCTAGGCATTACAGTGGACACAGCAATAGAAAAACAACACTGCTGATAGCCGTGTAAATTATGGGAAGTTTGGAAAACACTTTGGCATGAGCTGGTAAATTTAAAGGCATACTTGATTTTCAGTCAATCTATTCTTTTTACATGGCCAAGAGACTCCCGCATGTAGGAACCAGGATGTACGGACAAACTGGAAACACCCCAACCTGGAAACTCCTCGTGGACATGGATGATTTTGAACACCAGAAACAAGTAATGTTCGTAATGTTATTCCACTTGTGAAAAGTTTGTAAACAGGAGAAATAAACTACATTGATTAGGGGCACATACTTATGTGGTAGTAACATGCAGAAAAGTTAAGAAAACGACTTTCAGAATTCAGCATCACATTTACTTATAGGGACATTGTGGCTAAAGGCGTCCCCCTACCCTCAAAATGACTCCTATCCTATGCTTGCTTGATCTGGTGCTTTTTATCCATCTGTTTATGATTCTTTAAACGTATATGTATGCTTTATACATTTTTATCTATGTAGGACTGTTTCACAATAAAAAATTAAAAACCAAAAGAAGTCAAGAAGCATGAGAATTGCACGCTGGCCAAAGTGACGATGAGATAAACATCTATTTCCACAAAACACCAGTCTATTTCTAACTCGGCCACCATTTTAACAATTGCTGATCTAACTAGGTAACAGCTTACTTTCCACAAATTGATATAACTTAAAACCTAGTATCTGTCCATGAGGGATTTTTCCTCTCCGAAATGAGAAAACGCAGGTTTTATCTCTGCACCTCTTTCCTTTGATTACTGAGACTGTTCGTCCTTGCTTTTTATAAACCACTGGACTTACTGGTTAAAATCTGGGCTAAATAGTTTTAGTAGATTTCTGTCTAGTGTTAATTACTTCAGATTTTCTAAATTCTTTTGGTCCCCTACGAGTTACTGAAGCAGGGACGCGGTCAGGTGTGTTAGATTAAACCTAGCTGGACCTTGCAGATGAATACGTTTGAACGTGGCTCGCTCGCCTCCCCTTGGAAATGGAATCCTAGTGCTCCGGCGAGGCCCCCAGATGAGAGCTCAGAGTCAGCCTTCGGTCTCCACAACCCGAGGTCTCCCTCACGCTCCTTCTCCTTCCGGTCCGGCTGGATGCGGAGAGTCTTAGCAAGGGCGGATTTCTCCGCGGCGGGCTGCAGGCTCTAGAGTCCCCCGCCTGACGCGGGCGCCGCAGGACCGCCCGGGCGTCCTCCCGCCGCCGGGAGCGCTGTGGGCCGTAGCGGGCCTGGTTGCAGACGCCGTGGCGGCCGCCGCGCGCCTGAAGGGAGCTGCTGGCGGGGCCCAGGGAGTCCCCGCCCGAGACTGTATTGCCACCGCCGCCATGGGTAAGGGGAGCGGGCCGCGAGCGGACGCCCGGCCCTCCGTGCTGGGCTGAGGCCGCGGCCAGGGCAGGCGGACTGGCGGTGTGGGCATCGAGGCCTGCGAGTCGAGACGGGTCCGACCCGGGCTTGGGGCTGGGCGGGGGCAGCCGGGGGACGCAGGGGCGCCCGGGGTCGCCATGGCAACGCGCGGCCGCCCCTCGTTCCCTCCCACCTCCGCCCCCGTTCGGGGGCCTAATGGCCAAGGTTTCGCGGTCCGACAGCTTACAGGGAGCCAGCACAGGGTCGGCCGGGGTGCCGCTCCAGGGTTGGGGGAACAGTCGGGGACGGGCGATGACTTTTCAGGTTTGGGGGTGGCGGAAGGAAGCGTCTCAGGTTTTGGCCTGGGTGCCGGACGCCGAGGGCGGGAGAGGGACAGCGATGCGGCGCAGGACCCCGGGTGAGCCCTCTGTGAGGGTGCTGGAGGTGTCCGGAGCCCTTGGGCAGTCTTGCTGTCTGGGAGGAAGGGAGGAAGGGAGGCAGGGAAGGGGTTCTAGGCCCAAGCAAGATGCTGGAACCCGCCATTGACCGAGTGTGCGGGCAGCAACGCGGTCAGACGCATCCGCGAGCCCGGGTGGGGCGCGGCCCGGGTGTAAACGCTCCTGTTTTAGGAAGCTGCTGGCGACCACCAGGACCCAACTCCGAACATTTAGTTATAAAGGCTCCCTTTGTCTTGATCGTCTCATCGTACATTACATATTGTGATGGGCACTTAAAAAAAATGAGAATTGCTGCAGACTATGAAATATCGAATGGTTTCGTCTCCGAAAAAAGAGGGAGTCATGCCACCATGCAGATTGTAACAAATGATGTCTTGTGGGGAGAGTCTCCAAACACTAGCTTGGCCATAGTATTTGTGACTGTTAGCATTTTTAAGTTGCTTAGGAGTCAGTGTCAGGCTTCACGCCTAGCTGTCTGTGATCAGAGCTAGGATACTAGATCGTTAGGAACCCTGGACTTTTTATCCAGTGAAGGAAAAACTGATATTTGGTTTACTTGCACTAGTAAATTTGTCAAGAGACTATGAGACAGTATACGAAAGTGCTTTATTTATTTTTTGCACGTCATTTTGTCATCTGTGTTTGCTGAAAATATTTCTGCCAGCACAACAGTAATGAGAGTATGGGGAGCATCTGAATTTATAAGAAAACCGAGGATAAAATTCGTGCGAAAGAAGATCTTTTGTGAATTGAAAATATCAGTTAAAATCAATTTAAAAATGGATCCATTAACTTGGTGTTTAACTGCATCAGCTGTGTGGAAGGTCAGGGAACTTTCGCATGAAACTGGACCCTGCTTTTATTTCCTGTGGAAAAATAAAGGAGTCCCGGAATACAAAACTACAATTGCAATGAGAAAAGCAAGATAGAACGACGGTTAAAATGAGTGAGAGTTGAATGGCTTCTCTTGTGTGCCCTTGTTTTATTATTTACCTGTCATGTTTGTTGTGGGTGAAACTGGAATCTTCGAATTTTAACTACTTTTTATTTTATTGCCAGTTTATTCTGAGTACTTTTTTGCCTTTGAATTCATGCTTTATGAACAGCTCCTGCTGTCTGCCTTTGTACCAGACTCTTAAACATTACTCCACACTTAAACTCCACAGAAAGATTGTAAAATGAATACCTGAGAATAGCCAATTAGCAGGATTTTGAGAATAATTCATAAACTTTAACTGGAGTGAGCATTGTCCTATGGTATGCATGAGAGACACAGAAAGAAGTTAACTAGGGGTGTAGGTTAGTTAGTTAGGAAGACTTGTCCACCAAGGAAAAGCAAACCACTGTTGGTTTTATAGGGGAAGGAAATGGTTTGGATTTTTTTTTTATATCAGGTCTTGCAAGTGATGTTGGACTCCTTTCTTGTGCTTTCAGCTACAAAAGACCCGACAGCTGTAGAGAGAGCAAACTTGTTAAACATGGCTAAACTCAGTATCAAAGGACTCATTGAATCTGCTCTAAGCTTTGGCCGCACTTTGGATTCCGATTATCCCCCCTTGCAGCAGTTCTTCGTTGTTATGGAACATTGTCTGAAACATGGTCTTAAAGGTACTGGAAAATTTTTTAAAAATCAACTTTGGAGCATCCCCCCCTTCCATCTTAAACATCCTTGAAAATGTAATTTTTTTTTTTTTGAGGCCATAATTACTGTTACTTTAAAAATACTGGGTGGGTTGGTTCTTGGAGAAAATACCCTATTGCTTTATGTTTTCTCATGGGTGGTCTTCAGAAAATCCTTAGTATTTTGTAAAAAGTGTATTTTATTTAAATTTTTTTCTCAGCATGCTCTGAACTTTTTTCCATTTTAGACTATAGAGTTATTTAGAAAAATTTAAGCTTGATGATTCTGGTATGAACTGTTATTACTAGTTTGAGCTCTCTTCAACAAATACATTAAAATACTTGATTGTTGAAATATAAACTGCCTTAGTGTGTGAAAAAACATATCTAGAAAAATTGTCCTCTTGATTGGGTTATTGTAGAAATGTGAGTACTCCCTGAAAATGATGAGAATACTGAATAATATTTCAGAGTATATGCATAATATACATAATATATAATAATATTTTATTATATATGCATACCATGACTTATTTAACTACTGTCCTCTTCATGTACACTTAGGTTTTTTCCAGTTTTTTATCATTCAAATTGTGCCCTAAGGACATTTTTGGATATCTGCATTTGTACACGTGTACAAATGCTATGGTTTCGTTAGGACTCCTTGGAGTAGAATTATTGGGTCAAAGGATAGAGGCAACTTATGTCTATGAAGACTTCACTGATCAAACAACAGTAAATATGTTTCTCTGCCCACATTTTTGCCAACTCTTCATATTCCCACTCTCTGAATACTTCTTTTAAAACATCAGGAAGTCGACAGTCTTATCTTAGGCCTTGAGATTTAATTTGTGTTTTGAAAAACTGCCTTTTTATTTAAAAAAAAAACAGTGATGTAGATCTTTATTTTCTCCAACTTGCTAAAATGGAATTTGCCAAATGATGGCCAAAGTAGTTACATTTTAAACTCTTTTCTGAATTTATTTTCCTTTACTTCACAAAATATCATGAGACATATTCTAACAGTCAAATGTGTATTTTTATGAATCATTATAAGTCTACTTTGTGCTGATTTATTTTTCTTCCCCAAAGAAAAATTACCTATCTTGTTGGGTGGTGCATATCATAGGAGTACTGAATTTACAGGAGATTTTGTCAGTATTAAGAAAGAAACAAAAAAAAAAGAAAGAAACATAGTGATTTCATGGTTTTATATTACCCAAATCTTGGAAACAAATAAAAGCAAAAGTAAAGTTGCAATTTTTTGTGTTTACAAGTAAAATAACTATTTGTCCTTGGTTTATTTAATTGGTAAAGATCAACCTACTAGGGCCACCAGTCTTACTTTGGTACTGGTAAAGAATGAGCCTAGTTGTTTTTTACTTTATTTGCCTACTTGCATAGTTCTGATGTGGAAGAATGGCCAAGATGCATATTTCTGATAAGGAAAATACCAGAATCCTGAGGAACAGGCTTCTGTTCAGTAGGGCTATGTAGTGACAAGAGAGAAAAGGCTCTCTGAAAAATTGTATGTTAGGTTAGAAATGTTGAAACTAAATATTTAACAAGAAGTTACTACAGTTTTGCATGTTTAAGTTGTATGCATTTATTATATTTTCTTTTTAAAGTGAGAAAATCATTTCTGAGTTATAACAAAACTATCTGGGGCCCTTTGGAACTGGTGGAGAAGCTGTACCCAGAAGCAGAAGAAATAGGAGCTAGTGTCCGGGATTTACCTGGTCTTAAGTAAGTAGTCCGGTATCTTGTTCATCCCTAACCATAGACCTGTATTTACTGCTCCTTAAAAGTACCTCACACTCTAGTTTATTATATTCTCTCTGCCTTATGTAGCCTTCTTGCATTCTCTAATAAAATTCTGTTTATTATTAATCAGTTCAAATTTTATTTCCTTTACGAAATTTTTCTTAGCCCCTTCCATAAGAATTATGTGTTCTTTCTTTTATACTCTTATCACTATTCACTCCTGTATTATACCACTTACTTAATTTTTGCATTGCATTGCGGGAAATAGGGAAATTCTTTTAAGATAGGGTGTATCAATTATCAATTATGCAGTTCTTGTTTCCTGAGTATAGAGCTAGTTAGCAGTAATAGGCCATCAGTACTATTTAGGTTAAATCCAGGACAGAGGCTCAGAAGTTTTGAATTTGCCAATAAGCCATATTACCATATTACCAATATACCATAGGACTTATGCAAATTACTTCTGTTGTTCTGAAAATTGGGACCTATAATGTCACCTGCCTGATTGACTAGATGAAGGTAGAGTTGGCCCTTAATATCTGTAGGTTCTGCATCTGTGGATTTGACCCAACTTTGGATCAAAAATGTTTGAAAAAGAGATTTTCTAGAAAGTTCCAAAAAGCAAATCTTGAATTTGTCACATGCAGGCAATTCTTTACATAATATTTACATTGTATTAAGTATTATCAGTAATCTGGAGATGATTTAAAATGTCTGGGAGAATGTGCATAGGTAATACACAAATACTATGCTATTTTATAAGAGGGACTTGAATATCCATGGATTTTGGTATCTGAGGGGGTCCTGGAATCCATCCTCCCAATACTGAGGAGAAACTGTGTATGAAATGTCCTAAAAGCTGAATGTTCTAGCTAGTAAATCGTGATTGTTGAAAAGTTTTTACATGTTTTTTGTTGTTAAGCCTGGGTTCTTATGTTCTTCAGGGTCTGATTAAGATACAAGAGCTTCCTTTAATTTATCTTAATTCTTGTGAAAGAGATAACTTTTTTTTAAAAAATGCTTTTCATTTTTTGTCAGATTATTAGTTTGCTTTCTCTTCAGTTCAGTTCAGTTGCTCAGTTGTGTCTGACTCTTTGCAACCCCATGGACTGCAGCACGCCAGGCCTCCCTGTCCGTCACCAACTCCCGGAGCTTACTCAAACTCATGTCCGTTGAGTTGGTGATGCCATCCAACCATCTCATCCTCTGTCATCCCCTTCTCCTCCCACCTTCAGTTTTTCCCATCATCTGGGTCTTTTCTTTGAGTCAGTTCTTTGCGTCAGGTGGCCAAAGTATTGGAATTTCAGCTTCAGCATCATTCCTTCCAATGAATATTCAGGACTGATTTCCTTTAGGATGGACTGGTTGCATCTCCTTGCAGTCCAAGGGACTCTCAAGAGTCTTCTCCAACACCACAGTTCAAAAGCATCAATTCTTTGGTGCTCAGCTTTCTTATAGTCCTACTGTCACATCCATACATGACTACTGGAAAAACCATAGCTTTGACTAGACAGACCTTTCTTGCCAAAGTATTGTCTCTGCTTTTTAATATGCTGTCTAGGTTGGTCATAACTTTCCTTCCAAGGAGTAAGCATCTTTTAATTTCATAGCTGCAGTCACCATCTGCAGTGATTTTGGAGCCCCCTCAAAATAAAGTCTGACACTGTTTCCACTGTTTCCCCATCTATTTGCCATGAAGTGATGGGACCAGATGCCATGATCTTAGTTTCCTGAATGTTGACCTTTAAGCCAACTTTTTCACTCTTCTTTTTCACTTTCATCAGGAGGCTTTTTTAGTTCTTCTTCACTTTCTGCCATAATGGTAGTGTCATCTGCGTATCTGAGGTGATTGATATTTCTCCCAGCAATCTTGATTCCAGCTTGTGCTTCTTCCAGCCCAGCGTTTCTCATGCGGTACTCTGCCTATAAGTTAAATAAGCAGGGTGACAGTATACAGCCTTGATGTACTCCTTTTCCTATTTGGAACCAGTCTGTTGTTCCATGTCCAGTTCTAACTGTTGCTTCCTGACCTGTATACAGATTTTTCAAGAGACAGGTCAGGTGGTCTGGTATTCCCATCTCTTGAAGAATTTTCCACAGTTTGCTGTGATCCACACAGTCAAAGGCTTTGGCATAGTCAATAAAGCAGAAATAGATGTTTTTCTGGAACTCTCTTGCTTTTTCGATGATCCAGCGGATGTTGGCAATTTGATCTCTGGTTCCTCTGCCTTTTCTAAATACAGCTTGAACATCTGGAAGTTCACGGTTCACATACTGTTGAAGCCTGGCTTGGAGAATTTTGAGCATTACTTTGCTAGCATGTGAGATGAGTGCAATTGTGCAGTAGTTTGAGTATTCTTTGGGATTGCCTTTCTTAGGGATTGGAATGAAAGCTGACCTTTTCCAGTCCTGTGGCCACTGCTGAGTTTTCCAAATTTGCTGGCATATTGAGTGCAGCACTTTCACAGCGTCATCTTTTAGGATTTGAAAGAGCTCAACTGTAATTCTATCACCTACAGTAGCTTTGTTCATAGTGATGCTTCCCAAAGCCCACTTGACTTCTCATTCCAGGATGTCTGGTTCTAGGTGAGTGATCACACCATCATGGTTATCTGGGTCATAAGATCTTTTTTGTATAGTTCTGTGTATTCTTGCCACCTCTTCTTAATATCTTCTGCTCTTTGAATTTTGAAATGGTTGGGTCCATACCATTTCTGTCCTTTATGGTGCCCATCTTTGCATGAAATGTTCCCTTGGTATCTCTAATTTTCTTGAAGAGATCTCTAGTCTTTCCCGTTCTATGTGTTTCTCTTATTTCTTGCACTGATCACTGAGGAAGGCTTTCTTATCTCTGCTTGCTATTCTTTGGAACTCTGCATTCAAATGGGTGTATCTTTCCTTTTCTCCTTTGCTTTTTGCTTCTCTTCTTTTCACAGGTATTTGTGAGGCCCCCTCAGAGAGCCATTTTGCTTTTTTGCATTTATTTTTCTTGGGGATGGTCTTGATCCCTGTCTCCTATACAGTGTCACCAACCTCTGTCCATATTCTTCAGGCACTGTCTATCAGATCTAATCCCTTGAATCTGTCACTTCCACTGTATAATCATGAGGGATTTGATTTAGGTCATACCTGAATGGTCTAGTGGTTTTCCCAACTTTCTTTGATTTAAGTCTGCTTTCTCTTAGCTTTACGATTTAGGTTTTGGGGAATATGGTAATGTTTTCTGTTGTTACATCATCTAAATGTTTGCAAGTTATACTTGAGTGCTCAAAGTAAATGGCTTCTATTTATTGAGCAATGTATCAGGGTAATAAGATGACATGAATTATCTTATTTAGTGCTTAAATCTTCCTTAGAGTAGAGTTTATTAATAATTATACAGATGTGAAAAGTAAAGATCAAAGAAATTATAAGTGGCAGAGCCACAGACTTCCCTGTGGTGCAGTGGATAAGAATCCAGCTGCCAATGCAGGGGACTCAGGTTCTTTCCCTAGTCTGGGACGATTCCACATGCCGCAGAGCAACTAAGCCTGAGTGCCTATGCTCTAGAACCCACTTCTAGAGCCCGGGAGCTGCAGCTACTGAAGCCCGAGTGCCTGCAGCCCGTGCTCCGCACTAAAAGAAGCCACCGCATGGAGAATCCTGCACACCACAACCAAGAGTAGCCCCAGCTCATCAGAAAGAGAGAAAACCCGCTCGAAGCAATGAAGACCCAGCACAGCCTAAATCAATCAATCAGTCGGGTTACTTTTCTTTAAATGGCAGAGCCAGGATTTAAACCCAGGTTTTAGAATTAAATAGCAAGTGATGGTCATACTTCATATTTCTCTCAGTGGTGCATAAGGTATCACAGTTTTTAACAGGGCTTCCCAGGTGGCCCAATGGTTAAAATAATAATAATAATAATAATGCCTGCCAATGCAGGAGACGTGGGTTTGATCCCTGGTTTGGAAAGGGCTTGCTTGCACTCTAGTATTCTTGTATGGAAAATTCCATGGACAGAGGAGCTTGGTGGGTCCATGAGGTTGCAGAGTCTGACACCCCTGAGCGATTGAGCAAAGGCACAATTTTTAAAGAGGAAAAAGGGAATTTAAACTCAGGCAATGTAAGAATTGCTTTTTATTTTAATATGAAAATACATGTTCATGCTGTTTTTAAAAAGCCAAACTCTACAAAAGTAAAAAATATTTTCTGAAGAATAGTGCTCATTAAAATGCTAAGCCAAAAGAAATTTGTTAGCTGTTAGAAGTGACAATTAAGTTTTTTCCCACAGTACCAGACAAAAAGTTTTCTGTATAAGAAAATATAAAAGTGTGAGTGATGTATTTCTCTTTAAAAAATCATTCATACTCTGTAAATCTTGGTTTTAATTTACTAAATGATAACCTGGATAAGAGAGATATGAGCTTTAATTTTTTTTTAGCAAGAGAATACATCCACACTTTTATTTTCAATAAGCTTAAGTCCTTGAGAGGTATAACAAACACCACATGAATTTTGTCTTCAGTTGAAACCTTTTGGTGTCCTTTCATAGGCTCTGAAGAGCTCCAGTACCGTAGTCCTTCATGTCTCAGCACAGAAAAGGAATTCAAGAGGCAGAGTGATAGATAAGTGATTCATTAGAGTAGGATGCTTGTGAGTCTTAAAAGTGAATGAGAAGTACTGTGCCCGAGAACTTACTAGGTTACAGTTTTATAATCAAGGGAAAAGGGGGGAGGGCGGTGAAGACCTTCTTTGTCTTTCTTCAGTATACATCATGCTTCCATCATCAGTTCCTCCTCCAGGTTAAGCAGGGGAGTTTTCTTATCTCTACGTGGTCAGGCTGGGTCCACTGGTTACCTTTTGTTTTTTTAATGTGTGTGTGCAGAGAGCGTGTCCTGGGGATCAGTAACATACTGGGCTCACCGGGCAGTGTGTGAGTCTCCAGCCACCGTTGTTTTATTGTTTAGGGGCACGTCTCTTGCTTCTGCTGCATGGTTTTGTGGTTAAGCAGACCTGCTTTCCTGAGTAATCATTAACTTACCGTGGTCTACCGTATTTTTTTCTATTTACAGTCCCCTAGTGTGATTAAACTGTTTCATCACCTCTTTTGTCCTTTTATTCTGTCCCTGTTACAGTGACCTTAGCAGGAAGGTGGCTTCAGAATTTGGCACAGGTCATGCCCCTGTTCCATGAGCATGGATTATCTTCCCCAGATGGTTTTGTTTGGTTTCCAGGAGGAGATACTGTGTGGTTTGTTTTTTTTTGCCTGGTACACATCAGTACATCTCTTGCCTAGATAGAATTAATTTTCATCTTGAGCACAAACACCTTCAATTTTAAGATCTGTGTGCTCCCTCTGGTCTCAGAGACTCTGCTTATAGGGAGCAAAAATAGCCCTAGGCCACAACCTTTCAGACATATTTGTTATATTAGAAGTTTTGTTCCCAGCAGGCTTCCATATTAGAGAGATTTAATGTTCTAAAGGACAACTGTGTTAAAGAAACATTTGAAAAACAGCAAGCAGCCTGGTGATTCTCTCTGATTGCTAGATACCTTCTTAGCGTTGTTAATGCTTTTTAAAATTCAGATACAAGGCCAGTTATTTTTTGAGGTGGTCATACTACCTTTACTGATGCATTTTGCATAATCATGTTTAGAGGACTAAGCCTATTCTGACAAAATATTTCTTGTAGAAATATCCTCCCTGTTTAGAGAGTCATTTCTTTCAAGGCATGAAGTGGTACCTAGATGTCCTGTAGGTTCAGGCTTACTTTAGAGACTTAAATAGATCTTAGGGATTGGTTTGCATGATCAAAGAACTGACTTAAAGCTCTAGAAACAAAGGTAAAACCATGGTTAATTGCCTTTTCTCATTATTAACGTGTCTCAACAAAGGTAGAAGATGTAGTCTATAATCTTCGGGCCGAGACTGTTTTCTGACCATTTGTTTTTGCTTATCAGGACCCCCCTGGGTCGTGCAAGAGCATGGCTTCGATTAGCCCTCATGCAGAAAAAAATGGCTGATTACCTGCGTTGCTTAATTATTCAAAGGGATCTCTTGAGGTAATTACCATTAAATCATGTTCATTTTCATTTTTTATTTCATTTATGTCCTGTCCTCCAAAAAGGATAGAAGATGTAGTATGAAAGGCTACATAAAACACATCTTGATGGCATAAAATGAAAGGTACATAAAACACATCGTGATGGCATAAAATGAAAGGTACATAAAACACATCGTGATGGCATAAAATAAAAGGAGGAGGAAAATGAGATAGAAAACTATGGTGGGGACATAACATAGATCAAGAACTAGCCTGAAAAATGAATACTGTAAGATTTTTATTGGCCAATAAGGTAGAAATTTGTGTGTCATATTTTTAAATTTTAATTTTTAAGTTACAGTTAATTCTATGAATAAAGGTTTGTATTGAAATTTGGGGCTTTAATTCAAGAGTTTTATTTTTAGATCTTGAAATCCAAACCACTGCTTTGGCTGTATTGTGGGTACTTTTTAAACTGCCTATTTAAATGGAGGGACAAATGTTTAAGACAGACTTTCAAAGCAAGGAGACTAATTTTCAGAAGGAGTGGGCCTACGACAGCCCCCTCCATTCAGCCTTGTTCTGTCAGAGTGCCTCAGTGATGTTCTGGAGGATCTGGTCATTTTTTATTTTACTCTTGACTCCAGTGGTACCTCTTGGTTTTCCCATTTGTTAAATGAGAATAACCATACTTTAAACACCTTCAGTTTCTCAACCGGATTCTAAAGGTTATTTAAAGTGATTAAACAGTATACATGGGACAGTGATAACTAGAATCCTGAGTATTAGTTGTCAAGTCTTAGTTTTAAGTCTTAGTTTTTAGACTATCCTATTTGTTTCACCAGTCTTTTGTTTGAACATTTTTTTGGGATCTAGATATCCATAAATATCTTTAATGGTTACCTATTAAGAGCACTTTTAATACATATATACCAAATGAATTAACTTGAAGTGTTTCTTATGTTCATTTTGCTACTTAGTCTTTATCCCAAGGGTCTTGATAAATCCTGGGATGAAAATTCAACTGTACTAAAGAAGTACTGTTATCAGATCAGCAGCCAATCACTATGTCTTTTGCAAGTCATAAATATTCACATTTAAATCTCAAAATTTTAAGTTGCTCATGTATAGAAAGGCTAATTTTAAGATACCTAACTTAATATTGGCTCCATGCTTGTTATAAGGGATTGAGATTTTACAGGTTGGTTTTTGAAATAAATTTGTGACTTAGGATTTTTGTTATTTTAATTTTCACAGTGAATTCTATGAGTATCATGCACTAATGATGGAAGAAGAAGGCGCAGTAATTGTCGGGCTGCTGGTTGGCCTGAATGTGATAGATGCTAATCTGTGTGTAAAGGGGGAGGATTTAGACTCGCAGGTAAGTGAGAAGGACTGGCGCCAAAGGCAGTGTTTGCAGCCTGTGCTCTTCCTGTCTGGTCCAGGTGTAAGCCGTGCTGCTAAACCCTAAAGAAGAGTTCAGGATGAAAGTCAGTTGTATTTTGGAGGTACTTCTAGTATTTCTACTCTCTAAATAAGAATAACTTTATTTACTTCAGGTTGGAGTGATTGATTTTTCAATGTATCTAAAGAATGAAGAAGATATTGGAAATAAAGAAAGGTATGATTTTCTTAAGTTATTTCACATATCATATTTTAGTCTGAAGTATGACTTTTGGTCGTACCGTTAGTTCAGAGACCCGTTTTATTTTTTATTTATTTATTTTTTGGTTGTGCTTCAAGGCTTATGGGATTTTAGTTCCCCAACCAGGTACCAAACCCAGGCCCTTGGCAGTGAGAATGTAGAATCCTAACCACTGAACTGCCAGGGAATTCCCCAGAGGCCCATTTTAATTGTCAACTCTCATTTCTGTGATAAAAAGAGATATAAGTTTATTATTCATAAACTTACAAATACTGGTTTATTTTAAGACAGTTGTGTTTAAATTTAAAATAAACTTATTTGGTCCACTAAAGAGAAATGATAATTATGTAATATGAGAAGTGCTAATTATTGCTACAATGGCAGTCCATCACAGTATATAAAACAGATTAACATGTTGTATACTTTACACTTCATGTATCAAATATATTTCTTAAAAAATAAATGCAAAAAATTAAAGAATATACTAATGGTATTGTTTAATATTAGCATGTAATTTATTTAACGAAGGTTAATAGTTTTTTAGTTCATAGCTTACTGCTATTTGATTATAAAGATTGTTGAATTTTATTTGAAAGACAAGACAATGTTGGACAGGGAAGCCTGGTGTGCTGCAGTCCATGGGGTTGCAAAGAGTTGGACATGACTGAGCAGCTGAACTGAACTGAAATGTTGTTTTACCGTTACGGTTTCACAACAGTTGTAGATGATTTAGACCTTTTGTGTATTTCTTGTTTGTTTGGTTTTTTTGGCCACCCAGTAGATTCCTTTCTAGTTAACTAAAATCTGCTTTTCCCTCCTCCTCTAGGAATGTTCAAATTGCTGCAATATTAGACCAGAAGAATTATGTTGAAGAATTAAATAGACAACTGAAGTAAGTATTATGGACACATAGATACTTAATACATTTTGGATATTGTCTTAAGTTTTTTTTCCCCCTTTTAGGTCCTCTTAACCCTATTCTTTTTTTATAAGCATTTGAAAAGGGGTTGAGGGGATAGAGAGTGAATGGAAATTAAGAATACAGAAAATTATTGGAAATAATTGATCTTCAGCAGAAAATGAGAGTTATATTTTTAAATAGAATATTCAGAGACATTTTAAAATAGAATTTCAGACTTATCACCCTACCCTTGAGCTAAAAGGCCAGGTAGGGTGAAACTTTAAGTCATTTTGGTGGTTCAAAAATTAATTTTTCCTACTTTAGAGGCCTTCATGTGTAAGTATGGCAATAAAAAATTCAGAGAAGGCAGTTGGTGCATGTCAGTTAACATGATGAGTCCAGGATGACAAATTTTTACTTGCCTTTGTGAGTATGTGTGATTCTGAATGAGTTTTTTCTTTATCAATTTCAGCAGCACAGTCAGCAGTCTCCATTCAAGAGTTGACTCATTAGAAAAGTCAAATACTAAGCTGATTGAAGAGGTATTGTCACCCAGCCATGGATAATTGTCTTTCAAGGACCTAGTATTGGCAAGCCTTTTCCATTTTAAGTATGAATGTGCTAAGCGTATGCACATGTGTGCACACACAAACACATTTTCATCATTATGATGAAATACTTGTAATTGATCATCGTAAGTTCTAGAGAAACCACATACTATTCTCAGGCAAGTCCTTAGGTGACTGTGAATTATTTGAGATACCCAACTTCTAGAAATGAGCCCCCAAATGCAATGCATACAAACTCATCTATAAATAAACTGTGAATCTCATTTCTTGACTTGGATGACCTATATTTAGATAGTGGAATCACCTATAGTTAGAAATTCCCATTAAAATGATCTCCTGTCCCCCTTGTTCCCATATTCAGATTAATTTTCCTTACAAGCATCACTCCATGATCATGTCCATCCTTTCTATGGCCTCCCATGTGTGAAACTCATCTGATGTACTCTGGTTTTCTGCATTGTCAAAGTAGCTATTTGGTGGTCACAAATCAGAAATTTATTTCAGCTCTTTTTTAACTTTTAAAAAAATGTTTTGGCCATGCCATACATCTTGCAGGATCTCAGTTCCCCGATCAGGGTTTGAGCCAGTGCCACGGCAGTGACAGTGCTGAATCCTAACCACTAGGCCACCAAGGAACTCCCTCACATCTCTCACTTTTTTTTGTTTTTAATTAATTTATTTTTTAATTGAAGGATATTTGCTTTACAGAATTTTGTTGTTTTCTGTCAAACCTCAACATGAATCAGCCATTGGTATACATATATCCCCTCCCTTTTGAATCTCCCTCCCATCTCCCGCCCCATCCCACCTCTCTAGGTTGATACTGAGTCCCTGTTTGAGTTTCCTGAGCCACACAGCAAATTCCCGTTGGCTGTCTATTTTACGTATGGTAGTGTACTATTTGTAAAGTTGCTTTGGGGCTTCCCAGACGGCTCAGTGGTAAAGAATCCGCCTGCCAATGCAGGAGATGCAAGACAGATGTGGATTTGATCCCTGCATCAGGAAGATCCCTTGAAGAAGGAAATGGTAACCCACTCGAGTATTCTTGCCTGGGAAATCCCTTGGACAGAAGAGCCTGGTGGGCTGCAGTCCATGGGGTTGCAAAGAGTTGGATACAGCTGAGCACACACACATGCCAAGTTGCTTTTGAGATTTAAAGAAAAACAGCCTAGCCTCAGAATTACCATGGGGGCTGCTTCCCTAGTAGCTCAGACAATAGACAATCTGCCTGCAATACGGCAGACACAGGTTTGATCCCTTGGTTGGGATTCCCCCTGGAAAAGGAAATGGCTACCTACTCTTGCCTGGAAAATTCCACGGACAGAGGAGCCTGGTGGACTGTGTCCATGGGGTCACAAAGAATCGGGTATGACTTGAGTGACTTTCACTTAACCATAGAATTGCTTTCCATTTTCAGAATTACTTAGGCTCCAGGAAAAAATATGTTATTAGTACTATGAATTCTATTTTCTATGCTAATTAGAATCCACATTCTTTTAGAACTGACCCCGTTGTCCCAAACCAGGAAGCACATGATTGTATGAGTTTTCATTTTGATTGTTTAGGACCATTTGATAGTGTGATAGATTGGGACCATTGGAGAGAGCTGCTCACTAGTTTGTGCCTCTTCTTGACCACAGGGGCACTGTGAAGTTCAAGTTGCATTTCTGACAGTGTTTAGAAATTTATTTGCAAGCCAAATAAATTTGGGGGACTGGTTTCTGCTTTCCTCTCCTAGAATCTCTTTTTTCATTTTAAGCTTCAGAGCCAAGTCACTTACTTAGTTATTCATATTTAATTTCATTCGTGTTTAACTCTGATGGTGAGAGCTGTCTTATATTTGTGATGGTCACTCAGTGCGCCCAGATTTCACAAGGGTGCCCTGTTTGGTTTTCATGAATGTCTCTATTACATTTTCAATTGTAGCACAGCTTTCCTTATAGATGTTGTTGTCTTTGCACAAGTCTTTACAGTCTTATTGTTTGACATACAAACAGTTGTCTTATTGTTTAGCATATAATTCTTCATATGCTTACTCATGCGCTTTGTATTCAGGACACATTGTAAGTCATATAAACAATATGTTTCTGCTGACATGATTTGACTAACAAAAGGAAATAGAAATACAATTTCTTTAGTTGGTATCTTGGGATAATAGCATTTTTCTTATGAAAATTTCTGTAGATGTGAGAGTCATTTTACAAATTTTAGAATTTTATCTTCTGTTATGAATAGCCATGAACATAACCTGTAAAGCAAGTATAAATAAAGATGTTTAAAATCTTTTTTTATTCCTCATTTTATTTTTAGTTAGCAATAGCAAAGAATAATATCATTAAACTCCAAGAAGAAAATCATCAATTACGAAGTGAAAATAAATTGATTTTAATGAAAACACAGCAGCACCTAGAGGTAAGTGTAGACTGATTACAGATTGACTTGTGTCAGAAATAGCCGTTTTTGGGGCTTTTGCATAGATAGACTGGGTATTTCTGTGCTGTATTAACTAATAGAAGTGATTATAGAATGGATTTATCGGATGGCACTAGTGGTAAAGAACCCGCCTGCCAGTGAAGGAGACATCAGAGACTTGGGTTCGATCCCTGGGTTGAGAAGATCCCCTGGAGAAGGCGTGGCAACACACTCCATATAGAGTAAAACATTTTCTGTTTTTGTCCTAGGTTACCAAAGTAGATGTGGAAACTGAGCTTCAAACATATAAGCATTCCAGGCAAGGGCTAGATGAAATGTATAATGAAGCCAGAAGGCAGCTTCGAGATGAATCTCAGTTAAGACAGGTCGGTTGCATTACAGTTACATTAGCAAAAATGATATTATTTTCCCCATAAGCAGTGGTTAAAATCTCTATCAGACTTGCCTTCCTTGGTGTGAGATAGCAATCTCATTCCCTTAATTCCTTCTACCTTTTTAAACTCCCACTATGTCTGTTTTATTAGCAGTGTTTTTAAACAGTGTTATAGTCTGTCTGTGAAATAGTGCATTGTGACCAGCATTACAGAAAATAGAGTGATGTATTCAGATATCAAGATCCAAACAGTAAAGTCTTATTTAAAGTTAACATTTTTTTTTTAAAGTTAACTTATTTTTTAACCCTTTAAGTTATGAAATATCAGCAGAAAAATACAAGTATGTAGCTTGATGGATTATAATATAAATACCTGTGTAACCAACCCAGATCAAAAAGAGAGTCAAGAGACATTTGTCTTAAGATCCTCTGATATAAAATTCTTTAAGAAAAGAAATAAAACTGTTTGTGAAATGGTGTTTTTGATTTATCTCTGGCCTTATATGGATGGACTATGTCGTTTCTTTGAGGAAAATTAATACTGAGTTTATGAGGCTTAAAAGTCCATAATTCTTGAGCCAGTAGAAGAGTGATAATTAATAGGATGTGTAAGATGCTTTCATTTAACAAAATGTGCCTTTGAAAATATAGAACGTTGTTATAGGGCCTAGCTGATTGCATTTAATGGGGCTTATAACTCAAAAGTAGTAGTCTGCATAGTGAATCTTGGTCTAATTAACTGTTGTGTATCTGACTTTGACATCCTGAAATAGTGTGTGAGTTGAGGCTGTTGAATTGCAGGATGTGGAGAATGAGCTGGCAGTACAAGTTAGTATGAAACATGAGATTGAACTTGCCATGAAGTTGTTGGAGAAAGATATCCATGAGAAACAAGATACTCTGATAGGCCTTCGACAACAACTGGAGGAAGTTAAAGAAATTAACATAGAAATGTATCAAAAGTTGCAGGTAAGGAATATTCTTAAAATCTTGGAATTTCTTGTTATATGATTAAGAATGAGTATTTGTATGAAGGATTTGGTTTTAAATAGATGAATTCATTGTAATTGTGCCATTTTATTAGTAAAAATCAGTGGCTTTTTTCCTAAATGGAAGCTGAAGAACTGTAATAATGTCAAAGAACAGCAAAATCACCTGAATTTGTTTCTTGAGGTTGACAGGATAACAGATGAAGATTAAATCTTTTGGTAAAATTTAATCAAAATATGCAACACATTTTTGTAAATTTTGCACAGTGTAGTCCTGAGAGAGATTTAATTTTTTTTTCTTTTTTTTTTTTGAGAGATTTAATTTTGATTAAAATGCTTTACTGTAATTGTTTTGAGTTTTCTGATAAAGTGATATTGCTGTTAAGTAGACATGTTGCCAAAAGGCTTTTACAATTTAATTTGAAAAAAATAGTGTATTTTCCAAGAGTTTATTTATTCTGCCATCTTCTGAAAACATTGAAGGGTGAGGGTTTTTTTTCCCTTTATTATTAATGTATTTTTTTCTTGACTGCACTGCATGATTTATGGGATCTTAGTTCCCCAACCAGGGACTGAACCCGTGTTCTCAGCAGTGAAAGCTCAAGAGTCTTAACCACTGGACTGCCAGGGAATTCCCCCTTTATTACATTTTAAATGAAGACTAATAATAGTACTGCTTTAGATCTAGGAGTATTTTATTTTTAATTCATTGTTTTTTAACTGAAGTGTAGTTGATTTACTATGTTAATTTCTGCTATATAGCAAAATGACTCATTTACACATATATATACATTCTTTTTATATTCTTTTCCATTAAAATTTATCCCAGGATATTGAATATAATTCCCTGTGCCATACAGAGGACTTTGTTGTTTATCCATTCTATGTGTAATAGTTTGCATTTACTAACCCCAGACACCCAGTCCATCTCCTCCACCCACACACTTGGCAGTGAAAGATATGTTCTCTATGTCTGTGAGTCTGTTTCATAGATATGTTCATTTGTGCCATATTTTATATTCTGCATACAAGAGATAACATGGTATTTGTCTTTCTCTTTCTGACTTACTTCACTTACTATGATAGTCTCTAGTTGTATCCACGTTGTTGCAAATGGCATTATTTTGTTCTTTTTTTGATGGCTGAGTCATATTCCACTGTATAAATATACCCCATCTTTATCCAGTCTTCTTTTGATGGACATTTAGGTTATTTCTATGTTTTGGCTATTGTGAATAGTGCTACTGTGAACACAGGGGTGCATCTAGGAATAGTTTTAACCTGTAAATAAAGGCTGGTCGTTTCAAAATAAGAATCCCAAAGCAAAATGGTATACAAAGCTTATACATATTTGGGTTTCAAAAAAGCCACTGTAGCTTTTATGTTTTTTCTAAATAGGGTTCTGAAGATGGTTTGAAAGAAAAAAATGAAATAATTGCCCGACTAGAAGAAAAAACCAGTAAAATTACTGCAGCCATGAGGCAACTGGAACAAAGGTACAGCATTTCCAATCTTAGTTCCTTTTTTGCTTTCTCTGTCCCCCCTTTTCTTTATTCAACTCTGACACCTGCCACAAAGACCATTAGGAAAATTTAGATTAGGACTTTTTTTTTAAAAGCCCAGCAGAATTTTGCCTTTTTTGTTTTGATTGTTGCATGGAATCAAGTTGCTTTATATTAGCCTGATTCATTTGTCATTGCCATTTTGTAGATTTTTTAGATAGGCCTAATATTGGCGATTTTATATGGTTTAATGTATTACATAAGACAAGTACACAAACAAAACCTTGAAAAAGTGAAAAACAAACAAAATCCATGATTGAATTATCCCTGATTGATTTCCATGCATATAGATTGTCATATCCCTTGTCATTCACCATCTCTATCTGAAGTCAAGCTTTCTGAGTTGGCAGTTTAGTTGTGTTTCTTTGAGCTAGGACCCTCAACCCCACCCAAGAAATAATTTTGTTTAAATTGAATTGTTTTATATTGGCATTTTTCACTTTTATTGTTGGAAAATGTAATGTATTTCCATTGACCTGTCATGTTGGTGTCAACATATGTCTTATCATTGCTTTCTTTGAATCTACTTATGAAAAACATAACTATTAATGCTTTATTGACATGAATATTCTTTTATTGACATCCTCTTTCTTCTTTTTTCTTTTTTGTTTTCTTTATCCCCATTTTTACATTTTGGACATCTTTATTACCTTTTTCTGTCTTTGATTTCTGTCCATTCCATTATGAAGTGACAATGATTTGTTAACTCAAACTAGAACAATTGCAATGTCATTGGTGAAATGTGCCAGCAGTGACACTCAGGACCAGTATAAGCTGGTCAAAGATATATCTTTCTAAAGACCACTTGTATTTAAACAGACTGAAAGAGAATCAAAAATTTTATAATATATTAAATTGAAAAATAATTTACGCTACTATGTATTCTGAAAGGAACCCTGTACACTTCTTGATCAGCTGCCGTGGTAGTACACTGCCATAAAGCAGAGTGGGTGCACTTGGATTTCCAAAAACACATTCCTCAAACCTTGTGCACAAGGGCTTATTTGAGTCTTGACCCTTTGGAGGTCAGAATTTTCAAATGCAGTTTTATCTTTTTAGCTACTTTTTGATGAAAAATCTAAAAATTGTTTACTAATAAGTTACCCTTTGGTTTCACAATGTGTTGGCACAGTTTTTTTCCCCATTGGCCCACTCTTTATTTACTAGCTCCTTTACTGATTTCTGAGTGCATTCTAAAATAGTTTATAACTCAGACTGGCCATCACCTTATGCTTTAGCTCCTTGACTTTTCAGTTCCTCTCAGCCCTCTTCTATAATAGCACAACTTCACGGCCTACCTCACTCTGACTTTTTTTTTTTCATTTCTGTACCCTTTGAGAAAAGCTTGGGTATCCCATCTCCCCATGTTAATATTTTAAATTGAGATTTAGAGATAACTTGAATGTTACTCTCTTTTCTTTGAAAGTGGCCTTTATACTTTTGGATTGTGTGAGGGTTGCCCCATGGGCATGGTTTTTAAAGAAGAAAAGAGGTAACTTTTTTGGCTAGTTGAACAGAAATTTCTCTTATGATTCCCTTCAAGGACTTAATGTCCCTTGAATTCTTGGGAGATGTTTTCTTATACAAGTAGTGACGTTAAATCTAAGAAATCGTAGATGGCCGTAGGAGACAGGGAGTGGAGCTGAGCACAAGGAGAAGCAATGACGTAAATAAAAGGAGAAAAAAAAAATCCACATTTTAAGCTAATTTTAAAAATTCAGTGATGAGGAGCAAAAATGATCTCTAGCAAATGTTGCCAACTAGTACTAAATTCTTTCAAATCCTAAAACACATATATATACACACAGAAGCATACACACACAAAAAGCATTGGCATACTTTAGTAAGTGCATAAAGATTCTATAGGGAGGACTTGGCTATAATTTGAAGCAATTGCAGGTCTTTGCTCTTGGCCTTGTAGCACACTTGATTCCTGGCATACACATCCTAGCATAATATATAACAATGTGGCTTCTTCACCTAGTGTAGACATAAGTACTATACTTTTCATGGTTTTGTAAAAAGGCAGTAATGCACGTATTATCCTTTGAAAATTAACTCCTTATGCTTTACATAAGTGGTAAAGGCTATATTGCTTTGCATTGTTAATTACGAACAAGAAATAAAGCAAATTTGAAGATAGTATTCTGGGCATATTATGTATTATATTGGAAAAAAAAAATCACAAAACAATTTCTAGACATTGTGTGGCTCTTTCACGTTTGAGTTTGTGAGTTTTTCCCCAAACTTTGTTTTCATTTAGAAATGTTTCTATTTCCCCATTTTTCTTTTATTTGTCTTCTTCACCCTTTTACACCCTAGTTCTAGCCTCAGTTTTACCCAAAGTTGATTTGAATTACACCAGATTGCAGCAAGCAGAGAAGGCGCAAATGGAAATTGAAGATGAGGACAAGAAATATCTACAAGAGTATCAGAGTAAATTCGACAGTCTGCAGAAACAAATCTCCCAAAAGGAGAAACAGTTGTGAGTATTTTACTTGGAAATAAATACTTGTGTTAATATAATTTCTCCCTGTTTTCTTCCACCTTTTTTAGCACATAATAGAAGAAAACCTGTATTTTCATTTATTTAACGATGCTGAGTAGATTGTAGAACTTCCCTTAAAAAAAAAACTAGGAAAAAAAAATAACAAACTAGAAAACACAGTTGTGATAATATTTATGTTTTTTCTCCCTTTATTGTTTATAGAGTTACTTTCAACCGTCTTGCTATCTTCTTGCTCATGGAGAGTTTTATTCTTTTAGGTTGTTCAGCATTAATCTGATGGCCATTATGTTTCTAAATACTGAGTATAGTAGATCTTCGTAACTCCACAGAGTTTATATTATCAAAGAACATGATATTTTCTGAGAATATTTTTATTAGTACTTCATATGTTAGATCTACATATTACCAGCTAGGAAAGATGCCAAAAAAACAAGCTGTAGGCAAAGTTTTATACCATTTTTTATAAAACTAAAACTGCATAGGTGTATATTTACATATAGAAAAGTTTTAAGAATATAGATTCTGGGGACTTCCCTGGCAGTTCAATGATTAAGATGCCATGCTTCCACTGCACTGAGCTTGGATTTTATCCCAGTTGGGGAACTAAAGTCCCACATGCCACACAGCAAAAAAGAAAAAAAAGAATACAGATTCTGGGAAATGATTATCTCAAGGGAGTAATGGCAAATTGACAGTAATGGCAATTGATAGTAAAAGTAAAATTACTTTTTACTTTTTTTAGATCAGTATTTTTTTACCCCAAGAAATACATATCATTTTTGTTATTAAAGAAAACAGCAAAACAGCAATAGAAAATTGTTATACATTATGTTTGAAAAAAGTTAAGGTCGCTCAGTTGTGTCCAACTCTTTGTGACCCCATGGACTATGCAGTCCATGTGTAACGTCATTAAGCAATATCATTTACCAGATATGATGTGTTACTTTAAGCTACCTTTAAATCCATTGCTTAAAAAAGCAACTATACTCCAATAAAAATTAGTTAAAAATATCCATTGGTTGAGGTGTTCTTTTCTGTTCTTGATGATTTTCTGTCTAGTGGTTCTATCAATTATCAAGAGAGGATTTGTTGAAATATCCTAACTATAATTGTGGATTTGTGTATCTCTACTTTCAGTTCTATCAATTTTGGCCTCTTGCATTCTGGAATTCTGTTTGGTGCCTGCACATTTAGCATTTCTTTGTCTTCTTGGTGAATTGACCTTTTATCATTTTATAATGTTCCTTTTTTGTCTCTGGTAATTTTATTTGCTCTGAAATCTACTATATCTCATATTAACATAGCCACTCCTACTTTCTTCTGATTAATGTTTTTATGTAGTAAACAAAAGATCAATGTTATGTACATCTTCTATCTTTTTACTTTCAGCCTAATCTGTTTCATTATATTTGAAGTAAGTTTCCTATAGTGCATGTTTTTTATCCATTTCGCCACTCTCTGTTTTGATGATATATTTAGCCCATTTGTATTTAGTGTAATTGTTGATACATTAGAGCTTAAATCTGCTGTTCTACTTTTTCTGTTTTCATTCCTGTATTCAATTTTTCCTGCCTTCTCATGGGTTACTTGAACATTATTTAGAACTCCTTTTTGATTTATCTATAGTATTTTTAATTGTATCTCTTTGTATAGATTTTTAAAAGGGGTTACTCTGGACATTATATTATATATTTGCAACTTTTCACTACTGATATCAGCGTTTTACTACTTTGAGGGAAATGTGGAAGCCTTACTTCCACTTAGACCTTTTTACACTCTCACAATATAATTTGCTTAAAACATTTCCCCTATGTAATATTGAGAACTACATCAGACAATGATATAATTTGTGTTTCAACCATTAAACATAATTTAGAAAACTTTCTATTGTTCTTTCTTTCTTCATGATGCTCCAAGTTTTCCTTCTTTGTGTCTGAAGAAGTTCATTTAGCCATTTTTCTAGGGTAGGTCTGTTGGCAGCAAACTTCTTAGTTTTCTTTCATCTGAGGTCTTGATATCAACTTTATTTCTGAAGGGTAGTTTCAGAATATCTTTAGAATTCTGAGTCGACAGTTATTTTCTTTCAGGACTTGAAAGTGTTGTACTGCTTTCTTTTGGTCTTCATAATTTCTGATGAAAAGTAGACTCAATCATTGTTCTTCTAATTACTCTGAAGAGTCTTTCTTTGGATTTATGCTATTTCAGCTTTGGTCAGCTTCTTCAGTTATTAGGCTTATGTTTGTCAGATTTGGACAAATTTCAGTCATTATTTCTTCAGATATTTTTTTCAGTTCCATTTGCTTTCTCCTCTCTTTTCTGGGACTCTATCATAAATGTTAGATTTTTTGTTAATGGTCCTACAGGACCCTGACACTATTCTTTTTTTTTTTTTTTTAGTTTTCTTTCTGTTGTTCAGATTGGGTAGTCTCTGTTGTTCTGTTTTTTTTTTTTTTCTTCTTAATAATTTTATTTATTTATTTACTTTTGGCTCTGCTGGGTGTTTGCTGTGCAAGCTTTTGTCTGGTTGCGGTGCTTGGGAACCACTGCGGTGGTTCCCTTGTTGCAGAGCACCGGCTCTGGGGTGTGCGGGCTTCAGTAGTTGTGGCGTGTGGTCTCCGCAGTTGCAGCTCCCGGGCTCTGGAGCGCAGGCTCAGTACTTGGTGGCATACAAGGCTTAGTTACTTGCCGGATCTCCCCAGATCAGGGATCAAGCACCCGTCTCCTGCATTGGCAGGCAAATTCTTTACCACTGAGCTACCAGGGAAGCCCCTGTTGTTCTGTTTGGAAGTTCATTCTTTCCTCATCTTCTTTTCTTGTCATTCACTGAGATTCATTGCATGTATGTATGTATAAATGAATCCTATTCATTGAGATTATTGTATTTTTCAGTTCTAAGATTTCCATTTGATTCTTTCTTTCTTCCAAAATTTCCTTCTTTCCTTCCAAAACTTCTTATTCATTAATTTGTTTCAAGCATATTCATTTTTTCTTTCCCAGAGGAGATAAAATATAAACTTTATTTTAAATGATAGTCAGAAGTCTAGGTCACAATCTGGGCAGGAGAGGGAATTTTCAAGTGGAGGAAATTACATTTTGGGAATTTTTTATTTGTTTTGTATTTTATCGAACTACAGTTGATTTAAAATGTGTTTTATGTGTAGAGCAAAATGATTCAGTTATTCATGTATATATATATATATTAGATATTTTCCTTTACAGGTTATTACAAAATATTGAGTACAGTTCCCTGTGCTATACAGTGAGACCTTGTCGGTTATCTGTTTTATATACAGTGGTGTGTATATTAATCCCCAAATTTTAATTTACCACCCCCTGGCCACCTTTCCCCTTTGGTAATCATAAGCTTGTTCTCCGTGTCTGTGGGTCTATTTCTGTTTTGTATGTAATTTTTTTTCCCCCAGGATTCCACATGTAACTGATATCATATGATATTTTGTCTTTGTCTGGCTTACCTCACTTAGTGTGATAATCTCTAGGTCCATTCATAATAATGCTGCAAATGGCATTATTTCATTCTTTTTTATGGCTGAGTAATATTCCATTGTAGAAGTATACTACATTTTCTTTATCTATTCCTCTGTTGATGGACATTTAAGTTTCTTTCATGTCTTGGCTATTGTAAATAATGCTGCAGTGAACATTGGGGTGCATGTATCTTTTTGAATTATGATTTTCTCCAGATACATGCCTGTGAGTGGATTGTAGGATCAGGTGGGGTTTTTTCTAACCCTGTTTTTATTTTTTTTAAAGAATCTCCATATTGCTCTCCGTATTGGCGTCACCAATTTAGATTTCCTCCAACAGGGTAGGAGGGTTCCTTAGGCATATTTTTAATTGGTTATGGGAACATTTTTATGATGGTTGCTTTAAAATTCTTGTCAGTTAATTCCAGCATCTGGAATTATCTGACATGTTGTCATCTGTTGAGTTTTTTTTTCTTATCCAAGTTGAGATTTTTCCTGGGTTTTGGTCTAACAAGTGTTTTTCAGTTGCTTTCTGCACATTTTGGGAACTATGTTATAAGACTGCATCTTCCTTAAATTTTATGTTTTAGCATCGTTCACGGAAACCACACCAGCAGTGGAATCTAGACACTGACCATGGACCCTTCATACCAAGTAGGGGTAGAAGCCCAGGACTGTTCCTGGATGGAATGGAGAAGGGTGCCTAACTAGTGGGCAGGGATTGAAATCTGTGCTTTCCACTCATTGACACTGTGGAGTGCGAAGGTGGTACCTTGTTACCATGAAGTGGGGATGGAAATCCAGGCTGTCCTTTTGGTCTCTCTTGACACCATCCTGGAGGAAAGTGAAAAAGGTACCTCAGTGACACTAAGCAAGAGTAGAAGTCTGGATTCTCCACTTGGCCTTTGCTGACATTGTGTGGAGGGTAAGAAATGCCTTGTTACTGATGCATATCGAAGTCCAGGCTCTCCATATGACTTCCACCAGTATCACAGAGGTGGTTGGGGAGGGATAGCTCATTACTGCTGGGTGGTGGTAAAAGTTCAGGCTCCCAAATTGGCTTTCTCTGATACTACCACAGGTGGATTGGAAGGCATACCTCATTATTGCCAGGTGAGCATAGAAATTATGCTCCCCACTTGGCTTTTGCTGACAGTGGTTGGGGTGAGCATGGTTTCTTCCTCTGGTGTTTTTTGGAGTAGGGCGTTTATTGTTGAAATAAAGTTTCTATCATGCTAGGCTGCTTATTCCTGGCTCTTTGGCAGGAGAGAGTAGGCTTTCCTTGGGACTTTTTTCATCTGTGCCCATTGCTGTTTGTGTGTGTGGGATTTTTCAGCACCCAGTCTGAGCTTTTAAGGAAGCAAAAGGAAGCCTCAGGGCACTCCTCACCAGTGTTATTACTTGAATCCTGGGGTTCCTAGCTGGTCTGCTTTCTTCTCTCCCCCCTTTCAGAATATTCTTATATTTGTTTATATATAATGTCTGGGGTTTTTAATTGTACTTAGTTGGACAGATAGGTAGAAATGTGTTTACTCCACCTTGTCCAGAACCAAATTAAGTTTCTTTTAAATCTACCATAAAAATAACATTTTGAGAAGCTGGTATATAAAATAAGGCTTTAGGCCAGGGAATATTACCTTGGTTGGAAACGTGCATCGTTTGTACATTGTGAAACTAAAACCCTCCTGTTTTTCTACCTGCCCCTGCCCCCCACAAAGAAAGAAACCACTTAGCAAACCAACATTTTCTCTTAATCTTTAAAGTTTCACAAAAGCACTTTCAGGACTTTCTTGGCCACAGAAATCAAAAGGAACATTTAAGTCGTCTAGTTTATTAATGGTGCCAAGGGTTTTCTTGTTTAATTCCTTGTGCCCTGCCAAAATGGAAAAATGTGAAAAGCAAGACTGGGACACTTAGCCAGTCAATAAAAGACAATCTTGAAACTTTAGTAATCTGTGTTACTGACTTGCTTTTCTAGAGTTTGACAGAAGTGTAGGTAAGACAAGTCTGATATTTATTCTTCAGTGCTGCCTCTATTTGATCACTGCCCAAAGGATGACCCAAATAATGCTCCAGGGACCTGGCCCTTCCCAGTAGGACTAACCTACACAATAGGACGCTGGGTACGGCTGGGGAGAGATACTTGTCCCTGCTGAAACCGTGAAAGGAATTTTATTTCTCATTTGGTGCCATTTTGGTAGAGCATAAACCTGTTGACAATTTAGAGATCATAGGAATCCCTGATGGCTGAGAAAATTTGGGACTGTTTCTATAGAAATAGGCAATTGGGACTTTATCCAAGGAAAACAAATTCCTTTTTTTTTTTTTTTAAACACATTTCCTTTTTTCACCTAAAATGGAAAAAACTTTTGGTTTCTTAACTCCTCAACCAGGAATTGAACTCACCACACCCCATTCAGTGGAGTGTTGACCACTGGACCTCCAGGGAATTCCCTGGACATACATGTCTTCTTTATAACATTTTGATGAACATCATTTTTTGTTATGCATAGATATTTTTGCTTTTTAGAAAGAGGAGACATGATACATACTCTTTAGTATCTTGTTTATTATATTGATACATCATGGACATTTTATCATATCAATTATTGTAGGTCTATACCATTGTATCTCAGTTAACCTCAAGGAATCATTTAGCCTGAAAAAAAATGTGCTTTATTGTTTAAATTTGCATATCTTTGATTACTAGTGATAGCCTTTTGTATTTCTTTTGTGAATTGTCAGTTCATATCCTCTATTTTTTTCCTCTGCGGTGTTCAGTTTTTAATATTTATTTGTAAGAACTCTTTATGTATTTATTCTGGGTCTTTCACATACAGTGAAAATGTTTTCCAAGTTATAGTTTATTTTTAAACTTTGTTCATAGTGTTTTTTATTCATTTAGGCATTTTACAGTAGATTTATTATTTATTTTTTAGATATTGTATATTTTATATAGTTATAGTTTCCCTTTTTTTCCTTATGGTTTCTGCCTTTGGTGATCAACATGTGTTTTGACAGTATATGTAAAATAACTTATAATCAAAATTTTTCTTTTGCTTTCTCACTCATTTTTTTCTGATTCTGGATGATGAGGCCACTCAACACATTCTGTACTTTGCTTACTTAGTGTTAGCAATATATACCTGTCCCTCCATATCCCTTTTAAATCTGTGGTGAAATAGTATTTATCAACAATTTGTAAATTCCATTTTGAAGTATCTTGTCTCTTCAACTTGAATTATAAAATCTCAAATTTGCTTTCCTGAAAATAATTTGGCTATAGATGGAAATGCTAACCATATGAGGAAACAAAAGTGATTTTAACACAAAAAATTAAAATAATGTAATACTGTGATATTCTCAATATTATGACATAACATTATAATTAAAATGTAAAGTACAAGGAACTATAGCATTATTAGTGTATACCTTATCTGTTAACAACTGCTTATGAGATAATTATTGAAATATTTTGGGAGGCTTTCCTAAAATGTGAGTTTTTGATTACTTTTGTTTTTCCAGCTAGCACCTGTTGTTTGACTGATGAGGTAGTGCTTTCAGATGTGAACTGGCATTTTTCAGACAGTGTGGATTTTCCTCCAGTGTCTCCTTGGTCTTAGATCTGCTCTGTAATGGGTCAGCTTCTAACAGTAATCTTGTTACTATAATCTTGTCAAGTAGCACTTGACACCAGGATTGATTTCTCTGTTACTGATGTTGAATGGACTTAGTGGTTGCTATAATTCTTAAATCAGAGCAATACTTTTCATTAGTTTGTTGTAAAAATTTTCTCTTGGTACAGAACATGGTTCCATTTCTAAGACAGAACCAAGCCTTAATAGTATGGTGTGCCTTTCCAGGCATTTTCCATGCTTATCCAATATTTATGTATGTAGAATTAGTAAATGACAGATAACAAGAGGTTTTTGTGATTGACAAATTAACTGAGATTTGAGATCTGAAAACCTTGTGCTACTGAGCTTGTTTTCTAAAAAGGTATTTGTGAAAGAAAATCGAAGAATTTAATTACAAAGGTGAAAGTAATCAACAATGAGATCCTCTTAAAGAAAGAATACATACAGCTGTCATGAGAGAAAGAGCACTGAGCTTGTCTCTGTATTATTTGTCATTCAAGGGTGCAACTGGAAACCGATCTGAAGATTGAGAAGGAATGGAGACAGACTTTGCAGGAAGATCTTCAAAAGGAGAAAGACACCGTATCTCATCTCAGAAATGAGACCCAACAGATCATTACTCTTAAAAAAGTAAGTAATGGTGGTAAACTTTAAAAATCCTGTCGTGATGAAAGTTACTTGAAAAGACAATCAAGTTATAATTTACATGTATACAGAGGAAACAAAGTATAGTGGTCTTCTTTATTTTTTTTTTTAGTGGTCTTCTTTAAAAATATCATTAAGGGGATTAAATGAATAGAAAATAGTTGATAGTAAATAGAGCAGTTATTTTTTATAAAAAGCTGAAGGATACATTCCTATCCTTTAATGGTATGTATATGATGTGGAGTTTGTTTCTTTTAAATTGCATTTTCTGTCTTTTATTATTTTGAAGGAGTTCCTTAACCTCCAGGATGAAAATCAGCAGTTGAAAAAAATATATCAGGAACAGGAGCAAGCTCTTCAAGAACTTGGCAACAAGCTTAGCGAGTAATTTCTCTTTTTTCCTTTTACTAAGTAGTCATTGCCTTTTATAAAGTTATGAGTGTGCCAAACCAAATAGGCATAAAAGTTTAATATAAAAAAGAAAGATATCAACTATTAGAAACAAAGCCAAACAAAAACTTCAAGATTAACAGATAAGGGTGTGCACTGGGGAGAGATTGTGTTAAAAATTATTTTCTAAAATGGACATAGCTCTTAGGTCCAAACATTTTCCAGTAGATGAAATCTAAGACTGTTGTTTAATTTCTCCAGATCATATTTTTCTCAGAAGTCAAATTTTCAGAATTGTTGGAGAGATCTTTTTCAGAGTGTTCTGAGAAGGAGCCACCATTGTGAGAAGTGGATATATTTGATGCTATCTGTAGTTGGGGCTTAACTTCATATAGTATGGTTGGTTCTATCACATTGAAGTGTTACTGAGTTTCTATGAGGACAAGGAGATATGGATTTCTGTCTTTCTCACATTTTCCTCCTTGTTCCACATTGTCTGTGTTTGGGATTAGCTTCATCTTTGTGCCCTGATTGAACATATTGTCAAATATCTAGGGTAAATGCTGGAAGGTTTGATTTAGTATTGAATATACCACTGTCACATTAGAAAATAAAAAGTGTCATTTTTTTTTTATAATACAGAAAATTAAAGAAAGCTACAGTGACCCATAATTCTATCACCTAAATAAATCCCTTTGATGTTTTATATGGTTAGAAAATTCAGAGAGCATCAAAAGGGAACTTCTCTAGTTGTCCAGTGGTTAAGACTCTGCGTTTCCACATCAGAGTTGTGGGTTCGATCCCTGGTCAGGAAACTAAGATCCTATAAGTGACGCAGCCAAAAAAGAAAAAAGTAAAATGAAGTGAGGTTGGGAGGGCGCAGGTCATGCAGAATAATATGAGACATTTAATTTTGTTGAAAGGGAAAGTTAATAGTTCAGAAATAGTTTTTAAGCTTACCATTCAGGATCTGCATTTTCAAGTTATGACTAAATTTTAAAATTAGCATTCATTAATGTCATTCATTGGAATGGGTAAATTTAACTCAGATGACCATTATATCTGTTGAGAGTCCCTTGGACTGCAAGGAGATCCAACCAGTGCATCCTAAAGGAGATCAGTCCTGGGTGTTCATTGGAAGGACTGATGTTGAAGCCGAAACTCCAATACTTTGGCCACCTCATGCGAAGAGCTGACTCATTGGAAAAGACCCTGATGCTGGGAAAGATTGAGGGCCGGAGGAGAAGGGGACAACAGAGGATGAGATGGTTGGATGGCATCACTGACACAATGGACATGGGTTTGGGTGGACTCCAGGGGTTGGTGATGGTCAAGGAGGCCTGGCATGCTGCGGTTCATGGGGGGTCACAAAGTCGGACATGACTGAGCGACTGAACTGAACTGAATTATCATTCATTGGATAGGGTGAATTTAACTCAGATGACCATTATATCTACTACTGTGGGCAAGAACCCCTTGGAAGAAATGGAGTAGCTCTCATAGTCAACAAGAGTCTGAAATGTAGTACTTGGGTGCAATCTCAAAAACGACAGAATGATCTCTGTTCCTTTCCAAGGCAAACCATTCAGTATCACAGTAATCCAAGTCTATGCCACAACCAGTAATGTTGAAGAAGCTGAACAGTTCTATGGAGACCTACAAGACCTTCTAGAGCTAACACCCATAAAAGATGTCGTTTTCATCATAGGGGACTGGCATGCAAAAGTAGGAAGTCAAGAGATACCTGGAATAACAGGCAAATTTGGCCTTGGAGTATGGAATGAAGCAGGGCAAAGGATAATAGAGTTTTGCCAAGAGAAAGCACTGGTTATAGTAAACACCCTCTTCCAACAACACAAGAGAAGACTCTACACATGGACATCACCAGATGGTCAATACCAAAATCAGACTGATTATATTTTTTGCAGCCAAAGATGGAGAAGCTCTATACAGTCAGCAAAAACAAGACCAGGAGCTGACAGTGGATCAGATCATTAAGTCTTTATTGCCAAATTCAGACTTAAACTGAAGAAAGTAGGGAAAACCACTAGACCGTTCAGGTATGACCTAAATCAAATCCCTTACGATTATACAGTGGAAGTGACAAATAGATTCAAGGGATTAGATCTAACAGACAAAGTGCCTGAAGAACTATGGACAGAGGTTCATGACATTGTACAGGAAGCAGTGATCAAGACCATCCACAAGAAAAAGAAATCCAAAAAGGCAAAATGGTTGTCTGAGGAGGCCTTACAAATAACTGAGAAAAGAAGAGGAGGGAAAGGCAAAGGGAAAAAGGAAAGATATACGCATTTGAATGCAGAGTTCCAAAGAATAGCCAGGAGAGATGAGAAAAGCCATCCTCAGTGATCAGTACAAAGAAATAGAGGAAAACAATAGAATGGGAAAGACTAGAGATCTCTTCAAGAAAATTAGAGATACCAAGGGAACATTTCATGCAAAGATGGGCACAATAAAGGACAGAAATGGTATGGACCCAACCATTTCAAAATTCAAAGAGCAGAAGATATTAAGAAGAGGTGGCAAGAATACACAGAACTATACAAAAAAGATCTTATGACCCAGATAACCATGATGGTGTGATCACTCACCTAGAGTCAGACATCCTGGAATGCGAAGTCAAGTGGGCCTTAGCAAGCAACACTACAAACAAAGCTAGTGGAGGTGATGGAATTCCAGTGGAGCTAAAAGATTATGCTGTGAAAGTGCTGCACTCAACATGCCAGCAAATTTGGAAAACTCACCAGTGGCCACAGGACTGGAAAAGGTCAGTTTTCATTCCAATCCCAAAGAAAGGCAATGCCAAAGAATGCTCAAACTACTGCACAATTGCACTCATCTCACACGCTAGTAAAGTAATTCTCAAAATTCTCCAAGCCAGGCTTCAACAGAACGTGAACCGTGAACTTCCAGATGTTCAAGCTGTATTTAAAAAAGGCAGAGGAACCAGAGATCAAATTGCCAACATCTGTTGGATCATCAAAAAAGCAAGAGAGTTCCAGAAAAACATCTACTTCTGCTTTATTGACTATGTCAAAGCCTTTGACTGTGTGGATCACAGCAAACTGTGGAAAATTCTTCAAGAGATGGGAATACCAGACCACCTGACCTGCCTCCTGAAAAACCTGTGTGCAGGTCAAGAAGCAACAGTTAGAACTGGACATGGAACAACAGACTGGTTCCAAATAGGAAAAGGAGTACATCAGGGCTGTGTATTGTCATCCTGCTTATTTAACTTATATGCAGAGTATATCATGTGAAATGAGGGGGTGGATGAAGCACAAGCTGGAATCAAGATTGCCGGGAGAAATGTCACTAACCTCAGATGTGCAGATGACACCACCCTTAAGGCAGAAAGCAAAGAACTAAAGAGCCCCTTGATGAAAGTGAAAGAGGAGAGTGAAAAAGTTGGCTTAAAACTCAACATTCAGAAAACTAAGATCATGGCATCTGGTCCCATCAGTTCATGGCAAATAGATGGGGAAACAATGGAAACAGTGACAGACTTTATTTTTGGGGGGCTCCAAAATCACTGCAGATGGTGACTGCAGCCATGAAATTAAAAGACACTTGCTCCTTGGAAGAAAAGCTATGACCAACCTAGACAGCCTATTAAAAAGCAGAGACATTACTTTGGCAACAAAATCCATCTAGTCAAAGCTATGGTTTTTCCAGTAGTCATGTATGGATGTGAGAGTAGGACTATAAAGACAGCTGAGCACCGAAGAAGTGATGCTTTTGAACTGTGGTGTTGGAGAAGACTCTTGAGAGTCCCTTGGACTGCAAGGAGATAGAACCATTCAATCCTAAAGGAAATCAGTCCTGAATATTCATTGGCAGGACTGATGCTGAAGCTGAAACTCCAATACTTTGGCCACCTGATGCAAAGAACTGACTCATTTGAAAAGACCCTGATGCTGGGAAAGATTGAAGGCAGGAGGAGAAGGGGACGACAGAGGATGAGATGGTTGGATGGCATCACCAACACAATGGACATGAGTGAGCTCCAGGAGTTGGTGATGGACAGGGAAGCCTGGTGTGCTGCAGTCCCTGGGGTCACAAAGAGTTGGACATGACTGACTGAACTGAATTGAATGTCACTCACAGGAGTAAGTATCCCTTTTAGGTTTTACCAACCATGTGACTTAGGGCCATTTATTTAAGCTCTTTAAGCTCATCTCTGCATTTGTTAATTGGAGAGTTGTAATATCCCTTTCTCCATTTGTCAATTGGGGAGTTATAAAATACCTATAGGGTTCTTTTTCTGATTAACAGAATAAATATGCGAAAGCACCTAGCACAGTACCTTTCCTCATCTCAAGCAGAATATCAGTTTTCTTGTCTGTAAGATGAACAGGATGGATCTGAAAGTTACTTCCCAGTGCTTACACTCTAAACCAGCAACTTAAAATATAAATGATTAATTTTAATTTGAAAAGTACTTTTGATAATGACATATTTACTCTTAATTGATTTCTTACTGAAGGATTCTTATAAAGAGAAATTTTGATAGATTTTGAAAAGCTTTAAATGTTAATTATTCAGGACTTCCCTGGCAGCCCTGTGGGTAAGACTTCTTACTTCTACTGCAGGTGGATTGGGTTTGATCCCTGCTTGGGGAACTAAGATCCCACATGAGCATGGTGTGGGAAAAAAAAACCAGTTAATTATTCTGAATAAGTTATAATTGTAGATAAACTGTCTAGTATGAAGATTAAAGTAATAAACCTGAAATATTAATATTTGGAGAAAACATGGAATGTGAAATTTTAGGATGAAATATTAGAAAAAGAAAAATCTAGACTAACCTGTGTCATAATTATTGACAGTTTAAAATAACTGAAAGAGGAAAAAACCAGCTTCTCCCTTATCCTCACTGAGGCTTAAATTCCAAGAAAAACTTTTAGTAAAGAATAAATTACCAGGACTCTTCCAATGTCGTGTTCTGTATATGCTATTCTTTCCATATAAAGAAACTTACAGATTTTTTTCCTTCATAGAGGAATGTCAGGATTATCTGAGGCTTATATAATTTAGGGATGTTTTCCTATAGTGTCATAATTGATTGTATTATATTTATTACATTCTCCTGTTTTATTTTGACCTTTCTCTATGCTTTTTTCATGCTGTGGTCAAATATTTTCAGAAACTTAAATACGTATGCCGAAATGGAATTTAATTAAAATGAGTAATACAGACATCTGTTCCCTGCCTAGGACAAGGAAAAGGTGTTGTTTTTACATTGTGTTTGTTGGAACTGTAACTGATACTCTCTTTAGGAGAGTTCGGCAATTTGTATCAGGGTATAAGGGGCAGCATGCTTTTTAGGGTCCGATTTGTTAATAAAGGCATTTTAACCAGAAATAAATCAACACCAGTAAGTTTTCATATAGAAAGTATGTCTGTAGTGAACACCATTAAGTAAGCTATTTTTATTCCATATTCAGTTTTTCTGTATATACTATTGTGGCCAAAATTCCCATCAGCGTCAGTTTTCCTTGGGTGCTTTTTGTAGATGTGAGTTCAGCTAAGAAAATTTGATTACTATGTTAGTATTTTTACACTGTGTGATTTTACATTTATTATTCCCACTGTAAGAGTTGCTATGAGCTAGATAAAAGACTAACACTGTTTTTAAGTTTTGGAACAAAGAACACTTGTAGGGCAAAGCAAGTTTCCTAATGTTCTGCTTCAGACTTTAGTATTTTATGTATGTTTTAATCCAGTTATTTCATTTTTAAGTTGTTAATAAAAATAATACAAATGTTTTGGTCATTTCAATTTTAATGAATAATTTTATGGCAAAAAGATTTGAAACATGTTGAAAATTCATCAGTAGGTAATGATGTAAATTGCATACTTTACATTGTTTTTTGTGGTATATTATGTAACTATTTAATATAATGATGTGGCAGATACTTAATAACAAGTCAGTAGCTCTAAGCCTTTCACGATATATTGTTAAGTCATATATGGAACTCTGTAAATAATTTTTCTATTTGAAATGCACATACTCATTGACATGTGGAGATGATCATGTCTGGGTATTGAGATCACAGATAAATACTGCATGTTAACTAACACGTATTTTTAAAAGGTTAAAAAAGTATTATATCTTCCTTAATATATCCACTCTTACTTACCACTCTGTAGCATGTGCTACATAAAGAGTATTCATAATGATTAACTCACTGGCTTTTGGGTCTCAGAGATGAGGGTTTAAGTCCTGGCTTCCTCAGTGACCATCTTGTGACTTGTTACAAGTGACTAAACCTCATAAGACCTCACTGTTTTCATCTTTATAAGTGTTTCTGAAGATTAAATGAGATTACACATGCAAAGTTTATAGCATAGTGTCTGGTACCTCAACTATTTATTGACAGCTACAATAAATGATAGCTATCATTAATAGTTCATAACCACATGAAAATTCCAACATTCTTTCTTTAAAAAAAGCAAATTTTAAATCTCAAAACTATTTTTGCTTTAGGTCATTTAAGAAGTAATAGGAAAATGTTAAATATAATCCCACTAGCCAAAGAAGATTATGAGAATAATATAGTATATACAGTTTTATATCCTATGAAAATTCAGTACCTTTCTAAGGAATTACTAGATGTTCTGTATTTTAAAATGTGTACTGAAATTTGAACCAATTTATAATCTTTTTAGATCAAAACTTAAAATCGAAGACATAAAAGAAGCCAACAAAGCATTGCAGGTGAGTTTAAGTATTTTCCTCAAGTAGGAAGGTATGGATATCTGTGAGTTTCCAGTAGAAGGTAAAGCCCTGTGTACTGTTGTTGAATCTTAGGATATACAGAGGCAGAAGCACTGAATAGGGAGCTTGTATGATGGGGTCCACCTCGTCCATATACCTCTAAAACACATTATTAAAATTCTTCATGTTGGAAATGACCTTGGAAATAGTTTTGTCTGCTTTCCTATGAAGTGTGGCATGGTTAGAGTGAAATTGACTTTGAATTTGATAATCCTTAAATTCCTGAGCCAGTCTGTTACATACTAGTTTTTGATCTTCATCAAGTCACATATCACCATGGAGTCTGTTTCCTCTTCTGATTTTGGCTTATGATTTTGCATAGGGTTGCTTTGAATATTGAGTATGTTAATTGAGTGAAAATGATTTGGTACAATTGAATATAATGTTCTTAAAACAGGAGAAAATATAGTCTCTGTGTGAGTACTTCAATGACAGATGGCTTGTTACCACACAAGCTCCCCACTTCGTTTACCAAAGTATTACATGAAAGTCATTTAAAAAGTCAGATTGGGTTATCGTTACCATCTTTTTAAATTCCATATATATGTGTTAGTATACTGGTCTTTATCTTTCTGGCTTACTTCACCCTGTATAATGGGCTCCAGTTTCATCCATCTCATTAGAACTGATTCAAATGAATTCTTTTTAATGGCTGAGTAATATTCCATGGTGTATATGTACCACAGCTTCCTTATCCATTCATCTGCTGATGACTTTAAAGAAAAAAAAAAGGGAAGCAATCTTTTGTTTTTCACCCTCTTGTCCCTTATCCATTCCAGCTTTTGCCACCATTAGGGAGCTACTTTTAATTCCTTTTAGTTGTTTCTTCTGGCATTTCCCTATTTCTTAAGTATTATGCAGACCTATGTATTGCCTCATTATCATGATGGATGAGGAGTTTTGCTAACTCTCCCCCTGGTCTGTCTACTCTTCACTGTTCTCCTGTAGTTAAGTAAAAGTTTTTGTGAAATGTATTTACTGTATATTCTTTATTATGAGCATTTAAATACTGTTCCTTGCTGGGGCAGGTAGTATTATATATTGCAGTTGTATTTTCTTTCTTGAACTACTTTTCATTTCCTATAGAGCTAATATTTACTCCCCCTGACCTTTTTTAGTTGTATTTGAGAATCAGTTTTCTTATACCTTCAAACACTTCTGTTAAATGCTTTTTGATAGAAGTTTTTCACATGGTAAAAATGAATCAAGGAATCAGTTAGTTCTTTCTTTTTCCATCAGATTCATCCTTATTGAAGTTCTCTGCCTTATTGCTCCTGTATAGTCTGGTCTGGTCACTCTTGTCCTGGCATTTCCCTTTGCTGTCATTCATTCAATGCTTTTTTTTCTTCTTGCTGTGCCACACAGCTTGTGGAACTTTATAGTTAGCCAGCTAGGCAGTGAGAGCATGGAATCCTAACCACTTGATCAACATGGAATTCCCACTGTGTGATGCTTCCTTCAGTAGCCTCCTAGAAAATGTGAATGAATAATAAAAGATTTTATGAATCTGTATGCCATTATTCTGCTCTCACACCCTTTTAGGAGATATGTAGGGATGTTTGCCCAACTTTCATTTTTTAAACTCTTTTGTAAAAATTTTTCACTGTGAAATATATATCATATATGCAAGAGGACATGTGCAGTACAACTTAAAAATGCTAGCGTACTGTTTTAGCTTGTAATAGAACATGTTTGCTCCCTGATTGCATTCCCTTCCCTACAGTAACAGTCCTGTTTTTGTTAATCATTATGTTTTTCTAACAGTTTTATTGTTCATATCTAGCCTACATTATCCAGATTTCCATTTTTATGTGTATGAAAATGGATTTATATATGACTTTGGTTTTTTTTTTGGTGCTTACTATTGTCTAGTTGATGGGTCTGGGACAGCTATTTTAGTTTCTTACATTTTGGATTTTATATGATTTCTTCTTCATAGTAGTCTTATTTTTAACTCTATCCCCTTATTTAATCCTATAAACTGGAAACTAAACCTAAATGTTTGGTGTATTCAGTTTCAACCTTCTGTGAGACATTTCTGTTACTATATTTTTAATATTCAGCAGGCTCCTATTTGCTCATTTTTCCTTTTTAAAATAACATCTTGTTTTATGTCTGAGGATATTCCATTATAATTTCTTTAATGTTTTCTTTTATTGCTACCATTCTGTTTCCTCTGAATTCTTTTCTTGTATTTATTTGGCTGGAGTACTTCATGCCCAAATCATTCCTTAAATGTTAGAAAATCTCCCAGTTTCAATGAAAGGCACAAAAAATCTTTGAAGCCTGGTGTTTGTTGGTTAGGTGGGTGGGGATGGCTTGTAATAATAGACAGGGAGGCCTTGACCAAAGAGAAATCTGTCAACTTCCAATCTGTTGGGTATCTTCTCCCAGTATTGGTATCTACAAGACTTCTGTAAATCCATGTCAATTCATGTCAATGTATGGCAAAAACCACTACAATATTGTAAAGTAATTAGCCTCCAACTAAAAATTATTAAAAATAAATGGAAAAAAGAAAAAAAGACTTCTCTCTGGAGCAGTTGAGTTTGTTCAGAGAAGGATCCTTAATACCATTTGGAGGATTTAACCTGAGTAGCTGACATTCTGGAATGCCAAAGGCAGAGAAAAATAGCCATTTGTTTGCAGAGCAGTAGCTTACCCACTTTAATTTTGACTCTACTTGTAAACAGCTTTGTTTTGTTGAGGAAGCAACTTCAGCTCCCTGGATCTTAAGTTTTTCTTATCTGTAAAATGAAAGCTTGAGGGTGCTATTCTGAGGTCCCTTCTAGCTAATGCACTAGGCTTACCCTACATTGTACAGCTTTTCTCCTTGAGAGAGGTGCAAGGTGAGTTCCTAAGTCTGGAAATAAAGTTGGAAGCTCAACCCTGATGTCAGAAGGTTGCTTACTTTTGAACCAAATGATGGTGTTTGGAAATCTGCTTCATGTCAGGCTCTCGTCCTTACAAACATACCTGGGCAGCAAAGTTGCTTGCGCTTTGGGATATTTGGCAAATCAGTTTCCTTGTTATGGTGTTCAAGTCAGATTGAATTACCTTCAAGGCCTCATCTTGCTTTAAAAAAAAGTCCATGATTCAAATCATGTGACTCTGCTGGTCAGTCTCTCTGTATCTGATGGGAGCTGTCTAGGGTTTTTTTTTGTTTTTATATCTTCACTTCTTACAATCCTGTGTTCTAAGAAGCCTTAAGAGTGCCTGAAGTGCAGTAATCCAATACCATTTGTCTTACCTCTGCTATATCAGACAATAGGTGCTGGTTACTAAGACTGTGAAATAAAAATAGCTGGTATTAACCTTGCAGTCCCTCAGTGCTTACTCTCTCTTCGTCTTAATTTCTTCCAAGAATTTTGCTGTCAGGTAGAAGAGGCTTTCAAGAAAACTCAGGCTTTTGATAATGTCTGTGGGCTTTCTGCTTCTAAGATTTTTCTCTCGTTAGCTGGTATAGGTCCTGTGTTGCTCGCTCCCTCTTCCAAATTAGAATCAGATGTACTTAAGTTAGAGTCAGATATACTTAGTTCTGTGGAAGCAGCAGCAGCAGTGTAGCTTAGTCTGGGCTGTTTCCAAAAGGGACATGTGATGAGATTAATCAGAAATACAGGACTCCTTTTGAATTTAGGTCTTCTCGTTATAAAATGGGCACCACCTAACAAAGTTGCTTTCATAGGGGGAAAAATGCTTTTCCTAGCCAAGATTTTGGTTGGTTAAGAATGAGTCAAGTTAGTTAGAAATTTTAGGCATCATTAACTTCTACCTGTTTAAGACTATTTACATTTGCTATAAAAGTTTACATAGTATTGATTAAATTTGTGAGTTACAAAAAGGGGAAAAATACTTTTTCTTAAAAAAAAAAAAGGAAATTTATAGCCGTGTAGAACGAATTTAAGGTGAAGTCTTACCTAAAGGACTCAATCATCTGATTTACAAATTCTCTTCAAATTTTGTGGATTAGCTGTGTATAATATATACATAATGCCAAACTCATGTATTTCACAGTGAAAACTTATCTTTAAATGTTTTTGGACTAGATATTAAGGTTCTTTCCTTATAGTTACTATCCATAGTGGATTTTTATTAAAAACATTTGTCATGAAATGTTCCAGTATTCATTTGTAAAGAGTAAAATGAACCATCATCCAGCTTCACTATTTTTTTTAATCAATATATGGCCAATCTTATTTATATAAGCATGTCCCTTTTTCCTCACCCAGATTATTTTGAAGGAAATTCCACATTTGTTTAATCTACAACTGTTTCAGTAAATCTGTCAAAAAAAAGGACTCAGTTTTGGTTTATCTACATGCACATTCCTATAAAATGCTCTTGGTCAGAAATGTTTTCATGTATCTTTTAGTACTAATTTGAGCATTAATCATATTTTTCCTCTACCAGGGACTGGTTTGGTTGAAAGACAAAGAAGCAACACATTGTAAACTTTGTGAAAAGGAATTCTCACTGTCTAAGAGAAAGGTAAGGGAGAATAGGAAGTGAATCCAAAAGTTTTGGTGCAAATATGGCTAATTTTACTCATTTTTTTCCCTCTGATTTTTCCATTTAATAGCACCACTGTAGAAATTGTGGGGAAATTTTCTGTAATGCCTGTTCTGACAACGAACTGCCTTTGCCTTCTTCACCGAAGCCAGTACGGGTTTGTGATTCCTGTCACGCATTACTGATTCAAAGATGTTCATCTAACTTGCCATAATATTCCAGAACTATTCTAATGTATGAAAAGTACCTACAATGAATGATGAATGTTACATATGAACATGTGTACAGTGTATTCAGACAGCCCTTAAGCAGCTTTCAGACAGCATTGGTACATTTTACTTTCACATATTCAACTCACAGGAACTCAATGTATAATGTGAAATTTCCTTTGCCATTTTTATTCAATAACAGGGCATGCTTTAAAGTAACCTTAGCCTAATTCCTGACTGTAGTTATCATGTAACTCTTTTCTTAATGCCATGGAGAGGCCAGAGAGCATACCCTACATGTTTGCCTTATTTTGTAAAGGCCTTCTTAAAAATAGGGTTTCAGATTATTATACTCCGGATTGTCAAATTGATATTTGATGGTGCCTGTAATTTTTTTCTTAATGCACTTTAAAGCTTCACAGTTCTCCGAGAACGACTGGAAATGCACATTTTAGAAGTATTAATATTTCAACAGGTTTTTCATTAGCTTGGTAAAGTGTCAACTGTATTTATTTGCTTCCCCTCCTCTGCCCATTTTGCATTAGAAAATGCCTTCTCTGTAGTCAATGGTATTTTGCTGAACTTTCAGATACAGTGCGTGAAAGAGGTATTATTTTGTCTCAAAACCTTTTATTTTGAAAATAAGTTATGTCCATTTCTTAGGACTCACACCTTTAAAAGTCAAAACATAGGAACTGCTCTGGCAGTCTGGTAGTTAGGACTCCACACTTGCACTGCAAGGGGCACAGGTTGGATCCCTGGTACCACATGAGCATGGCCAAAAAGTCAAAACATAAACTTCCCTAGAAAAAAATGTAATAGCCAGGATTATAGGCTCCTGATTTTCCCTTAAGCATTTAAGGAGAAATCTAAAATACAGTTAAACTTTGCCTTTGATTATGACAGGTTTGAGTTTAAAAGTTCTGTATTACCTCTCCAGTCCAGTAACTTTTAGGAAGCATTACACTGTGGCAGTCTACTACAGTAGAGTAAAATACCATTTATTAGCACCAAGCCAGGGCCTAGAGCAGACTGAAGATGGACTTTCAGCCCTGCCGTTGCATACATACTTGCACTATTTCAAGCATAAAGTCAGTAAACACTAATCCCTGTTAATAGTTTATAGCATATCAAGAATTTAATCTTTAAAACTACCCTTGCATAATTGTTTCAACAGCATCACCACTTGGGGTTCTACTTTTTTCTTAAGTCTTAATTTAAATCATGTACCTTTTAAATCATCTGTACCTTTTAAACATGCCATTATTGGTATCCACGTTACTCCTAAGAGCACTAGTGAATAAATCATGACTACTCCCTCCCCACTAAGGTAGCATTGCTTACTCTACAGGATTGTTATCCTGAGTACATACTTCTGTTGAGGTTTAAAATTAATTTTCTAAGTTGCCAAAGTATGAAACCACTATTTTACTTTCAGATTTCTTTTCCATAATCCAGTCAAGTTTTTAGTCTTAAATCAGAATGGACATAGATTTATAGGTGGTCTTTAATGCTCTGATAGGAGTATTTGAAACATGAATTATATTCTTTGAACTGTTTTGTACTGATGGGATGGGTTAACATTTTTATGATGAGAATAAGCAAAAATGAAAAATTTCAAGTGCTGTTTTTTATTATTGTGCTTGAACTTAAGTGATTCTCTTAAATGTCAAGCCTGGTTTCATTCAACAAATAAACCATGATTTTTAGTCCCAATTTAAATTCTTCACCACTCATTGCCATTGATTTGGGCCTTTTGTAGGCAGGCTTTTTCTAAGAAGAAATTGAAACTTGCTCCATTTTGTTTTGACTTGTATCTAAAAACCACAATTAATTTTGGATTTCATATAATAGAATTTTGTATTTTGTGAACTTTGTGTACCGTTCCCTCATCTAGTAGTATTATCATCTAACGCTATCATGGTGCCAAGGAATTGTGATTGTAATTCTCATATTCACACTTCTCTAAAATGTGAATTTTATATAACAAATAAAACACCTGAAAAATTAAGCCTGTTTTAGAAAAGTGGTGTGAGCCTAGTAATTAAGGGAGTGAGTACAGGCAGTAAGATGAATCATTGCTCCAGTTGATAGGTTCCACTTATGCTACCAAGCTGCCTTCTTTAAGAACAGCAGAAATCATTCCTTTGTTACTTTGTCTAATATTCAATTAGACATAGTACCTTCTACCAATTTGATTTCTAATCATTAACTGACACAAAGCATTCTAGGACAGACGCCATACTCATCTCCCACATTGATATTTATTACATTAATAACATTTCTAGCAAAAACAAGTAACAAGTTCAATAACTGAATTCACATTGACAGGTTTCATTTTGATCCATTAGCCAATTTGGGAAAAAAAGCCATATTGATCAAAGGGATTAAAAATAAAGCACCTTTTTTCCTTGCTACATAAAAGTATTAAACACAATGGCTCTAAAACTTGAAACAAATCAGATGCAAAATCCAATCGAAAGACTCTCAAGACATGGACTCTTACATTTTAAAAAGTAGTCACTATACAGTTATTAAAAAAGCCATATGCTTTAACTATCTGGCTGGAAACTGAATACACCTGTTAGAATTATACTCCACGGTAAATACCTTTGTACTTGTAGTGAATCTCATGTCACTGAGAACCTTAACCTAGTCTAAGACATTTTGAGAACTTACAACTATCACTTTTGGGAAACATTTTTTTGGTACTTCAGTCAAGTGCTGAGGGGATTTCTTCTAAAGTCTAGAGCTAGAATCTAAACTTCCAACAGTCCCATCTGCAGGTAACACAGTTATGAATATATGTTAAGTCCAGATACCTCCTAGATGGTTAATATTTCAGAGCTATGCTGGATAAATGTCTGAAAATATAGAATTAGCTGAGTTTATACTCCTGAAGTCACCTAAACTCATCTTTAGGTTTTATATTTACAGTGTTGTCCAGGAGAAATTAAAGAGTATCACTAATTCTTCTCCAAGCTCTATTCCAGATGTCTGGTTATTAAGACTTGTAGTTTATGCAGAGGTGAACTTTGTCCTCTTAAACTACTTCTTGTAGAGCTAATAGTAAAATACATCAACCCAAATCTTCTGAAAGCAGCACATCCTCAGAAGTAACTAGTATATAAAAAGTATCAACATCAGTGGTTTGAATATAAAAATTTATTTTTTTTAAGTCAAAGTATGCAACAAATAAAACCTACAGAAAACAGATTTTCCCATCACAATCTGTTGCTTTACCAAATAATATTTTGAAAACACATTCCTTCAGTCATTATAAAGTTCTTAAAATACAAAAGAAAGTAATTCTGTAAGAAAGTCTAGTAGACCAGATGCTGTTGTCAGGACTTTTATATGTGTGGTTATGCTTTTAGTACATCCCACGCCATCCACCTCCACTCATGCCACCTTGCCCGTAGTAACCGCCACTGCCTCCACCACCACGGCCTTAGGAAAAAAAAAGACATTAAGAACCATTTAGTAGAGGATACAAATGCATAAGTTATTAAAAATACAAACAATATTGTAAGTCAACTATACTTCAATTAAAAAAAAGGAATATATGAACTTTAAACTGCACCACATATGGGGACTCAAACGGAACAACAACAAAAAAGACACTCACCATAACCACCCAAGCCATCAGGAGTACCATATCCTCCACTGTAATTGTTCCCCATTCCCATTCTTCCAACAGATCCATAGCCTCCCTGATTATCTTTAAAAAAAAAAAAAAAAAAAAGTTTGAGACTGACTTGCTAAGTGTCTGACTCGGCTTAATATTTAAAAAGCTTTACATACCCATTCCATCTCTGCCGTAGCCTCCCATTCCAGAACCTCCCATTCCAGAGCCGCCTCCAGGAGTTGAATTCAAGAAAAGTTCAATGTATCGATGTTCTTTTGAGTAATAGGGGAAAAAGGAATGTTGAATAAAATTTATAAATAAGTGTGAAAAGCTTGACTAGCTAACATTAACATGAAAAAGAATGCTTGCAAATTCCTAGTGGAGTGACTGAATGCCAGATACAACTAAAATCTAAGGTTCATTTAAACTGTTCAAGCTTCAACTAGTTACCAGTGTTTTACGCTTCAGTTTCCTTATCTATAAAAGGGCCGACTCATTATTTTAGAACCTGCTCGTATACATCTTATTCCCTAGAACTTCCCTAGTGGTTCAGTGGCTAAGAATCTACCTGCCAATGCAGGGGACACAGTTTCAGTCCCTGGTTTGGGAAGATTCCACATGCTGCAGAACTAAGCCCATGTGCCACAACTACTAAGCCTGCACTTGAGAGCTACAACTACTGAGGCCCAAGCACCCGAGCACCTGTGCTCTGCAAGAAGAGAAGCCACCGTAAGAAGCCCACACACTGCAACCAGAGCAGCCTCTGCTTGCCACAGCTGAGAGCCCTTGCACAGCAACAAAGACCCAGTGTGCCCATAAGGAAAACAAAATCCCACTTGATATATAAATATATATATTCCAGGCCCATTCACAGAACTAAATTAGCACCTTGACAGTAGTGTCCAGGGCAACTTAATTTTATTAAGTATCAAGTAATCAATGAGTGGTCAGATTTGGGAATCACTAGAGATTAAATTTAATGGCTTAAAAACAGATTTGATGACATGGAGGAATAACTCACCCAAGTTATCAATGTATAGATTAAGAAACAGTATTAATTTCCAAATGGCATAAAAACTTAGGCAAATGCAACATTTTTCCTGTTTAGTAACTTAAGCTCTAATAATCTGAAGTATAAAGAGCCTGAGTTAACTCTTCAATAGAAAGCCCCTTAGAAAGGCAAGTCTGAACTTATTAGCAGCCACATGGTTTCAGGTCCCAGACCACTAAGCTCCTAGAACCTCTTACATTTGAGGAATCACAAATGAGAGGGTTATACCACTTACGCATGTTATTCTTATCTTTAGACATGGCAGCTACCGCATCTTCATGTGTCACAAACTCTACATCTGCTTCTCCTGTTGCTCTGCCATCAGCTCCAATATCAATATGCACTCGGATTGGATTTAGTGGTGAGAAGAACTAAAGAAAACACTTATTTTACTTTTCTACTTAGATCACTGAAAGACAATTACCATGCACACTGGTTTTAAGTCTATTAAATGCAAAGTGATCTTTGAAATTAACCCAGGTGATATTAAATTAAAAAGTATTTTAAGCAAGAGAAGAGTTTACACTGTAAGGAAATAAGTCTTATTTTCCTGACTATACTGAGAGAAAAGCAAGCTTCCTAGGCCCACTCCCAAGAAAGGTATTTCAAAATTGTTTGAAGTAAGTGACCCGAGACACTGACATGCAGAGAAATTGGGTGTTATGAATCAGAACAACACAGTTTGATAAACCTACCAACTGTATATGCATAGGTCCCAAAACATATCATTTAATTCTAACTGCAAGTTAATCAGATTTAAGTGACCCCCCAAAGCACCTGAAAAGTAGTCCAGCTGGCTCCCAGTAAGATCAATTGCAAAATTTTTCTTTAAGGGCTAGATGATAAATGCCCTCAGCTTTGTAGGCCACTGGGGTCTCAACAAGTAATGAATGAGTGATTGACTTGGCCCAAAGGGCTGAAATTTGCTTATTTTCTAACCAATTTGTAATGAAGCAGTTTCAAATCAGTAATAGCAGCCATCTACTACCATTATTTTCAGTTCCTCATTTCTAATCACAGTCTGGGGAAGCCAAACCAAACCACTGAAACTTATTGGCTTGTTACATAGAATACTCAAATTAGACACTATGATTATATATAAAACCACTAATTACTAATTACTCACATTAGCAATATCATTTTCAGTTGCACGAAAAGGCAGTCCTCTCATATGTACAAAATGACCACCATGAAAACCCGAACTTGCATCACCAGCTCCACCATAACCATGTCCTCCCATACCTAGAAAATAAAATTTCCAAAGATTATTTCTTTCCCATACACACCTTTTCCTATTTACACACTTTTCACCAACACCCCAAGTAATCTTAACACTTGGTTTTTCTAAATATCATACGGAAATTTTTCTTTAAGTATCTATCTATATTAAGCCTTATGTAGGAATACAACGAAATATCCCTGAGTTGATTTTTGTATACAAGTCACCTATACTAAGTGCATGTAAAGCAAATATTAAAATTCACCTAAAAATCATTTTTATTTTACCTCTTCCATCTCTCATTCTGTCATCAAAGCCATCATTTCCATAGCCATAATTATTATAGCCACCATAGTCATCAAAACCTCCATAACCTATGTAATTTAAAGAGAAATACATGAATAAGCTTTCAAGAGATAAAATTTTATGATCTAGTTTATAAAAATGTATCTTCTGACAAGCACTCTGGTTAACTTACTGTTACAAGTTTGCAACCCCTCCAACCAAGTTTGCAACACCCATTTTAGTGCATATTAAAAAAGCAGTTAACACTCGTATGAAAAGCACACATTTAGACATAAAAATTTTCATCCTGATTCCAAACAGAAAAGGTCAAAACCTGGCAATCTCTTAAAAATGTTCGTGTAGGTAAACTAGGTGCCAATACATACATCAATCAAGTCCCATAGCTGCCCATGGTAATCCACATTTGTATGAACAGATTAAACCTAGTAGGTACTGAAATTACTGCCATTTCTGTATTTCTTGACAAAGTGTCAGGAACGTTAAGAAAATGACAACAGAACCTTTGTTCATTAGATACACATACCACCATCATATCCATCACCTCCTCGTCGCATTCTGTCATACATACTTCCACGCCCAGCTCCATAATAACCCCCTCTTCCTCCTATTGGTCTATCATATGGTCCTGGTCGCTGGCCCAGCAATCTTCTTGGTGGATCATAAAATCCTTTGATTTCACTCCTGCTACTTCTGAAGATCTCAATATACCTATTTGGAAATGGTTTAAGGTACAGGTTTCAGCATAAACGTATTAGAGTAAATAAAATACTGGGCAAAATGCAGTAAGTTTTTCTACATCTAGATATAACCCAATTAAAATTGCCTAAATACACCAAAAGTTAACATTCCTTTACACCTACAAACTTAAATAATTAATATTTAAGTTTTAAAGACAAATTAAGTAATTTTAAAACAATTCACAAAATACAATTTTAAGTTTGTTTTGTTTAGTATATAATAGATGTTTAGAGAAAATAGTTGATTATACAAAAACATTTATCAACATCATCCTACAGAAAAATGGAAACAATCTAATTTTAATTTAAGCAAACTATTAGCATTAATTCCCCACCCAAATCTGTAGTTTCCAAGTTAAATTTAGATAATTATCAATTCTTTTAAACTACCCCAGAAAAATGTTACTGTTACCCCCCCATTAAGCAATAGTGACCCACAACCCCCAAAAATAAAAATTTAACACCATCCCAAACTCTCCATCCCCACCTGTGCCCTATTCTTTCCTTGTGTTTCCCCAGAGCATTTTCTGCTATCTCCTTTGAAGCAAACTGCACGAAGGCCTCCCCTGTGCTTCTCCCCTGGTAGTCCATCGTCAATGTTATCCCATTTGGCACGATTTCCAACCCTTTAACCCAAGGACAAATAACCCCATCAAGGGGAACAGTGTTAAAGGCTGAAACATTCCCATCTGAATCAAATATTTAAAACAAGTCTAAACAAAACAAAACAAAAAAAAAAAGCTTAGTTTCCCCATCACCCCATAAGACAAAGGAAGATCTTTTCAAATATTACTGGATTATATAAATTTTTTTTTGTGACCAATGTCTTTTAAAATTACACACAAACTCACAAAAGGCCACCTAACATTACATGGAAAAAAAATAAATTTAACTATGCTCCATATGCTAATTCATGATTCATCATACATAATTACTCTCAATTATGTTCACTGCATATTAGGTTTTACATATTTTTACACATTCTGTATTGAATATTAACTGGAGCACATTTCATAACTTAATACTTTAACCCAGATACACTCAAATAAAAAAGTCCCCCAAACAAATGGGTTTTACAAATTAAAAACTGAGTAATAGAAATATAAAATTAAAATACTACTAAACTTTGACTAATACTAGAGGTACCTTGAAAGAACTGAACTATTTCCTCTTTGCTGCAACCAAATGGCAGTCCACGAAGTCGTACTGTCCCATCACTAGCGTCATTTGGACCATTATGTTTCATAACCCAATCCATCTCAATACCGTTTGATTTAAATGCTACAAAAAATAAACAAGCACACAAAGCAGTCAATCAAAATACACTCTTGCCAGAGGTACTGAAGAACCAACTCTCAGTGGTGCACAACAGCAAATGTAACACATAGTTATACAACGGTACAATACCTTTTATTTCAGGGCAGACAAAAAGATGGGGTAAAGGCAGTGAAACTTAACCCTCCCCCAACCCTGAATTTCCAAGTATTAAATGTTATAATTTTAAGAAAACTTCATAATTCTACCATCAATCTTCAAACTCTTTTTGACCCTGTCCATCTAGTCTTTTCCTCATGTCTCAAATGTTCTTTCACGTTTTCCAAGTTTTATTATTCACTTGAAATAGTTATGCAAATTCTTCAAAAAAACTCAACTCAAAAGTTGTATACAGTACCACCATCCATTCACAGTAAGAGCCTAAGTCAGAAGTACAATGAGTACTCCTTTTGATGTTGGAAAAATGGTACTAAAGTCTAACCTTTAATAGATGCACTTAATTCTGAACATACCAGATTGTTTCCAAAGGGGGAACAAAGTCCTGTTTAACTATAAAACTGATTTAAACACTCCCCAAAAGCAAGTTTTAAAATTACTGACTTAATTAGGCCGAGTTTTAAAACTGAGATAAAAGGACATCCCAAAACAGCTTTTTAAAGCTACCTGTTTGGCAATTATTGAAAATAGTGTATTAAAAACCAGTTCACTACTTTTAAATAGAGTTTTTCTGAAAAAAAGTAACACAATCACATTCAAAAAGTTATTAAAAATGGTACAAGAAGCCCTCCTTCCCCCCTCAAAAGAACTCATCCACCAAATCCCCATCCTGAGACAATCACCCTTTCTTTTAACAATTCCCAAACATTTTAAAGAGGTTAATGCAGAAGTCCTTCAGCTGCAGAAACTTACCAGATCTTATAAATATCACTATGCAGCTGTAGGAATCCTACTCACCTGAATATTTCAAACCTTTCCCTCACCACATCCTCCCCTGTAAACAAAACAATTTGTTCACTTGATTCCTTTAAGCTTGAGGATATTTCATATAAGCAGTATTCAATAATACTTAATTTCACATGATCTAATTATTAGCCCAACTGTTTGGGGTAGCATCTGCAAAGAGGAAAAATTTTCCCCTAAAAACCATGCATTTAAAATAAGCTAATGTAGAAATTATCCAAATGTGGCTATTCAGCAAATTCCTCTTTATATGAATCACCTTTGTACTTTGCTTTCGTGTGTGCTTAGTCCAACTCTGACTTTTAAAATGCTATCCTAAGTGCCACTCTAGACACAAATGTTCAAGATTTTTATCTGACATTACAACTATTATGCACGAAAATAAGTGGGAAAAACTTTTAAGACAAAGGAAACTCTTGGCTTGAATCCCTAGTCTGTCATTCACAGCTACGTAATTTATTAGTAAGCAAACTACTTAACCTCTGCATTCAACTGTAAAATGTGCAGTGGTACTTCTACCTCACTGGACTAGGGAGAATCCATGCTTAGTCTGCAACACAGTAATCATTCAATGGTGGCCACTGGTAGTGGATTCCAAAGGGCCTTGTAAAACTAATGAAATAAGCTACAAACAAAACAACTGAACCTTAAAGGATAGGAACCTATCCTGAATCCTGAAATGAAATAGACTGTTACAAGTTTTTTCCCAAGTCAACAGAAGCTTAAATTTTCAAGCATTTTTAGGAGTTGTCTAAAGCCGAGAGAGGGGGGGAAAAAGGAGGGTCTCTGGAAAGGTTTACTTGGATACATAATCAGCTAAACAATTTAAAAAGTAGTTCTAAGAGTCACCCTGAAAGTAGGCTTTGGGAAAAGGAGACATTTTGGAGATCTTGATCATTTTCTTAAGGGGAAAATAAAAAGGCAGCAACCCAAGACATAACCGTTTTCTATTAAAGGGGAATTTAACAACAGAAGTGGAAAAAATGGGAAGGATCTAAACCTCCATTTGTTAACCTCCCAATGAAAAACTTAATACCTTTGCAAAGTCAATCTAATTTGTTGTGAAAATACCTTAGAAATGGTGGCTTTATATAATTTAGAACATTTTCCTCCCTCAATGTAAAGGTACTGTTTCATGAACAAATACCTTCTCTCCCGAAGAGGGAAACTGACTTATCTTTACTGTAAATCTTATTAGCACTTTCCAAGAAACACTAGCAAGGAAACTAGTTTTGATTTTTGGATCAGTCTGTACCAATGAGACCTATATAAAAGAAATAGTCTATTTAAGAAAAAACAAACTGTTAATACAATTCTATTTAGAAAACAAAACCAAGACGGATTCTAAACATTAAGAGAGTATTTGTTCTTATACATTAATAAAGCTGTCTCAGAAACTACCTAAATATTTACTTATTCAGGATAATCCATCGCAACCCTTCTTTGCAACAGTGTCTAATGGCTAATGTCCAGGGGCTAATTTTTTAAAAGAATTCCTAGTGTTAGAACCAATTAAAATACCAGCAGCTGGAAGATTAGGATAATCTTGGTCAGTTCTTTATGAGATTTAAAACATATTTTCCTAAACATTATGCTACATGAAGGATGCCAGTCATAAAAGATCACATATTGTATGATTTTAAGTGGATAACACTTATGGTATGTGAACTGTATCCCAAAGCTGTTAAGAAAAAGCAACTAAAAAAGGCAAGAGAGACAAAATCCCTTTATAACACAGAGGTATATACCATCTTCATAAATATAACACAAAATAAGGATTTGATGCATTAGTAACTTTGTAAACAGTAGCCCAACTGCTGCTAAAAAATGAGGAATTTCAAAATTTGGTCAAGAAATTATAAAAAACACGGAAATTTTACATCATTCCGCTTTCATTGTGCTTGCTCTTTAATTTTAAAAACAAGAGACACCACCACTACCTAAAGTGAAGCGAAACCTCTAAAATGATTGGGTTCTTTTCTAGAATGACCAGCCTCTGCAGTTCAGTCACTTGTTTACCGAAATACCACCACCAGAAGAACAGTTATTAAACATAGTAAGGCAATTAGGTGGATTTCCAGATTACCATGCAGATGAACAAGAGGTCAAGAAAAAAAGTTTCTAGGGTAATTCAATCAGCGAAGCTGTTACATCACATACTATTGATAATTTATAGGAAACTGGGCTGTCTTTTCAAAGTCCACGAGAAGCACAGAAAGTCTTCAGCAATAGGAACTGTAGTTTTTTTTTAACGCTGTAAAAATAGCCATGCCTATACCTTTTGTACAGCTTCAATGAAAATTACAGACACAATTCTCCAATGTTCTAAGGACTAAAAACCATCGCAACATCACATGACTGAACTTGCTGTTTGTCTTTCTGTTGAGCAGGCTTATTTTCTTGGTCAAAATGTTACTACAGTCCTACATCAAATAGAAAACAGGCTTAGCTACCAAAAGAAAATAAACCATAACGGTGTTTTTAAGTATTTTGTTTCCATGGCCTTACAATCTTTGCACAAAACACAACCCCTGGAGACTTAATAATTCCTATACACACAATTTTGCCATCACTGGTGGTGTTTTAACAACTGTTTCCCCCAAGTAAAACCCCTACTGAATTCTAACCCAGTATTTCCCAAACTACACAAAACCATTACACCATCCCACCCCCGCTCAATGGTTCAGAAAGCCTATTTTCATAGTTCATCTATCTGAAATAAGCCCATTTCAAATTCCTATTTGATAAATCACTCGCTTTTCGGCTTACAAAACAATTACCCACAGTCTTTCAGTAAGTTTAAGATAAGCATGGGAAGGGGGGGGGAACCCTTTGGAAAATGAGTACGTACTCTTTTCGAAGTTCCAAATGTGGAATATAAGGGCCGGCTAAGCGTCCTTTATTCCGCCCCGGAGACTTTTCGTTTATCTAGCTGCCCTAGAGACCGAAGAGCTAGGGAGAGTACGCCACTTCCTAGCCCGGCAGCCAAGCCTGGCTTAAAAACCTTCGCCACCGGGCGGCGGAATTACAAAGGAGGCCGTCTGCCTCCTTTGTCCTGGATTTAGGAGTTGAGCGCCTTCGTCGCCATTGGCTTTCCTCCCCCAGCTCCAGCCTCTCTCATCTTGGGAATCTGCGTCAGAAGTCACTCGCAGTCTTGCCGGGCCAGGTAGCCCAGCCGAGACTGCGGAGGACGGGAGGCCTCGGTGAGAGGCCAGGCCCATCCGGCGCCATTTCCATCGGGAGCGCGCCCGACGGGCCAGATCCTCCCCACACCCAAGTGCCCAGCCTTCCCCTGCTCGCTTCCTTCCCACCCTCATCCCTTGCGCGAAGCTTTAACCAACCCCCGGCCTCCTAAGTCAGTTTTCGGAAGCTGAGGGACAAAAAGCAGAAAGAGGAGAAGGGCGGGAAGCCGAGGGCGCCGCGCTGCCGTACCCAAAATGGCGGAGGCCAAACCAGCAGGGAATGGAGGGGGAAAGCTGGATGACCCCCACTTCGGGGCTCGGCTTCATCCACTGAACTCCACCTGAGTTAATCCTCCTTCCGACAGGCCGCCTTCCTGGAAGTGGGAGATCGCCTGGGAGGCGCAGCCTGGCTGCCTCCAAGTGGCGACCTCTACACTTCCCCCACTCCGCCGCCCCACCCCCTCCCAGTCGCTCTGCCGTCCTTCTCCCGACTCCGCTCTCGAAACTACCAGCCCAACCTACCCCCTTTTACTTCAGATACCCTGTCGGGCGACAGTAGCGCCGACTCCGGTGCCCGCGGGGTCTGGTCGTGAGGAAGCAGAAGTCGCCCGCCTCAGGTAGAGCCCCCACAACGGTTCTTCCAACCGTCTCTAGCAGGGGCAACCGCTAAGGAAGCTGCGCAGCAGAGCTACTGGCTTGGGGGATGGGAGAGAGCGAGCGAGGAGAAGTGGGTGGAGCGAGAGCAAGGGAGACCGGCCTGCCCCGCTCTCGCGAGACAAAACAGTTGCTCTCGCGAGACAGGAGAGTCGATCTCGCCTTGGCACCGGCGGCAAGAAGTGCGCTTGCGCGTTGGTCGGCTGACTAGTTGGGCGAGAGGTGGAGAGAAGACGGGTTTGGTCAAGTTAGAGAAAGAGGCCGCGAACTCCACCTTTCCGGCTTACTATATAGCCATCAAATTCTCGGAGCAAACCTTTCTGCTCTCTCTCGAGAAGGATATCCGTGCGTATTGTAGTGAACCCGTGGTGTCCTGGTGTGGAAAAGTTCTGATGCTCTATCGCATCACGAACGAGTTCCTGATGCGGCAGAGCATCAGAGAACAAGTTCTGTGGAGGCCCCGCCCTTACCCAGCGTCACCCGCGTGGAAGGGGCCCCACGTGGTTCGCTGCCAAAAGTGGGGAGGGCTTTTCTTGTCCACCATGTTTGTGTTATGCAGTAAAAAGAGTAGGGCTTCTCCGCTGGAAAGATGCGAGAGTGACCACCAGGCCCTGACTTGAGCTGGGCCTCTTCCCCTGGCCTTGGCGCTGACGGCGCAGCCGCCCTAAAGTGTGCCTCTTTAGGGGCGGGCTGTGTTAATTATTGAAGTTTCCCTGCAAATCTTTCCTCGCTTTCTCCTCTCCTTTGCATTTTCTCTTGGTTTTAATCTCTCCCACTTTGTAATTTCAGCTACCTATCTACCCCTTGTGTCGCCCGACTTTGAGTTTTCCAAATAGTGCTTTGCATTCTTGAAAAATGCCTGTACAAGTGACAACTAGTAAATAATTTTTGGTTGTGCTGGGTCTCTTACCACTAAGGTTCCTAGTGACAGCGTTTGGGGTAAAAAAAAAAAAAAAAAAAAAGCCAAATTTCTGTAAGAAGAGTGGAGGGCAGTCCTAGTACCGAGATCAGCGCAAGTTAAAGAGCAAACGAGATCAGTGAAAGTTAACTTGCAAACAAGGAACGTATATCAAATGCGGGGGAGAGACGGAAATGAGTGTGAGTACACAGTTGTTCCTGCAGGTTGGGAATGTGGACAAAACTAGGTTTTAGGCCTTAAATATCCAGTCAGAGACTTTGTACGGACACTGCAAGCCCGTCGAGGGCGGGGTGATGGGCGCACAAGTACTAGCAGTAGAGAAGCTAGAATAATTTTTCCTCCCTGAGGTATGCAGTTTGTAGTGTGGAGAAAGAAGGCCAGTTGCCGTCATACAATGGAAACTTCCATTTCGTGGCTATAGTACATCCGCAAACCTGCTTAAGACAAGTGTGGGGTACTAAGAATTGGCTAGGTCATAATTCCTACTGCCTTTTGTGAGCCCACTCCCTCCAAATAACCCTCAGAGAAATGGAGAAGGGAAAATGTGGTCTTCATTACAAGAGATAGAAAAGCAAAACGTATAGTGTAATAACGATAGCTCACGATTATTGAGAGCTTGCTTGAGCTAGGTGCTGTGTTCAATTCACTGTCTCTATTACCCTAAAAATAATGTCCCCATTTTACAGATGATATGCCTAAGTTCTAGAGATATTTAAAAAGATACCCAAGATCTCACACCTAGAGACACAAGCTAGGGTTGGAACCTAAATGGTTTTACCCCAGGGACTAGGGTCTTAAAAGCACTATGGACCTACCTGGGGAGGTATTAAGGGAACAAAATATATTTAGGCAAATTGAAGTTAGTTCCCCTAAATAACGCTGCAGTTACCGTCATTTCTGGAGACTTTTGAACTGGCCTGAAACTTAGTATCACTGACCGGGGGCGGGGAGGGGGGGGGCGGGGGGGGTTCTTTTCTCTTTTTTTTCCTATTGATTGCTGTATTAGTAAAGACTCCAAGGTCCTACTTCAGATGGAGTTCTTCCCTGGATTCAAATTACATCATTATCCTTTCTGACTTTCAACCTGATTTGGTAAATGGAGTTCTGTAATCCCTTTTACCCCTTGCCTGAATTCAATTTGTTTACCGCCTGAGTTTGGCATTCTCTCCACATATTTTTTATGGCTATGGATCAAAATTCTAAAACCGTTCTAATGACTTTTCATCACCAAACTGCAATGTTTTCTTTGGGGTTTTTTTTGGCCACAATTTTGTTTGTATTGGGCACTCTCCTGTTTGCCAACGTGAATGCTTAGGAAGGACTTGAAATTAGCAGATACATTCCTTTTGCCTTTTTATTATAGCAAGTAGGACGTTTTGAGCTTTTTAAAAAATACATTATATAGGGATAAACTTAATTTTTATTTGGCTTCCTGTTTTGTGCATGCTCAGTTGCTCATTCATGTCCAGCTCTTTGGGACTCCATGCACTGTAGCCTGCCAGGCTTCTCTGTCCATGGAATTTTCCAGGCAAGAAGACTGGAATGGATTGCTGTTTCCTACTCCACAGGATTGTCCTGACCCAGAGATGGAACCTGAGTTCTTGCATCTCCTGCGTTGGCAGGTGGATTCTTTTAATACTCAACGCTTTTCTCAAAAAGAGCCTATCAGCTATTCCCATCTGCAAGTTGAGTCCTTTAAGGCTTGGTGAAATTGGCTCACCACTGCTTCAGTGGTCCGTATAGAATTGTTTCCAGATCAGTCCCTGTGGAATTGTTTCCATAGAGATGGTTAGAACTAAGAACTCCCAGCTGCATTGGGGTGTTTGTTTTTTGTTTTTTTCCTCTTTGTCTTCCTTTCCATCATTTCATTGCTTTCCTATTATATGGAAATCAGAGGAACCCTGGAGAGGATCTTGTTAGAGGCCGAAAAGAGAGAAAAGATGAAAAAGGAGAAGAAAATAGAAGTACCCACAGCTCCCAGAGGAAAACAAGACACAGACATGAGATCATGATTACACCACCAGGAGGAGAACAGGAAAATTCCACGCAGAGCTTGAAAAAAGAGGAAAGAAATTGAAGAGATTGCACTCTCCTGGGGGAGGGAAGGCACATTAACTAAAAGTTGGCTAAAATAGTTGTTCACATACCCCTACCGCATTCTGAAATAACATAAAAACAGGATTATAATCTTTGTCTATAGGAAAAGCAAATAAACTAACAAACCCACAAATAAGTTTCTAGGAGTGTTTCTAAATGGTTTCTGAGCACTAAATCTGTCGTACTAAGGTTTTGTGAAATGCTTATTCTTTTATATATTAATATATTTACTGTCTTTAGAAAGCAGTGATCTCCATAATAATTCAAAATTATTTCTCAAGACAAAGCTTAATTACACAGTTTACATTCTTGATATTTTGTTTGTTTGTTTCTTCAAATCACCTTAGTGTTTATTCTGGGATTAGGGAAACCAAGAGGTCTCATCCAATTTGAATAACCGTACACTAAGTAAACAAATTGCGACTTAAAAAGAAGAAAGCATCTAGCACACTTTCTCTAGTTTTTGAAAATAATTTAAAATGTTGAACATTACTTCTGTTCTAGTGGATTGCTGGGGAGAACAGGGAAAACAGCCACAAAAGATAGCTACTTAAGGAATTTAAGTCAACTTATTATACTGCTTTTAATATTCCATAAGCATATTGATAACTTAGAGAACACAGTACAGATATCAGACCATTCCCTCCCTTTCCCCACACATGATTTTAAACTTCTAAGTTGTAGTTTAAAATACATGTTTTCATTATATACATATCAATACATATGCCTCAGTGTACAAATAATGGTTATATTGGGGGTGAAGGTACTTTAACTAATTTTCACCACAGTCTAGCAAACTTATTATTTGTTGAACCAATAAATAGAATCAGAAGATAAATTAATGCTCCAAACTTTACAAAGAAAATCATTGACAAAATTACAATTGTCCTCATAACCAGGGAGTCAGATCGGCCTAGGTTCTAACCCTAAGATTTCACACTTACCTACAGCTGTTTGATTCTGAGGCAGTTTCCTGAAACTTGGTTTTTGTTGCTGTTTGTGGCCACGTTAAGGTATGACCTGCGGGATCGCAGTTTCTTGACCAGGGATTGAACCCATCCATGAGAAGGATATGGCGACCCACTCCAATATTCTTACCTGGAGAATCCCATGAACAGAGGAGCCTGGTGGGCTACTGTTCATGAGGTCACAGAGTCGGACACGACTGAGTGATTAAGCCAAAAAAAAAAATGCACCCTACTTTGGGAGTTTGGGGTCTTAATCGCTGGACTGCCAAGGAAGTCCCCTGAATCTTAAGTTTCTTAGTGTCTAAAATGAGCTGTTACATAGAGTAGAGATTAGTAGTTGAAATAATTCCAGTTCTGTCCTGTTTCATGTCTTTTATATTGTTAATGTGGTCCTTCCTGTAAAACTTATTTCAATAGTGAATTTAGTAGAAAAATTTTGGAAAGTACAGTGTCCTGAGCACTGTGTTGTGTGGGAGGGTGCAGCAAAAATTATTCCAGGGAAATCTGTAAAATCAGATGAGTACCAAGAATCATCTGTGGACAGAATGAGTGATATTTCACATATAAATGGGCTTCCCTGGTGGCTCAGCTGGTAAAGAATCCACCTGCAGTGTGGGAGACCTGGGTTCAATTCCTGGGTTGGGAAGATCCCCTGGAGAAAGGAAAGGCTACCCACTCCAGTATTTTGGCCTAGAGAATTCCATGAACTGTATAGTTCATGAGGTCGCAAAGAGACATGACTGAGTTACTTTCACTCACTCACATGTAAATACTGCTGTTTTCCAACATAGGCAGATGTGGTTGCTATTAATAAAGTAGAAATTTATTTGAGGGCATTAGTAAAATCCTAGCATTTCAGTATATGTTTCAGTCTACAAAAAATGGCTGACTCTGCTCCTAATGCAGAGAGTCCAGGGTCAATCCCTGGTCAGGGTACTAGATCCCACATGCTGCAACTAAGAGTTCACATGCTGTAACTAAAGATCCTGCATGCTGCAACTAAAAAGGAAAAAGGCCCTGCGTGCCCAACTAAGACCTGGCACAGCCTAATTGATTAAAGATAGAATGCAGAGTTCCCATGTATCCCTCCCTCAGTTGCCTCTACTATTAACATCTTGCATTTATTATGATGTGTTTGTTACAACTAATGAACCTACATTGGTTCATTATTAATAACTACACACTTTATATTGGGTTCACTAGTTTTTCCCTAACATCCCATCCTGGATACTACATTAGTTAGTCATCATTCTCCTTATGATTAGCATTCTCTGTTCCTTTGAGGGATACTCTTCAATTGGGATATCTCTAATGTTTTTGCCATGATTAAGTAGGAGTAATGGGTTCTCAGAAGGAAGACCACCAAAGTAAAGTGCCATTTTCATCACATCATATCCAAGGTAGATGCTATCAACCTGACTTATCACTGATGGTGTTACCCTTAATCAAACCTGCCTGAGGCAGTACTTGCCAGATTTCTCCACTGTGAAGTTAATTTTTATCCTCTTATGCTCTACTCTTTTGGGAAAAAGTCACTGAGTGCAGCTCACACTCAAGGGGTATTTAAGCTCCATCTCCTGGAAGGGAGAGTAGCTAGATAAATTATTATTCTAGGGACTTCCCTGGTGGCCCAGTGGTTAAAAATCTGCCTTGCAGTACAGGGGACATGTGTTCAATCCCTGGTCAGGGATCTAAGATCCCACATGCCACAGGGCAACTGTGTGCTGCAACTACTGAATGTGCAGTCTTAAAGAGTCCATGCTCCAAAACAAGCCAGCATCATGAGATGCCCACACATCACAATGAAGAGTAGCCCCTACTTGTCACAACTAGACAAAGCCCAAGACCAGCAACAAAGACCCAGTGTGGCCAAAAATAAATAAAAGGAAAAAAAGAACTTGAGTTAAAAATAATTCTATGAGGTTTTCCTTTCATTCATTCTTTCATCTTTATATATATGTCAGTCAGACCCACAGATAACTAATTTTATACTTTGAGTTATAATCTACATAACTTATTTTGTTCAAATTGTTCTTTCTTAGGCCACTGGGAGCACTTTCAGGTTGGCTCCTGAATCCCTTTGACATACCCCTATTCTATTTATTTGCTGACTTGACCCAGGATCAAACTCATTCTCCCTGCAGTGAAAGTACAGTGTCTCAACCACTGGACTGCCAGGGAAGCCCACTTATTCTTTTTATTTTTTGAGATTGTCTTACTTTCTTCTATTAGAAGATGCTGAAGGCTTATTTGGTATTTTCTTTATCTTCGCCCTAGAAGTGACCATTTCTCCAGGGAACCCAGTTCCTTTTATTTTGGGGGAATGTTATTTAATTTCCACATTCCTCAAATTTCCTTTTCCTCTTGTTATTGAAGTGTAATCTTATTCCATTGTGATTGAAGGACACAGTTTGTATGCTTCCCAGCCTTTATATTTATTGAGACTTGTTTTATGGCCTAACCTATGGTCTATTCTGGAAAATGCTCCATGTGCACTTGAAAAGGACATGCTGTTTACTGCTATTGGACTCCCAGATCTAGAAAACAAATGAGAGGTGGTTACCAGTAGGAAGAGGAAGTGGGGAGGGGCAATAATTTGGTTGATAAATGGTAGGTCATGATGATAAGAACTGTAAGCTTCATCAGAAAAGTGAAAAGTTTCCAAAACTGTAGGTGTTGGAACATAAATGTAGTTGAGGAAATCAGAATTAGTCTCAAGATTTTTTTTTAACAAAGGCAGTGTTTCAGAGCTTCTATTAAGTCCAGGAAACATGAGTAAAACTAAACACAAAGTAGTTGAGTGCCATGAAACTAATTTAAAAATAGAATTTCCTCCAAATTTTTATTTAAAACATTTTATAATTTGACTTTCTTTCTATAGTTATTTTCTTTTTTCCAACAAGTAAGGTGCATAGTATTCATGTACACTTTGAATGCCAGCGTTCTGTTACTAAGTATTTACATTTTTAAAGAACTAAGTTGGCATTTATTAGTGAGTAGCATTGTTTTGAGGCAGCAGTCACAAGCAAAAGCCAAGTGGGTTCTTTTATATTAACAGCTACAGAATACAGGAGCCAACTTTCTGTTGTCTGTAGCACAGGAGACTATAAACAAGCTAAGACTATTATAGAGCATCAGCGTTTATAAGCATCAGCGTTCCCAGGCACACCCATGGGCAGGTATAATGACTAAACTGTTTGAACAAGGGAGGTTTATAATTTCCCTACATTCACATGATAAATGGAACCAAGGTTAGAATTCAGGAAGATGTCTACCGTGTCCTCAAAAACTAACCTGATGGAACTGCAGGGAATGTAGTGAGACAGGGGATTGTCAAAGGGGATTTTATTTTTTTCTGTATTTTATTGTTTTATAAAAAGTTTCTATTTATACACTAAATTGATGATTAAAAACTAAAAAGTTTTAAAAGAGATATGAATAGTTTAGAAATCATATGAATTTAGATTTATGAGGTACCCTCTGGGAGTAATTGATTTCTATTTAAACAGTTTATTTGCTTGCCATTATTAAGGGGCATATAAAGCTGTACTAGGGATCCTAATGGAATGTAAGTGAAATTAGAGAAGGATAAATTAAATTCTTTGGATCATTTGAAAAACACCCTGCTGGTAGTGCACAGAGCTCTGCCTGAAAGCTGCAGCTCAGGACCAGCCATTAGATTGACCAGGATGCTAAAATTTGTGCAAGCCCATTTACTGGGTAAAGAAAGCCAAGTTGCTTAAACTTTACCTGCCTTAAACTTTCTCTCAGCAGTTCAGGAGGAAGTTAAGCCTGCCTTTTTCTTTTCTTCTTTTGTAAAGATATACCCATCTTCTTGGGACTTCCCCCATGGCACTAGTGGTAAAGAACCCGCCTACCAATGCAGAAGACATGACAGACTCAGGTTTGATCCTGAGTGGGGAAGATCCCCTGGAGGAGGGCATGGCAATCTACTCCAGTATTCTTGCCTGGAGAAGCAGAGCCTGGTGGGCTACAGTCCATGGGATTGCAAAGAGTCGGACATGACTGAAGCAACTTAGCAGTCATACACCCATGTTCTTGGATTAAAAGAATATCTTCAAAATTCAACTCAAGGTAATCCATGGATCCAACACAATTCCCATTAAATAAGTGCATTTTTCTTACAAAAATGAAACCAAAATTAATTTTAAGGAGAGAGAAAAAAAGAGAGACATCTTCAAAAACAAACTCTAGATTAGACTCTCAGAGTAGAGGCATATGGCTCATTCATGAAACTCTCTCCTCTCTCTGGTACCTAGCTTTGGGGTTGGCCTGCCATATAGTAGCTGTTGAACTGAATTTTGGATTTTTTTTAACATTTAAAAAAAATTTATATTGGAGCATAGTTGATTAACAATGTTGTGTTAGTTTCAAGTGTATGGCAAAGTGATTCAGTTATACATATATTTCTTCTTTTTCAAATTGTTTTCCCATTTAGGTTATTCTAGACTAGTTTATTTATTTATGGCTGAGCTGGGTCTTCCTTGCTGTACAAGGGCTTTCTCTAGTTACAGAGAGCGGAGGCTACTCTCTAGCTGCAGTGTGATGGCTTCTCATTGCGGTGGCTTCTCTTGTGGAGCACGGGCTCTAATGCAGGCTTCAGTGGTGGCAGTGTGTGTTGACTCAGTAGTTGTGGCCCATGGGCTTATTAGTTGCACCTTGGCATGTGGGGGTCTTCCCAGACCAGGGATCAAATCGGCCTCCTCTGCTTCGCAAGGCAGATTCCTAACCACTGGACCACCAGGGAAACCTGTATTATGGAATATTGAGCAGTGTTCTCTGTGCTGTACAGTAGGTCCTTGAAGGTTATCTATTAAAAAAAATTTTTTTTAAGTTTAATCAGAGGATAATTGCTTTCCCATCTTGTGTTGGTTTCTACTGTACAACCATATTAATCAGCTATAAGTCTACATTTATCTGCTCCTTCATGAACATTGACTCCAGCAGATCTTGATAGCCTCATCTCTGCAGTCTCCTTTCCTCATGCATATCTATTTCTATATCAAATTGCTTGCCCTGGGATTAATCTATGCACTCTACCCAAAATGCCTGTTCCCACCATATGGAACCGCTGGATATTTGTGTGTGTGTGTGTTTGGACTCATGCAAATGTCGTCTCTGGATGACAGCTCTGGGAGCTCATCTCTGGAGCTCCCTCTGACTGTCTCCTGGGCAGAGTTATTGCTCTGTCCTTGTCTTCCTAAGCATTTTATCTATATATTTTCCTTTTTTTTTTCTTTTCAAGTAAGTTTTATTTATTTTTTTTCCTTTTTTTTATTAGTTGGAGGCTAATAACTTTACAATATTGTAGTGGTTTTTGCCATACATTGACATGAATCAGCCACGGATTTACATGTGTCCCCCATCCCATCCCTCTGGGTCATCCCAGTGCACCAGCCCCGAGCACTTGTCTCATGCATCCAACCTGGGCTGGTGATCTGTTTCACCCTTGATAATATACATGTTTCAATGTTATTCTCTCAGATCATCCCACCCTCGCCTTCTCCCATAGAGTCCACAAGTCTGTTCTATACATCTGTGTCTCTTTTTCTGTCTTGCATATAGGGTTATCATTACCATCTTTCTAAATTCCACATATGTATGTCAGTATACTGTATTGGTGTTTATCTTTCTGGCTTCATAATTAATAATAAGATATTGAATATTTGAAAGTTGCTAAGAGAGTAGATCTTCAAACTTCCACCACACGGAAAAAAAGAAACAAACCTTTTTTTGTAACTATGTTTGGTGATAGATTAACTAGACTTTTTGTGGTAGGTCATTTCCCAATATATACGATTATTGGATCGTTATGTTGTAAACCTGAAAGTAATATATCAATTATACCTTAAAAAAAGGAAAAAAGTAGGCAATATGGCAAGAAAGTTAAGCGAAACCCTTGTATAATAAACCAAAAGAAAAGAAAAAGAAAACAACTCTGTAGACCTGGGAGCTGCCTAGCCATTGTTTATCCTCATCTCCTTGAGAACAAGCAATACATGTTAGGATGGGTTAATTTCTTTTATAGTTAAGCAAAACACCCCATAGTTTGCTGAGTTTTTAAAAAGTTCTATAATTTTGAGGGAGATGAATTCTTCCCTACCTGTGACAAAATCCATGCTTCTAGTAAAAGCAAAGGAAATACCCAGAATGTAAACAGTTTATCTCCACAGCATGAAGATACAGAAGATTCTTCACACACCCCACACCATTTTTCTGTATTTTATAGGTTTTCAGTAAAGAGAAAGTATTATTCTTATAATAAAAAGCTTAATTTTAACAAGTCTATATCATGAGCTCTAAAAAGTCTCCAACTGCAGCTTTATAAAATAACACAAAATTAAAACATGAGGTTCCTTAGACTGTTAAGTCCAAAAAATGTTATTGCTTATTTGCATGGTTATGATTCATTTTTTTATTTTCCAAGTTTTTTATGATGGAGTTTTTATAATTAGAAAAAATGCATCATTTTAAAAGGGCAGTAATATTCATTGGTAAACTATCAGCAACATATATGCTCTTTGGAAGTTTCACATACTTCATTAACAACATAGCTTATGCTAGTTTTGGCTACTCTAAGAATATTACTATGTTAAGTATATGTACACTATGAAAAGAAAATATTCTATTCATCCAGTATTTTAAAGCAAATTCAATTTAGAGGCTTAAATCAAAGGATTACTTATCTTTAAATGCAGGTGTATTAGAATAATTACTTGACTTTGTACTTGGAAAATGTTAGTTGTTTCTTTGCATCAAGTAAAACATTAACTTTTTGATTTTTTTTGCAGCAATAAGAAGGAAAGCAGTCTACCAACAGTTTTGAGAGTTTGCGGAAACAGCTTACAAAGAAAATGAAACTCCCTATTTTCATAGCTGATGCATTCACAGCAAAAGCATTTCATGGGAATCCAGCTGCTGTTTGCCTCCTAGAAAATGTAAGTAGTATTTTGCTTTGAAGTACAGTGCCTGAAATCCTAGATGCTTGTAGAACCAAGTTTTACTTAAAAAAAAAAAAAAGAAAAAATCAGACCCACTTGTTTGTTTACCTTCCTCGGTTGTGTTCTCCGTCAAATGGTATCAACAGTGTTCATGTCTGCAAGTTAATTTAACCAAATTATATGATAAGACTGCTTATATCTAGATGGATGCACATGTCTAGAAAAGTAAGATTTATGTAAAGAAGAACTAGAGCCAATTTAAAAAAAATATACCAAAAACAGGAGTAGGTGGCACTTCCCTGCTGGTTCAGTGGTTAAGACTTCACTGCAGGGGGCACAGATTCTATCCCTGGACCAACAAAAAAAAAAAAAGAAAACTCATCCATTGTAGCCACTGGATTTTCATTCAGTTAGCACCAAATGTGGAAGACAATGAAATTAGATGAGTTTTATGTGACTGAACATGGCTGATACTACATTTAGCATAAAAGATCCTAGCTGTATATTTTTAACCTTACCTATAGTTCAGACATTTAGAAATTCTTTTCTGGACCAATAAGATGAGACACTTTGCAAGGAATTAAGTAATTTAGTAGAAAGATGGAAAGGAATTAAGCTCTAACATAGGGAGAACCCTGTTTACTGAAAATCTCATTTTAAAGATGGCTCTTTGAGGACTTCCCTGGCGGTCCAGTGATTAAGACTCCAGCTTTCACTGTAGGGGACGTGGGTTCAATCACTAGTTGGGGGAGTTCCACATGCTGCACGGGGCAATGAGGGGGGAAAAGGCCCTGTGGTTAGATAAGTATTAACAGAATAGTTAAATATTCCTTGACCTCAGCTGCTTCCTGTTGTTACCTGGGTGTTGGGCAACAGGTCAATGTATCCTTCCACTCGGAGCAGTTAGTACAAGAGCAGAGTATCTGAGAATTATGTCAGCTACGCGGTAAGCAGTTGATGATCTTGAGTAAGTCTTATTAAGTTGGGGCTTTCAAGGGCAGTAAACGTCAAGCTGGTTGCAGATTAAAATCACCCGAGGCGCTTTAAAAATTCCTGTGCCGGACCAATCACAACAGAATCTCTGAGGGGTGAGACCCGAGCAGCACTGGTTTTTAAAGCTCCCCAGGTGATTCTAGTGTAAATCACATGGAGAATAGCTGCGGTTTTACTGAGCCCCGTGAATGTTGTTAATCGAATCCTTATATATTTTATTTTCTCCCTCAAATAAAGCAGCAATATGGTGATCAAAGTCCCCATCTTACCTTAACAATGCATTCATTATGCAACCCTGTGGCTAGCATTTTCCAACCACACAGTGCAGAAAGTAATAACTTTAATAGACTTAACCAAGTAACATAAGAACTTGGGGGTAATAGTGAGAGAATAGCTAACAGCCGGATTCTAAATCCTGAACTTTCTTTAGAAGCAATATGGCACACAGATTAGCTTCACATCAAGGGCTTGTGGAATTGACTAAATCTATTTGTCAAAAGTCTTAGTCTAAAAAAAAAAAAGCCTTAGTGTATTTATCCCATATTCCCACGTAATATTCTAGAAGAGTTTTGAAAAAAGTTTTTAAGTGATTTATGCACTCAATTTTTACCAGGAATTAATATTACTCCTCAATGTATTCCTTTTCACCTCTAGTATATTCACTAAACTGCAGACTTAGGATCTCTCTCTCTTTCACTCCCTATTAAAATATATTTTGCATATTATTTATATATTTGGAAAAACTAGGAAATACAAATTTAAACAAAAAACTTAGCATAGTTCAAAGCAATATGCTTCAGTATGAAAGGAAGAAAAGGAAGTCTGCCATCAGGGACGCTCTCTAGAGTCTCTCAGTTCATTTTTGTGCCTTAGACCTGTGAGATGAGGCTGGTTTGAAGGCCGGTCCAGGACAACTGAATAGGTATTTAAAGATTGGTTTGCTAGTTTTCTATTCTTTAGACTTGAGGATCTCCTTTCCTGAAGGTTAACTTAGCACTTTCTCCAGTGCATAATCAATAAACATTAAAATGAAATGAAAGGAGAAACTGTTGTTCTGCCCTTTGGATTTTTTTATCCACAGCTAGAGACAGTGGGCATTTGAAGCACCTAGAAAGAACACAAGTGAACTCGGGAAACATCAGAGGCAGATAAGGACTAAGCCTTATTATGCTGACCACAACTCAGTAGGCATTTAGCCTGTCATTATGTATTCTACAAATATTTGTTGACACCTGCTGTGGGCCAGGCTCTGGGGTAGGGACGGGAGGTACCGAGACCAATAAGTGTGCCTGTCCTTAAGGTGCTCAGAGTCTAGCAGGGGAAATAGATGCATAAACCGGATCCTTTTCCCGTACTCACCACAGAGGCTGAAAGATCAGGTACTAGGTCCCCTGGGGACCAGAGCATAGAACAACTTGCGTTTTTATGGGTGAAAAAATACTTCAGATTGCAAGTTCAGGGTTTCAAAGGAATATTCTTCTTCATTTTGTTTTGTTTAAAATTATTTAAAATTGACTGAGATGATACTATAGGAAAACTCGGTAGACAGACTAAAGACTAGATAATTGTGCTTTGAACTTTTAAGATACTTGATAAGAGACTGCTGGAAGAAAAGGAAAACTTTCTGGGTAACAACATGCCCAGAACTTCTACAGTATTCTCAAGTGTTCTGTCATGGCCCTTCTAGACAAGTCTATTTTTCAAATCTTCACTTGAGGAACACTGTGAAAGTGAAGTGAAAGTGTTAGTGGCTCAGTCATGTCCGACTCTTTGCAACCCCGTGAACTATAGCCCTCCAGGCTCCTCTGTCTGTGATATTCTCCAGGCAAGAATACTGAAGTGGGTAGTCATTCCCTTCTCCAGGGTATCTTCGAATCCAGGGATCAAACCCAAGTCTTCTGCATTGAAGGCAGATTCTTTACTGTCTGAGCCACCGGGGAAGGCCTGGACAAGTCTGTGTTTTACATCTTCACGTGAGGAACACTGTGTGTTAGGTGAGAGCAACACCAGATTAAGGGCTAAATGCAACTAGTATGAAACAGATATTTGAAAAAAACATTTAAAACTTTAAAAAGCTGATGGCTGTTCCCACATGTCTATTTTACAGTAACGACTGTATGTGGTGGTTTAGTCGCTAAGTTGTGCCCAACTCTTATGCGACCCCATGGACTGTAGCCTGCCAGGCTCCTTTGTCCATGGGATTCTACAGGCAAGAATACTGGAGTGAGTTGCCATTTCGACATAGAAAATGTATAGAAACAATATTTAAAAAAATGAAATAGATAAATTACAATGATAGCTGTGTTAAAAGCTATAGGAATTCCTGATCAGCTATTCAAATAGGTCATCAGGCTGTGGTAGTGATACGAGGTGGTTTATTTTTCTGTAAACCTGCTTTACTAGTTAGTGAAAATAACATACCAACAAAAGTAAGGAGCCCATATTTATTCTCTCTCATATTCTAACAAAACCTTAAGATTTTGTGTGTGTGTGTGTGTGTGTGTGTGTGTGTATGTGTGTGTGTATGTATATATATGTGTGTGTGCTTTTAGGGCAGAGCTTCTCAAATGTGTTATTAACATTTTGGACTGGGAAATTCTTTATTGTGTGAGGTGTCCTGTCTGTTGTAGAATGTTTGGCAGGTCCTGGGCTTTGACCCAGTAGATGACAGTAGTCTTCCCCTACTCCCCCAGCCATGACAATCAAAAATTGCCCCCAGTTGAGAATCATTGTTTCAAAAGATACCTTCTCTAAAGAGAGGTTTATTCTGGAGTTTTCCTGTTTGAATTATCAATAAAAACAACTTCAAGGCCCAGTGTATACATTTATTCCACTTCAACTGTCATTTCCTGGCTGTCTACCGTGAGCGGGACACTGCTAGTATCAAATGTGATGCTCATAGATGTGCATTTTTATTCTTTTAAACACTAATAGTCATTTCCAATGACAGAAAGGAGGATTGGCTTCACACTTTTAAGCAGGAATGCTTAGTTTTAGTTCCTAAACTACTTGCTTTTCTGGTTTTCCTGGGTAAAGTTAGGGACAACCAAAAGCCACTTTTACAGCTTGGTAGGTTATGTGTTTAAATGAAAAAAGGTGTATAGCAATCCTGAGTTCAATCCATGCTTTAACTCACCTGCAGTGGCCATTTCCACACTTGGCATCCTTTCTTAGAGAGGATTACTGACTCAGTGTGACCACACTGGGTCAGAGACTCCTGGGGCTTCTAGAGAGTTGCAACTTTGTATCTCAGTTTTATGCTCAAAAGAAGGATGCAGAGGGCAGAGAAGATTCTTCCAGGACACTGAAGCATTTTTTCTTTGCCAAGTATTTGAAGGAAGAGAGCAATGCAAAGGAAGAGGAAATACTAGTGTGGTAATCTCTGCTTCCCAAGTACCCTCACTGGCTTCTAGAACAAAACTCTCAGCTGGGGGCAGTAATTTCAGGCAAGTTCAGCCAGACACATACTGTGCTAATTGGTTTTCATATATTATTTCATTTCACCCTCACAACCACTTTATGAATAGGTTTTATTATTAATCCCCATTTTGCAGATGAGAAGACAGAGGCAGAGGAAGGTTGAACAATTTATCTAAGTGGCTGACTTCAGAATCCCACCCCAGGTCTGCCTGACTGCAGGGTCCATGCTTTTAACCCACTGTATTCACTACTGGTGCTTCCCAGGTGGCACAGTGGTAAAGAATCTGCCTGCCAATGCAGAAGATGCAAGAGATGCGGGTTCAATCCCTGGGTCAGGAATATCTTCTGGAGGAGGAAATGGCAACCCACTCCAGTATTCTTGCCTGGAAAATTCTATGGTCAGAAGAACCTGGTAGGCTACAGTCCATGGGGTCACAGAGAGACATGACTGAACATACAGATACACTCACTACTGGACTAGATATTCTCCCACAGTGCCCCTTCCCAGTTGGTAACATGCATCAGTCTTATAATTCACTCATGCCTGTCTTCCTCACTTCTGTACATTCTATGAAATCTTAATCTAGTCTGACTTGTTCTAACATCCAGGGCCTGGCACATGGGAGACACTAAATATCTGTTGAGTGAAAGTGGAAATAGTATAATCAATTGTATTATGCAAAAATCTTCTTCTAGGAGTTCTATTAGAAGAAGCCAACCGAAATTTTTAATTTATTTTTTAGTTTATTTTTGGCTGTACTGTGTCTTTATTGCTGTAAGCAGACTTTCTCTAGTTGTAGCAAGCTGGGGCTGGCTATTCTCTAGTTGCGGTACCTGGACTTCTCATTGAGGTGGCTTCTCTTGTTGCAGAACACAGGCTGTAGGTGCAAGGGCCTCAGTACTTGTGGCTTACTTGCTCCATGGTGTGTAGAATCTTCCTGGACCAGAGATCGAACCTGTGTTCCCTGCATTGGCAGGTGAATTCTTATCCACTGTGCTACTGGGGAAGTCTTGGCCAACGATTATGGATCTTTTGTTTTCATTGATGGGGTGGGATGGGCAGGGCATGCAATGCAAGCATGTGCTTTAGGTTCTATGATGGAGCTGGAGAGACAAGGCATATAAGATCCATTGTTGTTCAGTCGCTAAGTCACGTCTGACTGCGTCCCCATGAACTGCAGCATGCCAGACTTCTCTGTCCTTCACTCTCCCGGAGTTTGCTCAAACTCATGTCCATTGAGTCAGTGATGCTATCTAACCATCTCATCCTCTGTCATCTCCTTTTCCTCCTGCCCTCAGTCTTTCCCAGCGTCAGGGTATTTTCCAACAAGTTGGCTCTTCACATCAGGTGGCCAAAGTATTTAGGAACAACTGAAGATGACTTGCAGCTTGAGTGCTGCATTTTGTGGACATAACTTTGCAATCAGAAACCAAGTGTCTCAGAAGGAATCTCCTGTTTCTTCCTGAATGATTTAGAACTTTCTACATCCAAGTGCTTTTCCTTTGCTAGAAAGAAAGCAGAGGGACAGATGAACAGATGGAGAGCAAGACTGTCCTGTTTAGGCTGTCATATTTCTAAACTGCCACAAGGTGGGAGTATTTTAAAACTTTACTCTGATTTTCTGATTATTAATCTTTTGCGAGCCATATGGTTGATAGAACATCAGTGTCCCAACACAGTATATTGCAACTCAGAAAAACAAACATGGTTCTCTTTTTACTGCTGGAAACTTGACTCCTGTGAGATTGGCAAAGAGAAATGGATATTAAAGCAAGAGAATTAATTGGTTCGGTTTGTAACTATTGTGTGTTACATTTGAAAATAAGCTTGTAGTGTAAAATGGAAACATTATTGGAACCAAACTTCAGTATTGTTAATGAATGTAGTCTCACTCTTTTTTCCCTAAAGTTCTCCAAGTTGAAGCAACGTTAATCTCATGATTCACCATTATTTTGCTCTTTGGTTCCAGTGTAGAGATTCACCCACCCATGGTACATACTGAGGGCTGCGACTATCAAACTTTTTATTGTCTCTGGCACCTCAGGCAAATAGGAGATGTGTTTTCAGTGTCCTGGGACAGAAATTCAAATTGTAACTGGTGAAATATACCAAACCAGAAAGGATTAAAGAGCTGATGGTCAGTGAAGCGTGTGTTTTAACTGATGTACAAAAAAGCCCATTTGCAAAGGAATCTACTACCAAAAGATGGTGATCTTGGCTAAAATGTGAAACTCTTCAATACTTTTAGAGACTCTGGTCCTAAAGGTCAAGGGAAGCAGTAGGCAAAGGACAAGGATAGGAAGTTTGGCCAAGTCAGATAGAGGAAGGACTGGCAGGCACTCAGGTTCATGCAGCCAAGGAGGCAAATCCATGTTTTTCTTCATCAACCCTTCAGTCACCTTTGAAGCTGATGATTGCAGACTCAGCCCTAGGAAATTAAATGGCTTCCAGTTTCATTAAGGTGTTATGTGCATGGGCAGGTAGGTCAGTTTCCACAGAGAACATTCTACAAACCATGGGAAAGCAACTTGAGCTCCCTTCTGAACATTGCTGTCTTGTTGGCCCCAGCAGCACTCAGCCTCCTCTGCTCAGGTGGGACTTCTCACTCCCTAGCCCCACGGGCCTCCACACGTGTGACATGTGCTCATTCCACTTCATTCCTGCCATCCTAATTCCCTTACCTCAACTTGCAGAATCCTAGAGAGTCAAAGATATCATGGAAGGAGAGCAAAGTCAAGTCAAGTGACTTGCCCAAGAAGCATCTCTAATTCAAACCTTTTGCCCAGTTTTTCCTGTCCAGCTCACCCAGATCTGACCTTTTGCTAGGTCCACCTCAAGTCCTCACCTTTCAAGTCCTAGAGAACTTAACGTTAAAATCCATGTATCTCAATTACATACTCTTTGGTGTGGCCTACTGCTGCTTTCTGTATCTGTCTTGACTCCTCAGGTGACAGGCTAAGGCTCTTGAACACAGGACCAGCTCTTATACATCAGGGCTCCCCAGTCGTTAATGTGCACACAGATCATCTGGTTTCTGATTAAGATGGAGATTCTGATTCAGAAGGTCTGGGGTGGGGCTTGAGACTCTGCATTTCTGACAAATTCCCTTGAAAGTGGTGCTGATGCTGCTGACTCAGCACGGCTTGGGTAATTGATTGATGGCTCCTTTTCCTCAGAAATGTTGCAGGAGTCCATTTTATCTGATAGAAATTGGTTTTTCTGCCTGTAGCATATTGAAGGGACAATAATAGTTTCTTTGTTATGGGGAGGTAGTGCAGTATGTCAAGTTAAAGCACTGACTTTGAGTCACTCAAAGTAAAAAGGTAACATTTTTCAAGTACTTAACTATGTATGTGTTGGGCACTCTGATGAGTGCTTTATAAAATGCATTATTGGATTAAATCTTTTGAAAAAAAACAGTAATTAAAAAAAACACAAAAACTCATTGTGTTCTGTTTGGGTTTTCAGAAAATAAGTATCAATTTCTTAAGTGGTTTCTCTTTCTGTAGGGCTACGGAGTTTCTACAGATTTTGAATACAGTGCTCCTTTAAGAAAAGCTTAGTAAGTCACCTGTGAGGATTTTTACATTAGCTGATAGTTAAGAAGTTAATTTTTTTGTAACTGCTGTTTTGTGTCTTATATGCCTTTTCTCAATACATAAACTTTAATAGGTAAACATCTTTGTAATGTTATATGAGTACACAGAAAAAGTTCTAATCAACTAAAAGGCAAGGATGTTTAACTTGACATAACTGAGATAAGTGAATTTTGAACTTATTAGAATAAAGTTTCAATTCCTATTTCTGGGTTTCAGAAACTCAAGAGTAACAAGTTTGGCTAAAGCAAAAATGCATTTATCTTGTCTTGAGATTTCTCTTTTTATAATTAATTTTTATTGGAATATAGTTAACATCTTGAGATTTCTTTAGAATTCAGAATCTAAGTAGTGAGCATTTTGTTGATTAAAAAATTGATTTTCATTCTCAAAAAGAAAATCTATTCTTCGACCCATTTTCTTCCTTGAGTTAAGAGGAATGTGTGTATGTGTATATGCATGTATATATGTTAAGATATTACATAAACTTTTTGTGTTTAATTTCTTTATCTGTAAGTGGATAAAAATATCTATGTTGAGTGTTTTAAAAATGAAAATTAAATGAATACTGAATTCTCTCAGCAAATATTTATTGAGCTCCTACCATACCAGGATGAATACAAGCATTGCTCTAAACCAGGACAAAGCAAAGTAGCACAGTGGTGCTCTCATAGAGCTCTGAGTCAGAGGTTGGGGGTACAGCCAGTAAAGGGGCATAGTAGGTAATTTCAGGTGTTATAAGTACTGGGAAGGAGATAGAGCAGTCTGGAAGGCTTCCTGGAGGAGGTGACCTCTGACTTGAGCCTGACTCATTAAAGGGAGTGTAACATGCATAAATGAGGTCAGAGTGGTCCATTCTGCTCAGAGTGGGCACCTAACATCTCTTCATCCAACAGGAATGACAGATTGTGGAGTTTCTGTTTGTAGCAATTGTTTTTAGGAGAGAGCACATGCTCTCTGATAAAACTAGATAATAATCTGACAAAGGATAGCCCAGGCCGGTAGGTTTTTCAGAATCTGCTATAGCTTCCACAGCTTTTCACATGGTGCTAAGTGCATGGATTTCTAAAAAACAATCTTTATAAAAGTGCCTTAAATTTCTTCGTGATTATTTACTTTAAGCATATATAACTTTTTAAATTCTTTTTTACATTAAAAATTTTTTAAGCATATAACTTTTAATATTAATAAACTGTCTTTTTTTTTTTTTTTTACTAGTGGTAGTTGCTATTCAAGGAAGTCTGATTTGTGTTTCTGGAATCTCACTAACCTTTTGTTTCTAATTTAGAAACTGGATGAAAACTTGCATCAAAAAATCGCAAAGGAAATGAACCTCTCCGAAACGGCTTTTATCCGAAAGCTACACCCAAATGACAACTTTACTCAAAGTAAATACACTTTTTTCTTTTCTTTTAAAAAAATTCCTGAATGGTACCAGAAACTGTTTTTCCAGTGGGGGAATGACATTTAAGGAAAATGTCCATTTATTATTTGCATGCAGATAAGGAAGGTAGGGGAGCTTCTAATTTGATGTTCAGTTCATCTAAGGGAGCAGATGCTGATGAACTGGAATCTTTCAGATCCAGATCTAGCATTGCAGAGCCCTAGAGGTCTTGCCTAGACTTTGCTCCTCCTTTTCACAACATGTTTCAGTGATTAATTATGCTAATACAATGTTTAGAAAAGAATAAGAAAATGAAAACTTTGAACCCCGTTGTATGGAAATGATCTCATCTCTTTTTGGTTTTTCTCCTCTGAAGGTTCCTGCTTTGGATTAAGGTGGTTTACACCACAGAATGAGGTTCCCCTCTGTGGACATGCTACCCTGGCTTCTGCAGCTGTGCTGTTTCACAAAATAAGTAATATGATTTCCTTTTATGAACTTATCAGTTAGTAAATAGAAATATTTTTAAAAACTCTCATACATTCTTTCCTGTGAACCAAAGTGACTGGTATAAAGACATTACAAAGTTTATTTCACATGATTTATTATGTAGAAACAAAACAGCAACCTTCAAGAACACTTTGATTTTTCAGGCATGTTGAATAGCCATGGTTGCTGGTCTCTGAAATGCCATTTTCTTTCATTTATAATTCATTCTATTTATTTACTTGTGGTTGCGCTGGGTCTCTGTCACTGTGCGTGGGCTTTCTCTAGTTGCGGCCCGCAGGGGCTCCTCTGGTTGTGGTGCATGGGCTTCTCACTGTGGCAGCTTCTCTTGTTTCAGGGCACAGGCTCTAGGCGCAGGGGCTTCAGTAGCTGTGGAATGCGGTCTTAGTTCCTCTGTGGCATCCTCCCTCCCAGACCAAGGATTGAACCCATGTCCCCTGCATTGGCAGGCGGATTTTTATCCACTGTATCACCAGGAAATTCCCACCATTTTCTTTTAAATAGGAGCTCTCTGGTCTCTGTGACCAACACAGGAGGACAGCTTGCAAGGCAGAATAGGTGTTTAACATGACATAATACTGGGGAACTAAAAGACATACTTTCCCCCAAATGTGTACCCAACCAAACTGGAATTCATTTCACAATAAAAGCTTCTTTATTCTGAATTTTAAGTATTCATGAAGTAAACTATATACATTTACCCCGTGAAGAAAGAATGCAGCACTTTAATCCTACCAGTTCCCCTCTCAGCGACACTTAGTATAAAAAAGATCATGGCTTTGTGGGAACAGGGCAGAGGAGAGAAGCCTGGAAATGTCCGAAAAGTAGAGATAGAAGCAGCCATGAGCAAGTGTAGAAACAGAAAGTCAAACAAGGAAGTAAGCAGGATGATATGACAGAGGGGTAACTGGGGGAGTGGGGGGTTTGAATAAGAAGTTCTTTTGGGAGTTACTTCACTTGAGTTCAGTTGCTCAGTCCTGTCCGACTATTTGTGACCCCATGGACTGCAGCACAGCAGGCCTCCCTGTCCACTGCCAACTGATGACAGGGAGCTTATTTCCTCTCTCACTACTCTTCCCGACAGCCTTTCTGATTACTCTGACTCTCTAGGTTGTTTTGCCTCCTTCCTTCACCATCCCTGACCCCTGTCCCTGACCCCCGTCTGCCCTCCGGGTCACACTCCTTCCATCCCTTTGCGGCTCCCTTTGTCCCTGTTCTCTTTTTTTTTTTGCTCAATCCTATTAATTTTTTTTTCCATTTATTTTTATTAGTTGGAGGCTAATTACTTTACAGTATTGTAGTGGTTTTTGCCATACATTGACATGAATCAGCCATGGATTTACATGTGTTCCCCATCCTGAACCCCTTCCCGCTTCCCTCCCCATCCCATCCCTCTGGGTCGTCCCAGTGCACCAGCCCTGAGCACTTGTCTCATGCATCCAACCTGGGCTGGCGATCTGTTTCACCCTTGATAATATACATGTTTCGATGCCGTTCTCTCAGATCATCCCACCTTGCCTTCTCCCATAGAGTCCAAACGTCTGTTCTTTACATCTGTGTCTCTTTTTCTGTCTTGCATATAGGGTTATCATTACCATCTTTCTAAATTCCTTATATATGCATTAGTATACTGTACTGTTGTTTATCTTTCTGGCTTCACTCTGTATAATAGGCTCCAGTTTCATCCATCTCATTAGAACTGATTCAAATGTATTCTTTTTAATGGCTGAGTAATATTCCATTGTGTATATGTACCACAGCTTTCTTATCCATTCATCTGCTGATGGGCATCTAGGTTGCTTCCATGTCCTGGCTATTATAAACAGTGCTGTGATGAACATTGGGGTGCATGTGTCTCTTTCAGATCTGGTTTCACCAGTGTGTGTGCCCAGGAGTGGGATTGCTGGGTCATATGGCAGTTCTATTTCCAGTTGATGTCTCTGCTTTTTAATAAGCTGTCTAGGTTGGTCATAGCTTTTCTTCCAAGGAGCAAACGTCTTTTCATTTCATGGCTGCAGTCACCATCTGCAGTGATTTTGGAAACCCCCAAAATAAAGTCTGTCACTGTTTCTACTGTTTCCCCCTCTATTTGCCATGAAGTGATGGGACCAGATGCCATGATCTTAGTTTTCTGAATATTGAGTTTTAAGCCAAATTTTTCACTCTCCTCCTTCACTTTCATCAAGAGGCTCTTTAGTTCTTCCCTTGCTGCCATAAGAGTGGTGTCATCTGTGATTCTGAGGTTATTGATATTTCTCCTGGCAGTCTTGATTCCAGCTTGTGCTTCATCCAGCCTGGCATTTCGCCTGATATACTCTGCATGTAAGTTAAATAAGCAGGGTGACAATATACAGCCCTGACTTCCCAATTTGGAATCAGTCTGTTGTTCCATGTCTGGTTCTAACTGATGCTTCTTGACCTGCATATAGATTTCTCAGGAGGCAGGTCAGGTGGTCTAGTATTCCCATCTCTTTAAGAATTTTCCACATTTTGTTGTGATCCACACAGTCAAAAGCTTTGGCATAGTCAGTAAAACAGAAGTAGATGTTTTTCTGGAACTTTCTTGCTTTTTTGATGATCCAACAGATATTGGCAATTTGATCTCTGGTTCCTCTGCCTTTTCTAAATCCAGCTTAAACATCTGGAAGTTCATGGTTCATGTACTGTTGAAGCCTGACTTGAAAAATTTTGAGCATTACTTTCCTAGCATGTGAGATGTGTGCAGTTGTGTGGTCGTTTGAATGTTTTTTGGCATTGCCATTCTTTGGGATTGGAATGAAAACTGACCTTTTCCAGTCCTGTGGCCACCACTGAGTTTTCCAAATTTGTTGGCATATTGAGTGCAGCACTTTCACAGCATCATGTTTTAGGATTTGAAACAGCTCAACTGGAATTCCATCACCTCCACTAGCTTTGTTTGTAGTGATGCTTCCTAAGGCCCACTTGACATCACATTCCAGGATGTCTGGCTCTAGGTGAGTGATCACACCATTGTGGTTATCTGGATCATGAAGGTGATATTTTTTGTATAGTTCTTCTGTGTATTCTTGCCACCTCTTTTTAATATCTTCTACTTCTGTTAGGTTCATACCATTTCTGTCCTTTATTGTGCCCATCTTTGCATGAAATGTTCCCTTGGTATCTCTAATTTTCTTGAAGAGATCTCTAGTCTTTCCCATTCTATTGTTTTCCTCTGTTTCTTTTCATTGATCACTGAAGAAAGCTTTCTTATCTCTCCATGATATTCCTTGAAACTCTGATTTCAAATGGGTATATCTTTCCTTTTCTCCTTTGCCTTTTGCTTCTCTTCTTTTCTCAGCTATTTGTAAGGCTTCCTCAGACAACCATTTTGCCTTTTTGCATTTCTTTTTCTTGGGGATGGTCTTGATCACTGGCTCCTGTACAATGTCACGAACCTCTATCCATAGTTCTTCAGGCACTCTATCAGGTCTAATCCCTTGAATCTATTTATCCCTTCTACTGTATAATCATAAGGTATTTGATTTAGGTCATACCTGAATGGTCTAGTGGTTTTCCTTACTTCAGTTTAAGTCTGAATTTTGCAATAAGGAGTTCATCATCTGATCCACAGTCAGCTCCCGGTCTTGTTTTTGATGACTGTATAGAGCTTCTCCATCTTTGGCTGCAAAGAATACAATCAGTCTGATTTCAGTAGCGACCATCTGGTGATGTCCATGTGTAGAGTCTTCTCTTGTGTTGTTGGAAGAGGTGTTTGCTTTGACTATTGTGTTCTCTTGGCAAAGCTCTGTTAGCCTTTGCCCTGCTTCATTTTGTACTCCAAAGCCAAATTTGCCTGTTACTCCAGGTATTTCTTGACTTCCTACTTTTGCATTCCAGTCCCCTATGATGAAAAGGACATCTTTTTGGGGTGTTAGTTCTGGAGGTCTTGTAGGTCTTCATAGAACTGTTCAACTTCAGCTTCTTCAACATTACTGGTTGGGGCATAGACTTGGATTACTGTGGTATTGAATGGTTTGCCTTGGAAACGAAGAGCTCATTCTGTTGTTTTTGAGATTGCACCCAAGTACTGCATTTCAGACTCTTTTGTTGACTATGAGGGCTACTCCTTTTCTTCTAAGGGATTCTTGTCCACAGTAGTAGATAGAATGGTCATCTGAATTAAATTCCCTCATTCCAGTCCATTTTAGTTCACTGATTCCTAAAATGTTGATGTTCACGCTTGCTGTCTCATATTTGACCACTTCCAATTTACCTTGATTCATGGACCTAACATTCCAGTTTCCTGTGCAGTATATGCTCTTTAAAGCATTGGACTTTACTTCCATCACCAGTCACATCCACAACTGGTCATTGTTTTCGCTTTGGCTCTGTCTCTTCATTCTTTCTGGAGTTATTTCTCCACTCTTCTCCAGTAGCATATTGGGCACCTACCAACCTGGGGAGTTCATCTTTCATTATCCTATCTTTCTGACTTTTCATACTGTTCATGGAGTTCTCAAGGCAAGAATACTGAAGTGGTTTGCCTTTGCCTTCTCCAGGACCACGTTTTGTCAGAACTCTCCACCGTGACCCATCTGTCTTCGGTGGTCCTACATGGCATGGCTCATAGTTTCATTGAGTTAGACAAGGCTGTGGTCCATGTGATTAGTTTGATTAATTTCCTGTGATTGGGAGCTACTTAGATGGGGATAATAAGTGAAGGTCTTATAGGCCATGTTTGCCCTGGAAGCAGTCTCATTGGCATGCTGGAAGGACGAGGGGCAGTATTCTTAGGATTAGCATTGTTAACAGAGTAAAGAAAGCAGAATTTTTTCTGCTCCCCAACCCACCATGCCCCTTGTACCAGAAAGCAGAATTTTAAAATTGTTTAAATTTTTTAAATTATTTATTTATTAGAATTTTAAAAAATTTCTGAATTACTTAGCTTATTTTTGACTGTGCTGGGTCTTCGCTGCTTTGTGTGGGCTTTCTCTAGTTGTGGTAAGCGGGAGCTCCTCTCTAGTTTCAGTGCACAGGCCTCTCATTTGGAGGCTTTTCTTACTGTGGAGCACGGGCTCTAGAGCACACGGGCTTCAGTAGCTGCAGCTCACAGGCTTAGTTCCCCTGTGGTGACATGTGGGTTCTTCCTGGACCAGGGGTTGAACCCATGTCACCTGTACTGGCAGGCAGATTCTTAACCACTGGACCGCCAGGGAAGTCCAAGGAAGCAGAACTGAACACCATGTGAAGTTGAACTGCAGAGTAGTAGCAACAAAGTCCTGATAGTCTTGCATAGGGTAGGCCTAAGGTTGGATGAGAAAATGCTTTGTAAATAATGATGTCTTACACCAATTGTAATGAGAAGACTCAAACTTTGAATTTCAGAATGTAAATTTTATTCTGTGAAAGCTAATCAGCAATGTGACATTTCCTCACCTTTGAGATATGTTCACAGAAATACTAGGGAAAAGAGTTAAGTCATAAATCTTTGTTTTCACTGAAAATGTTATCCCCTCTGAGATAAGCGCTCAAGTTGTATCAGTAATATAAAGGGATATTGTATCAGGGTTTGTGATCTAATCTTTAAATCAAGATTTTATATATATAGTTTGGCTTGTTTATGGTAAGCTTGATTTGTTCATATCAGACTGTTGTATATAACCTGTATGTTCTATGTGTCATCCCTTTGGCTTAACTTAAACTAGTAGAGTTTATAACTCTAAAACTCTATTGTAAGAGTATATAAAATATATAAAATATAAAAATATACATTAGAAAACATTATAGCAACCCTATAAGCTGTGTTTAATTATTTACCATTTTATTGGTAAAATGAAATTAGTATAAGTTTAATTACCCCATTTTATTGATGAGGAAATTGAGGTTTAAGGAGATTAAATAATTTTTTTAAGAGGACAGCATGATGTCATGAGAATCGGTTATGTCTTGGTTCTCAAGTTAGAATCCAGTGAGAGTTTTCTCTCCTAAGATCCCAGTAACCCAAACCTGGGACCCCTTTACTGGAATGAATGACACTGCCATCCAATCTTTAAAAGTGATCAAAAGAGACATGCAACTATATAACAAAGTTTATTTTTCTATTTCTTGATTCCTTTCAAACATTTGACAAAATAAAATTCTTTTTTTGGCCAGAAAATGTGAATAGCACTCTCACGTTTGTCACTCTGAGTGGGGAACTGAAGGCCAGAAAAGAAGAGGATGGTATTGTCCTGGACCTGCCTCTTTATCCAGCCCATCCCCAGGTCAGCTTTTTAAAATTATTGCTACACACTGTGTACAAATTGCCCGTTTTACAGTGATTTTTTCTTTTTTCCTGATCTAGAAATTGCATGAAGTGGAGGACTTGATAAAGGTTTGTGAAAGAAAGTCAAACTTGAGCCCTGTGATTTGATCATCTGTTATTATTTGAACAAATTTGATCTCAAATATAGACCTTCTACCAATGTAAGTGTTCTAGTTTAAGCTTGGGTGAATACCGCGTGGTGCCTTTAAGGTTTGAATTTTAATATTGAATCTATTTGGTGAAAAGGTTGACCAGTTTTTCCTAACTCTTCATTATCTGATTAGCCTCCATGGGAAGATGGGGGAGGGGAGAGTGCCATGTGGCAGGCTGAGAGTGAAAGAAAAGAATGGGAACAGCCTGGCAGCAGTCTATGCCCTGATCTCTTCAGTGGAGAATAAGGCTGAGATGACGGGCTGTGCTTTGATGGAAGAGAGCAGAAAAGCAAGGGTACTCCACTAGAGAAGACCAGATATATGTAGCAGCCTCCTCAAAGGGTCTGTGTGGGGATGGGGCTAAATGATAAGGATGATGATGGTGATGATAGAGAACATTTTTGAGAGTCTCCTCTGTGCAGTACCATGCATTTTAATGCATTATTTCATTTAATTCTGTCACCCAGGGCAGTAGGCACTACAGTTGTCTTGTGTAGATTCTAGAAGGCCAAAGCAGCCCTGGATAGCCAGGTGCTTAGGTTTTAGAGCAGGAAGGGCCCAGGTCAGGACCAGGTCAAGGGTGCCCTGAGAAAAAATGATTCTGGGAAATGGCCTGTTATGGGTAGTAATGGGTGTTTCTTAGTGAATTTTCAAATACAGCATTTGTTATCTCTTTAGTGTTTTGCTTTAAGTTTTCAAAGGATATAAGCAAGTACCATGGATTCTACCTTTACACTCAGCTTCTCCTATGGCTTGGGTTTTGGGAGACAAGCCAAATTAAAAAATGAATTGCTTTAAGCATATTGGCAAACAAATAGAAAATCTTTACAGTGGTAGACCTTGTTCATGGTAGAAAGAACTTAACGTGATCTCTCTAAGCCTCAGGGTCAGCATCTGTAAAATGAGAATGATGAAAGGTATTTATCATGAGTATTGTCATTTTGGGCTTCCCAGGCAGCTCAGTGGTAAAGAATCTGCCTGCCAATGCAGGAGACACAGGAGATAAGGGTTCGATTCCTAGGCTGGGAAGATCCCCCTGGAGTAGGAAATGGCAACCCACTCCATTATTCTTGCCTGGGAAATCCCGTGGACAGAGGAGCCTGACGGGCTGCATTCTTTGGGATTGCAGAGTCGGACAATGCAATGCGGAGCATGCACGCATTGTCATTTTGTGTTCCTAGAAACTGGCAATAAGACTCTCAGTTGAGAATTAAACTTTCAAATTGACATAAGAATCCATGCAGAGAAGGGTTGGACAACCCTTCAGAGAGACTGGGAGGCCCGGAGAGCAGATGGGATTGGGCTGTAGGAATTCCCATATCTAGAGGGGGGACATTGGTCAGCAGTGGTCACAGAGGCAGACCTTCCAGGCACTACCCACAGCAGAGTCTTGGACATGGAACCTAGAGCTTCTCAGCCCCTAAAGAAGATTAGAGAACTTGAAACCACCCACTGACAGTCAGACAACTACCATGTAACTCTAGTCTGTTCTGGTGGCAGCCAGTTGTGGTGCCAAAGGATGACTTGTAGGTGTTTTTGTCCCCTCACAACCTCCCTCAGCACCGCAAACCAATAAACAGACAAACATACTGTGTCTCAGATATGAGCATGGTTACACATAATCTTCAGTAAAGGGTGAACCAGGGTCTTTGGATAATGTTACTATGTTCTTGATCTGTAGTGTATAGCCTAAGTGAAAACAGCAAGCTTGTCAAGCAGAACAGCATTGAGATGAGTGCCCTAGTCCCCACTTCCAATCATACTGCTGGTCCCGAGTCCTTCTTGTGTAGAATCATCTAGTTACCACTGTAGCTACAGGAACTCTGCATATGTTATTTCATTTAATCCTCTAAGAAGCAGGCATAAAGCCCCCAGCTCTACAGATAGCAGACAGTAGCGATTCAGAGCTTTGACTCCAGGGCTCCTCAGTCCTGGGTCAAAGAGTTGTATGTGAGAGAGAGATTCTGGGCCTCCCTGAAATCTTTTTATCTGTGGGAAAAATACCCAATTGAAGGAGTTGTGTATCGAGTCTCATAGTGACATGTATGAACAAGGCCTATCTTTGACTCTCAGAGGGTAAACTCAACCCCTATTAAGGTCCAAGGGGTTCTGAACACCAGGAAATTGGCCTTCTTTGAGAAATACCTTGAATCCTAAAACTGACCTGAAACTCTTGGGACTGGAGATGTTGGGTGTGCCTGGCACAAAGCAGATGTTTGTGAGAGATCGTTCTCCGAGGACTTGACCCAAGACGCACTTCTGAGGAAATTTTGGTCTGTCTCCATAGACTGCCATAGGTGACACGCTGGTTCAGGATGTTCGCTATTCCCCAGATACCAAAAAGCTCCTGGTCCGGCTCAGTGATACTTACAACAGGTAAATGAGATTTTTGACTTCGTCAGCGCTGTGGGAGAGGGCACCAGATTCATAGCTCTGGCTTGATCTGGCTGTGCCATGTTCAGTCGAACTATGATCTTCACAACCAGTGTTCTGTTCCTGGGCAGGAAGGTTGTACTTGCTCTTCCTCCCTTCCTGCTGAGCCATTGCACAAGCTGCAGCCTGGCCTGCTTTATGGAGTCTGGGGAATGGGTAGTTTGTGGAATGGGTTTGTCCTAATCAATCCTGTTTATGAACAAGGTCATTTCTGGAGAGCCTGACAGTGAACACAGAGAATTTGCTGCAAGTGGAAACCACAGGGAAGGTGAAAGGACTCATTCTCACCCTCAAGGGAGAGCCTGGTGGGCAGACTCAAGCATTTGACTTTTACTCCAGATATTTTTCTCCATGGAACGGTGTGGCTGAAGACCCCGTAACAGGTACTTTTTGTCTTGAATCCTGAGGAAAGCTAAACAGTGGAGAAGGAGGAGAACAGCTACTTAAGTGCCCTCCACAATGAACTTTCAGGTTGTTTGGGTTTTGAGTTGCCTTTGTTTTCCTGTCTCCCCTCCCCTTCTCTTCACTGAAGTCTCTTGTGAAAAACACAGTGTTAATGAGGCAGTATATAGCAAGGTTAAATTTTAGCATTAGACAGGCTGAATTTGCATCCTAGCTTCCTAGCTGTTGACCTTGGGTAAATGACTTAACTTTTTACAGCTTTTGTTCCCTCTCTATATAATATGGACAATACCTCATAGGTTATGTAAACACAATTCATGTTAAACACAAAACATAATGAGCACAGTGCCTGGCACATGGTAAGTGCCCAATAGCTGTTAGGTATTTTAACAACTAACGATAAAACTGGCTCCTTGAGCCAACACTTCTAGAGTTACCTGTTGCAAAATCCAGTGGCCAATGTCCACTATATTCCCAAAGTCCTTTGTCCTTTTCAGTGGCCAGCCTGTGTGATCATTGACCAAGATTTGAGTTTTGAAGGACCAAGTCCTGGACTGCAGGTGGGAATCAGGGACAGGAATAGTGTTTTTCTTCCTCCCCTCCTCCTTTCCCAGACCTGCTCACTAAGTGAGTGAAATGGGTTCAGGAACATAGGAATTCAGGATCTTCCACAAACCAGAAGCAGAGAGTTGAAATAAAAAGTTGGCAAGAATGTGATGCTTCCTGCTTTCATCCTCCTTGATAAAAGTGGACTGACCAGCAAAAGGTGGGGAATGGTTTTTGGAGGAAGCTGATGGATAAGAAGTTATGAGTGGATTTACACATGCATGGCTGCTTCCCAGAGATTTTAGTTATCACAGAGGGAAGGTGTTTTCCCCCTTGTAATAATGCTTTTCTGGAGTGGGAAAGCTCTTTGGACAGTGATGGCCAACAATCTCGGTTTGCTTGAGACTGAAGGACTTAGAGTAGGGATCTTCAGTGATAAAACCAGGACAGCCTCAGGCATACTGGTATGCTTGGGCACCCTGCCCCATAGTATTTAGTATGTTTTTCTGAAGGCGAGATCTTTTTTAGACCATCCTTTCCTCTCCCAAATACTTTCCTGTCAGTTATTACTTTGTAGTTTGTTTCTTCATTTTAGTATTTATTCTCTGACCTAAACCTAAACCTTTTTTCACAATCATGTGAAAAAATATCCCACTAAAACAAAGCTCTTTTGGCACCAAAAAACTGGGAACGTTGGCTTCATGGAAATTTTGGTCTTTTGTCAGAGTTCCCACCCTTCCTTGCGTGTATGTCTTAGGAGGAAGGATGTATTTTTCCTTGATAGATGTAGATAGATTTACGCAAAAGCCTTAATTCTCCTACCATGGACTGACAGGGAATTGATAGACAAGAATTAAAGCCTGCAGTTTAATTCAGCCTTCAGAAAGTGTAAGATGAAGCAGATACGTCCTTTGAAGGAACTTATCCATAAATTCTGTCTTCCTTTCTATTTCCATTCATAATTCCACACTTTGCAGAGGTCATGGCCAACATAATGACTAAGTTGTCTAAGGTTCAGTCAAACTGGATAGTTGATCCTTTATGAATTTAGCAGAGTTGCTCCTATTTTCTTTAGGATTGTAACATAACTTTTCAGTTCTTTTAAGGGTCTGCACATGCTGTTCTCAGTAGCTATTGGTCTGAGCAACTGGGGAAGAAACACTTGCACGGTAGGACAGTTCTTCTTCAAATTTAAAAAAAATTTGCTAAACTTTAAGCTAGTATTCCTTCTCATATATACTGTCCACTTGAAGATGTAATGAAGTGTTAACTATCAAAAAAATGTTAACTATCACCCACATGAAAACTAAAGGTTTCGAATTCCTTCACCCTGAATCTTCTGCTCAACATCCTCCACCCCAAACATCTTCCACCTGTTTCTCCCAAAACACAGACACACTTCTAATAGTTAAGTGCCAAGAAAGTATTTGCTGAATAAAGTTAACTAGCTGTGTAATTTTGGCCCAGAAAGGTTCTTTATAATGTTTGAGTTGAGATTGGATGATTACCAGGGTCCCATTATGTGATTAAATAAAACAAATTGCCTTGGAACCAATTCTCCTAGTGATTAATATATTGCTCAGGACAGAGAAAATAGATGGTAATCAGTGGAGTTTACACAGCTCCTACCACATGCGGAACAGGCTACACAATAAAAGTAAAAGTTTGACCTTAGTGGACAGAAGTTCTTACTTAGTGGGATGGTTAAGCCTCTGTGACCCTGACTTGGGAATAGCAGGGTAGCTGTTTTCTTTCCATTGTGAGCCTAATTACTTCCCTAAACTCAAAAAGCCTGTGGCTGTACCTCAGGTTTGCTTGACAAGTGTGGTTGCTTGCTAACCACGAAGAGTAGGGAACTCCTTTTGTCCTTTTCAGCCCTCGAAAGACAGGGCCTTCTCTGAAGGGCCCAAGAGCACCCCCTCTTTATCTTTGTAGCCTTTTAGTCCTAGGCTCTGTCTTTTCACTTGTGCTTGCTTACTCCCAGACCTAGACGGAGCCAGGGAGGAGGCTACCGTTAGGGTGCGTCTGGGGATGGACCGGAAGTAATGGAGGAAGTGGTTCGAAAGGGAAGACGTAGGGCCATGTGCGTCTGTGGCCTCCGTCCTCAGGAGAACGGGGTGGGCAGGGCAGTCTTATGAACAGATGAGGGAATGCATTCTTTAAAAAATTAGTTAATAGGTTTTATTGAGAACATTGATTTATTACATTAAATAAGTTTTTCACGTACATTGTATTTCTGCTTCTATACTTCCGACAGTGTGCTCACTATCAAAAATCTATTTTCTGTCCTTCACCATGCAGTTGATCTTTACCCATTTTGATCCCGCCCATACTCCCCTGCCCATCCCCTTCTGGTAACCACTCTCTGTTCTCTGTGTCTATGTGTTTATGTTTGGTTTGTTCATTTATTTTGTTTTCATTTGCTTGAAAGAATGTATTCTTTAAACTGACCTGGGAGATTCTAGAGCTTGTAATAATAGTCTTTCACTATGTCTTATTAATTAAAGGGGTGAAAATGATCTTGATTTGTGACTTGTTTTATGTTTTCTTTAGCCTTTCAGTGTTCCAACCGGGGAGGAGAACTGACGATTTCCCTGCGTTCTGATGGACGAGTTGACATTAAGGGAGGCGCTGCTCTTGTTTTAGAGGGCACGCTGACAGCCTAGACTGCTTGCACTGCAATGATGCAATCTGGAATTACTATTTTCTGCATAAAAAAAATGTAAGCGACTGCTTTGAATAAGATTGCATTGTAGTCCACTTGATCCTCACCTGAGAAATAGAACAATGAAGACATATTGGGGATTTAATAATGCTTCCTGGTGAATTAACTAAAGGAGCTTTGGTTCTACCTGTGAACGTAGTCGAAGTAACCAATATCAAAGAATAATGTTGTCACCTTTAATTGTGACCACCAATCACAGAATGAGGAACACATTTATGAAGAGTAAGATTAAATCATTTAAACTCAGATGTGAGTACCTGATAGACTGTTTTGCAGCCATCGAAAAGACCCAATAGCTATGTAGAAATGTAGAAAAATAGTTCACAGTATAATACTAAGAAAGAAAATTATAGTAGACTATTAAATGTTAGCAATGTTATGCTATGTCTGTGGCGAATAGGAATTTATATGGACAAGAATGGATCATGAAGATAGAAAAGTAAAAAGAGTTTTTGTGTGAATGGTAAGGTTGGAGTAATTTTAATGTACCTAAAAAGTTATTTCCTTTATTGGAACATGCTCATGTTTAATACCTAAAAATCAGGACATGTAGGTAAATAAATAAAATGCCCAGAAATTTTTAAAATGAGTGATAATGAGTGATAGAGTGGTAATAAAATTAAACATGGAAAGTAACATGATATCCTGCCTCTTTCCAAGTTCTTTTCAGGGTGGGAATCCCCCTTACTGTCATTCCCATGTATTCTGCAAGTTAGGTGCCCAGCTGGGATCTGAATTCTCACCTGTGGGTCAGATCTGCTGCTTAGCAATCTGATGTGGTTGGTAAAAAGCAATTTGCTGTCTCCAGTGTGTAAGACACTGGACTAGAAGCTGGCAGGGTAGAGAGCTGGGGGGCAGGATGCAAAGATTAGAGGGGGAGCTTGTAGAGCTCTCAAGGGACTCTTAACTGGGGAGACCAGGCTCATCCTTTCATGAAAAGATAATGAGCACTTGTATTGGTCTGTGGTTAGGGTCTGCCATATGCAGACCCTGAGTGTTACAGCGTAGTCAGGGGAGTGTTAAAAGACAGGGCTTTGAAAGATGGGCATGAGCAAAGCTTCAGAGATTAATGAATGTACACGGCCTCTAGATTTTGTCTAGAGTTCCTACATCTTGAAAGTAGTTACATTCTATAGGAACAGAGATATAAAGGAAAGTAGTTATTAAACTAACAATCTAGTCGAAGAGATAAGACACAAGGACACAGAAACACACAGACAGATAAATAATATTGAAAATGATTCTTTTCCTTTTTTGAAAACTAATCTTTATTGTTGTTGTTGCTGTTGTTTTCTATAGAAAAGACAGGAATCACAGCAATTGTGAGTCATCCCCAGTGTATGAGAAAGAGAGAACTATAGTTCTTCAGGTGTGTACTTCCCAGACAAGTAGCATTTGCACTACCTGGGAGCTTATTAGAAAAGCAAATTCTCAGGCCCTATCCCAGACCCACTGAATCAGAAGCTCTGGAGATGGAGAACAGAAATCTAGTTTTTAACAAGCCCTCCAGGCAATCTGGGTGTACATTTAAGTCTGAGAACCTCTAGTATTCATGGTAATGAGTGATAGAGTGGTAATAAAACACAAAAAGTAAGGTAATATCCTGCCTCTTTCCAAGTTCTTATTGGGGTGGGAATTCCCTTTGCTGTCACTCCCATGTGTTCTGAAATATCCTAGTATTCAGCCACTGTCTTCTTCCCTCTCAAGTGACAATTGCTTATGTAGCTCAATTACTTTTATTCTCTATTGGTTTTTTTTTTTTTTTTTTTTTTTTGCTGCACCAAGTGGCTTACTGGGATCTTAGCTTCCCAACCAGAGATTTAACCCATGCCTTTGGCAGTGAAAAGTACAGAATCCTAACCACTGGGCTGCCAGAAAATTCCCAATAACTTCTAAATGTGCATTATCTCAAAATCTCCCTGACCACACCAATATACTTGCTGCTTAATGCAGTTTTGGAGGAGCTATTTTTTTTTTTCCCTCATAGCTTCCAGTTCTGTTCAGCTAGAAAAATTAGCTGTGCTCAGGTGGGAGCTGTTCAGTAATGTGTTGGTAATATAGAGATTAGTTAATCAGCTATGATTTATTAATGATGAATTAATTATACCTGATTATGCAGTTCTGCTAGCTAAATGGAGCTTTAAAGGAGTTATTTTATTAATCATCATGGTGCTAATTGCAGACACTTACAGAAGGATCACTAATTAAACATGCAACCATGTGCAGAACAAGTTGAGCTGCTGAGACCTGCAATAATAAGAAACCCTGACTTTTAGGGGAGCCAAAACAAATTTTATTTTATGCAATATTAGGGAGTTGGCTTGGCAATGTTAATAATTCACTGCAAATTAATATTGTAATTTTTCTCAGCAGGAATTGATCCTTAAATCAAAAAATATATAGCACTCTGCATGCATGTGTGCTAAGTCACTTCAGTTTTGTCTGATCCTATGGACTGTAGGACAGACTCCTCTGTCCATGGGATTCTCCAAGCAAGAATACTGGAATGGGGTGTCATGCCCTCCTCATATAGCACTCTTGTAAGATTCTAATAAAGGGAAAGTTTGTTCAAGCCTATATCCTCTTTATTTATTTGTTTTATTTTTTGACTGTGGTGGATCTTTGTTGGCTTTCTGTAGTTGCGGTGAGTGGGGGCTACAGTTCGTTGAGTGTGTGGGGTTCTCATTGTGGTGGCTTCTCTTGTGGAGCACAGGCTCTAGACACAAGGGTTCAGTAGTTGAAGTGCTCAGGCTTAGTTGCTCTGCAGCATGTGAGATCTTCCCGGACCAGAGATCAAACTGATGTCCCCTGCATTGCAGGGCGTATTCTTAACCACTGGGCCACCAGGGAAGCCCCTATATTCTCTTTTATACATATGCAAGATGGTCTTTGCTGAACAGAAACCTTTGATTGATGGGATGTGACTCACAGCAGAGAAAGTCAAAACCACAAACCAGCCCTTTGTATTGGAGAGCATCAGGTGAGTTCGAGACTGTGAACTCTTGGAGACCAAGAGCACTTGTGAATTGAATCACAATAAGAGGATTCACAGCCTTGTACTATTGGAGCAGAGAAAGGAATGAGACTGTCTAGTTGAAGGGGCATGTGGTAAACTGAAAGTGTGAAAGTGAAAGTCACTCAGTCCTGTTCAATTCTTTTCGACCCCATGGACTATATAGTCCATGGAATTCTCTAGGCCAGAATACTGGAGTGGGTAGCTTTTCCCTTCTCCAGGGGATCTTCCCAACCCAGGGATCAAACCCAGGTCTCCCACATTGCAGGTGGATTCTTTACCAGCTGAGCCACAAGGTAAACTGAAGGGTGGCTGAATAATGGGAAAAGCATTTTCAGTTTTTAGCTCTAGATGGATGAAAGCCATCTCCTGACTTTTTCTTGTTATGATTAATTGTTTGGAGTTATGCAGCATCCAGGCCTTCCCAGGTGGCGCAGTTGGTAAGGGACCTGCCTGCCAGTGGAGGAAGATGCAGGAGATGGGGGTTCAGTCGCTAGGTCAGGAAGATCCACTGGAGTAGGAAATGGCAACCCCACTCCAGTATTCTTGCCTGGAGAATTTCATGGACAGAGGAGCCTGGCAGGCTACATTGCATGGGGTTGTAAAGGCAGGCATGACTGAGCACACACTGCTACCACCATGCAGCATCCAAACACCAACCTCCAAGGTTGTCTTAGCACCATAGTTGGAAACTTCTCATTGTGAGTAGCCAAGGAGGTGGTGGCCAACTTCATTCAAGGAAGCCAAAGAGGTTAGGTGCAACCCCTCCCTGCACACAGAGGGCAGGCATGCTACTGGGGCTCAGTCAAGTCAGAAACGATCTCCTCGGAATTTGGATCCTGAACAAGGGAAGCAGTACTGTAGAGGCGGTGGCCAGAGGCCTATACCAGTTTGCAAAAACACTTTCTTCATTATGACCTTTTGTCTGTCACAGGTATGGAAATATTTTCCCTGATGTTTTGATATATATTAAGGCATTCATTATTTTCCATATTTTGTAGGTGAGAAAATAAATGCTCAGAAATGAAACTGACTTGCTTAAGTTTACTTAGCTAGTATAATGATTAGATCTGGATTTAAAACCAGGATGTGATTACAAACCAAGTGCCCTCACTATACTTCAAGGAATATCCTAGAGGGTTCCTCTGGTCACTATCCTGTAGAATAAGTTACCCCCACATTTAGAGGTATGGAACAGTCACTGGTTATGCTTAGAGGTTCTGTCTGTCAGTAATTTGCACAGGACATCATGGAGAAGGTTTGTTTCTATTCCACGTGCTGTCAGAGTGGTTGAAAGGCAGGGCTGAGATCAGCAAAGGCTTGTTCACCTACATTGGAGCCTGAGTTGGGAACACTAGACAACTGAGAACTGGAACAGTTAGGCTTCCTTGGATACTTTTTTTTTTGGCCACGCAGCTTTTGGAGGGATCTCAATTCCATGACCAGAGATTGAACCTGGGCCCCTTGCAGTGTAAGCATGGAATTCTAATCACTGGACTGCCAAGGAAGTCCCTCAAAATTAACTACTTTTTTAAAATTTATTTTTTATTTTATTGGCCACACAACATGTGGGATCTTAGTTCCCCAGCAGCAGATTGAACCTGCACCCCCTGCATTGGAAGCGCAGAGTCTTAACCACTGGACCACCAGGGAAGTCTTGAACACCTTAATCTGTATATAGTCTCTCCACATGATGCTTCCAGCATGGCAAGTTTAGGGTAGCTGGACTTGCTCTGTATAGGCTTGCTCCCAAGGCCCAGAGAGAGCCCAGGGGAAGCTGTGTCACCTATTGTGACTCTACCAAGAAGTCACATGGTTTTACTTTTGCCATGTTCTGTTGGTTGAGGCATTTACAAATGTCTGTCCCAGGCTCACAGGGCAGGAACATAAATCCTGTCTCTTGATAGAGGATTATTCATGCCACATTG